TTCTCAGTATGAGCACCTGCTACAGCCTAAGTAAAGTTAGTAAGGAGAGGCATGTGGGTTCTCCTGAAATGGCCCACCGGTATGCCAGCACGTGGAAAATAACTTTAGAACGTTAGTACATGCGCCAGTGTTTTCGTCCTTGGTATAATTTCTGTTTGCTTCAAGCTGCATTTCTCCTTGGGGTGTGATTGCAATGCTGGTAGTGTCTTGTTATCTACGGCGTACAGGACTGGCACACCAAACCAATCTGTGTCTCGTGTCTGGACTTGTTTGTTTGTTTTTCGCTGGTGCAGGGCACGATAAGTCAAGACGAGTGGGAAGCGATAGGTAAGCACTGTTGTTGTTGTGCCGTGTGAACTGTTGCTTGTGCCCAGTGGTGACTACTGTACCTGTATGGACAGTGCGACAGTAGCTACTGTACCTATCGCACTGAATCAACGAGATACTGAAGTACATGTCAATTTACGAGAGGCTTCACACTTTACTCGTGCTTCACTCCATCCATTATGTCTGAATTTTTCCTCTTTTTCCAATGTTTTTGGTTTGGAAAAAAACAAATGGACCTGACCCTATGTTGTACCTTACAATAAACCCTAGGCCCATGGTTAATTAAGGGTTGGTTCACATATCGCCGGTATGCGCCAGGAGTCACCAGCGGTGGGCCTCTTGCAACCTCTCCCGGCGCAATGCGATTTTGTGAACCAGTGCAGTCGGAACAAAATCATACGGTATTGAAGCTAGAGATAGGGTCCGTTCGCCATTCTTGTAGTTGCTTCAAGGTGGAAAATAAGTCAGCATACCAACCCGTCCTTCTCGGATGATCTGCTTGGCTGTTGTGCAACTTTTGAAGCAAATAGTGAAATACAATTGAAACGAATAAAAAATTCGATGGATACATTGGCAAGTTCTTGTCACTTTATCAACGTTTGCATGCATAATTTGGACACCATCGCTTACTAGACTGCAATAAACTCTGTAGAAGTAGTTTCATGATCTCCAGTAAAAGGTAGCACCGAGTGGCCATCACCGAAAGACCTTGAACTACTGAAGAAACATAGAATTCAAGCTTCAATTGGCAAGCCTGTCGTAGTATTTGGGCCCATTCTGTACTACTTTGTAGTAGACTTGGTACTCGAACCGTATGCGCAACGGATCGGGAGCTGGCTCACCGCCGATGTCTTACGGCACCGATTTTCCTTATGTGAACCAACCCTAACCACCTGATTTCATTCACGACATTCATGTATCTTAGGCTTCAAGCCTCCTATCCACTATACGTACATGAGTTTTTTTAAACTCTGTGTATGTGTGTATGTGTGTGCGTGCATGGATGTTTGTTTTATATCACAGGTCTCTATCTCGTATTCTGCTTCCAGAAGCGTTAATAGCTTGGCACCTGGCTGCTACTTTGGCGGATCGTTTTTGTTTCCAGAGGCAGCTTCTTGTCTACTGCTTTTGAGGTGTCGCTACAGGTGTCGCTACATTGTCTCAGCAGGTGTGCAAAGTATGTTTCTGTGGCAGATGTAGGTGATTGCATGTCTTCTTTCACTTGCCATCTCCACTGCTGGCTGTCAGGTATATGTTTCTCGCTGCCCCTCACACACCAGAGTGTGTGTTTGGTCAGGCTTGTTCCGGGCAGGACAGCTCCACCATATCCGTAAGTGTGAGTATAGGCCCCATGCCCATATGCTGCTAGTATTGCTATGCTTTTTCTAGTTTTGTCCTGCCGCCTCCCCTCCCTCGCTGCTATGCTGTTGCCAGTCTTGTCCTGCCCCCCCCCGTCTTGCTGTGTGGGTATTGTACACAACCTCTCTCTCTCTCTCTTTCTCTCTCTCCTGTTTCATATGTTTGCGTGTTGATGACATGCCAATCTGATGCAATGAATGTGGAGTGTATACCTCCCGATCCCCCTCTGTTCCTTTATGCCAGCTGATCAGATGTATCCGGTCTATCGTTGGGTTCACATCAATTTTTTATCATATTTTCCTTTACTATCATCATTCCCAGCAGCAATAACAGCCTTTCGTGTTTTTATTATCATCTCCAAAAGCGTTTATTCACCTTTAGCGAACGGAACTTCAACCGTCATAGATTGCACGCAGTGCGCCAAGCGTGTAGTGTGTGGTATCTATTTTTTTAATCAGTGCCTAGCAGCGTTTCAGACTGCTTCAGTGTTTCTAGCCGTTCTCAGTTTCTAGCCGTCCTCAGTTGTAAACGTCCGTTCATCCATATTAAACCCCGCTGAGTGTGCCTATTCAGACAATGCTATGCTACAGGTGTTGGCATTTATCTACTCTTGCCGTCTTGGTTTTGGTATTCATTCGGAGTGTGTCTGCATGAGTGTGTCATCGCGGTGTGTCATCACAGTGTGTCACACTGCTGGCCAGTCGTGGCTTGTGTGAGCAAGAGTCCATGGGGACGGGTAATCGCGACAATCTGCCAGCATTGTCTTTGTTGGCTATTGTTGTCCGTCGGAAATGCAAGTCGGAAATTGTACATGTGATGTGCCAAGAAGATGACCAAACAGAGATCTTTAGGAAACGGGGGACAGCAACGGAATGCGTACACTTCCGAGTGCTTCAGCCGGTGATTGACATTTTCAATTTTTGGAAGTGACTTGAAACCAGCAGCAAGAAAACATACTTTGAAGTACATCAAGAGTAGGTAGGTTATACTCTTGAGTACATGTATACACATGTTCACAATGGCGAGAGAATATTCTCTCTTTCACTTTCTGAGTTTCATGACATCCATTGTGAACTAACTTGTGTTGAAGTCTCATTGTATGTTCAACAGTTGACCTGCAGATAAGATAAAGCACTGCAGATCAGAAGGGAGTGTAGTTGTGGTATCCATACTGGAGTATTTTCTTCACAACTTACTAACCGTACATGTAACTATTTTACTTCAAAACTCCACAGCCATGATCGATCAAGAGTACAGTCATATATCTCTTGAGTCTTGATATAAATAGGAGGCTTCACTATTTTTATAGCCTTCATCACGTTTGATGACCATGCGCATATATTATGCATGCATGATGAATTCAGCCTTTTTTCATGTTCAGGTCAAATCCATCAACGGAGAGTTGTCTTTTTACGACTCCTGTCAGTGAATGAGCCACACTTTCAAGATTTCAAACGCAGCTAGCTCTACATGTGGCTTTGTCACGCTTGTAAAAAGTTTGTGTTTCGTGGTCAATTTTCATTCATTTCTTGTATAGTAGTCGTAACACGCCTCAGAGTCTTTGTGGAGGACTCAGGTGTTGTAAACATGTCTTCTGAAAGTGCTGGCGGGGAGGGAAATAATAAACAGGAACAAGTCTTCACCAATCGATACACCGATCGCGATGAAGATTTTGCCAAGGTAAATGCGCTTGAAGTTGTCCACCGTCGAGACTATCATTAATTTATTGCTAGATTTTAGGTCCTCTTTCCTTTCGATGTTTGCTTGCTCTGTGGTACGATGTCGACCCTATGGCAGCAACATAATCGGTAGTTCTGCAAGAATTTATAAAACGAATTGGAAGAGCGTCCAATTCTCTAATGAAGTTATGCATCTACGCTGTCCACACCAGTCTAAAAGAACACACCAATAATCTTTTGAACCAAATGTTTTCGTTCCCTTCTCATCATGGGGTTACACAGGGAAAAAAGTGAAATGACTAAAACAGCAATTATATGGGCAAGGAAATGGGGCAGATAAACATCTCGCTACAAGTGTGAAAAAGGCTAGCCGGTCAAAAACAGCATGAAAAAATTAAAGATGGAAAATAACACTCAAAACGCATCAAAGAGAAACATTATTCTTAGCACTCACGCGGGGACTAACGCCAAACTACTGAAGGGATAACACATTCTCCTTCTGAACACATAACTCAAGGGACAACTTACGAATGTACAATGCCTCTGAAAGAGCCTGCAAGAATTCTCTGAATCTGCAGTAGAATTATGGCTACATAATGGGCGATTCACACGACAAGCACTTGCACATTTTGCAGCGAGTTATTCACGAGAAAAGTGACTGTGGATTCACACGGCTGCACTCAGCGACTGGCACGTTTGCATTTTTGAATGATTCACCCACCAGTTGCGATGAGTATTTCAAGTTTTCAAAACACACATACAATAATAATTATCACAGTATCATTGAGAACAGAGCCGCGTAAAAAGTCTTGTTTCGCGCTTTTTGGTGTAAATGTACTCGTGCACGCCACGATTATCGTGAAAGTAGGCCCCCAGCTCGCTTGCACCTTTCAGCCACTTTCAGCCACTTTTCTCGTTCACAGGTGAAGTATCATAGCAACTTTCCGGTGATTTGAGTCACATTGTGACAGTTGATAAATATGGTGGTAAAGACACACCTGGCAATATGGCGGTAAACACGCGCCTGCCCACACACGCTCTCTAGGCTGCAAAGTTCTGGCACAGAGCTCTCCTTCTCACCACCGCCACCATCAGTTCGCGCCTGGCGCCTGGTCGATGCATGGCTGGCGGTATCCGGCATAGCAGGCTGGTACATCAAGTAGCGCATGGCACATAGATGATGACACAGCAACGACATAGCTCGATTGCGACGTACGTTTCGTCCCCGCTGGACTCATCAGGCAATCTTCTTCTTGGATGTCTTCATACGGAGCTTGACTCGGGAGAATGAAGTTGAAGACACCACTGCAGCTGTACTTATAGTTGATAAATATGGTGGTAAAGACACACCTGGCAATATGGCGGTAAACACGCGCCTGCACACACACGCTCTCTAGGCTGCAAAGTTCTGGCACAGAGCTGCTGCCAGTATGTTCTTCTGCGCACGAGTTAGTGATCCTTCAACAGATTTTGGGAACTTGTCCCCAAGCCATGACTGCAGGGACTCATCCGTCTTGGGGTTGAGCACGGCAGGAGTATCGGCTCTTGGATTCTCCAGACTCATGTCTTTCAACACATCATCGGACAGAGTCTGGCTGAAATGCTTTTCCACATACCCCCCCCCCCCCCCCCCCCCCCCCGACTATTGCCACACTTAGGAGAACAAAAAGAAGCTGACCAACCAACCCTACTGCAGCTGAGTTAAGTAACCCGTGGCCTAACGTTAGCTAACGTACACCACCCCGATCGCCGCAAGTAGTGGAAGCTACACACTATGTACTTCTCGAAGTACTTCGTACGTTATACGAATCTGACGAAATTGCATGTACCAGTATGGATGTGTATACAATGCAAGCTCAGAAATCCGACCACCGTCACCGACTGAGCTAAGTGGGCCACTTTCTGATCTATTCTGTATGTGCGCATATGTGGAGCCTAGTGCAGGACGGTGGGAAAGTGGCTGCTGCATTTCCGAGGTGGTTGGTAATTACCGTAAAATCATGCATGAAGGCAGTGATCAATAGAGGTTTTGCACGACCCTACTTTTCGGTGTAACATGAAATGGTGGCGTTCGACCGCTGAATTTTGACGCGAGCCGCGCGAGACCTCTCTATTGCCACATAGGACAATGCTCAGACCATGTTGTCTTTTTCAAACCAGCCTTCTATCGTTACTGAAGCAGCAATGGTGTGCACACCCGATGCACGAAGACGTGCTTATGGGTCAGCATGCTCTTCAAATTTCCGTGCTGTTCGAATCATGCTTCGACGCGAGTCCTGCTTTTTACAGGTGACTGCAGTACATGTAGTACAGTAGTGCATCGTGTAGCATCGTGTAGCATTGTGTAGCATCGTGTAGCATCGTGTAGCATCGTGTAGCATCGTGTAGCATCGTGTAGCATCGTGTAGCATCGTGTAGCATCGTGTAGCATCGTGTAGCATCGTGTAGCATCGTGTAGCATCGTGTAGCATCGTGTAGCATCGTGTAGCATCGTGTAGCATCGTGTAGCATCGTGTAGCATCGTGTAGCATCGTGTAGCATCGTGTAGCATCGTGTAGCATCGTGTGCATCGTGTAGCATCGTGTAGCATCGTGTAGCATCGTGTGCATCGTGTAGCATCGTGTGCATCGTGTAGCATCATTGAAGCGGGCTGCATGCAGACTTAACAGGACATGGCCGTTATCGGCCCGGCCACAGCCAATCCCATACGTGTAGCGTTATCCTCATCGACCATGCTCTTCATGCAAGTTCCGCATCCACATGTGAGATGTGTATGTGTCATATGTTGGTGTATGCTTTCTGTGTGTTTGCTACTGCTGTTAGACGTCAACTGCTTCATCACACCGTCTTGTGATGCACCAATGGGTCAATGACAATGCGGCAGCATCGCAGCATCACGCTGCACAGCACAACCGTCACCACTCCGATAGGGACCACCACCGCGGCGGTAATGTAGATCGCCGGGACAGGCGTTATGATCGCCACAGTGGCCATCATCATCAACGTCATGACAATTGGCACCCTTCCCGAGAACACCACCACCCGCATGATCACCACCACCGCCCGCATGATCACCACCACCACCAGCACGACCACCACCAGCACCAGCAGCACCACCGCCACCAGCACGACCACCACCCGCATGATCGGCGACATTACCATGACAGCAGTTACGATCGTCACCGCCGTCACGACTCTCATGATCGCTATCAAGATCATCGTGGTGATTACCGTGGTAATGAGCATCGTCATCATCATGGTCACCATGACAGCAGACAGCAGGCGTATGATCATCACCAAGAGCGCCACTATCAGCGAGAAAGAGAACCTCGGCATTCCCGTCATGAGAGACACTATGAGAGGAATATCCCAAGAGCACATCATGAAAGAACCGAACCGTCCAGTAGGGAACATTCCAGCAACACTAACCATGACAACATAGCAGCAACAGCACCACCAGCACCACCAGCAACAGCACCACCAGCAACAGTACCACCAGCAACACCAGCAACAGCAACAGCAGCAACAGCAACACCAGCAACAGCACCACCAGCAACAGCACCACCAGCAGTGGTGGTAGCCACATCCATGGAAGTCACATCTACAGCACATGCATCGTCACCAGTAGCAGCATCGCCAGCAGCACAGGTAACGGGCTCTACCGGTACTACTCGAAATAGCGATGGCGATGAACCCTGTGCTGTGAAGCATGATGCTGTTAGTGAACAGGCCAGCGTGGAACGGCCCAGTGTTGAACAGCACGATGGGGAGCAAAAGACTGTTGAAGATGGTGAAGCAGAATCATGTGTAAGTCAATTAATGGTACACCCATGTGTGTGTCTCGCTCCCGGCCTGCCCGTCGCCATTGAGGCTGTTCCGATGTGTGCACGGGTCATGGTGTATAGCTGGCCTGGGCTGTGTTTGGCCCTTTGGCGTGCACAGGTTGAGGCCTCGATTGGGATCGCGCGTTGTGTAGGCAACGGGCTACGTAGAAATTCCGGAGACGGCGTTTATGTGGAGTGTTCACCCCGGTAGGAGTTTCATCTTGAGCTCAGTTCAACTTCATTTGCGCACAAACGAATGCACACAAGTGTTTTACACATAAGTGACAGAGCGCACACACTCTAGTTCCAGGCTGGGGGGGGGGGGGGGGGGAGCATACTAAAACTTATCCTGCGCTGGAAATGTGTACAAATTTGGCCGCATCTGACGATGTAAACACGGACGTGAGTTGATCCCCATCGAACATCATGGCGGATTCATTCCAGGATGAAAGTGAAACGCATTTGTCCACTGAAAATCAGCTCATCCCAATACAAAATCTTAGTGTGAACGTGTCATTCCCTCTGGATGAGTATTCCAGGATGAAAATTTGCGTGTTAGCACCACTGGATCTTGTTCTTTTGCCACGTCTGAATGGCTGCAGGCAAATGCTAAGGACGTGGCAGCGTTTTACAACCAGCTGCCACAGCTTGGCCTTGCCAATCGTCAGGAGAGTCCAATCATTCAGCTGCGCAGCATGAACAACTGGATCAAGAGTGTGCAGATCAAGAAAGGCGTGCACCAGTTGCCTCATGGCGGCGGCCGGCACCTGCGTGTGCTGGACTTGTGCTGTGGCAAAGGTGGTGACTTGCTCAAGTGGCGCCAGAGTAATGTACAGCACTTGGCTGGTGTAGGTAAGGATTGGTGGCAGAGGCAGCAGCAGCTACAGTCCATTCATTGGAAACTGGCACCCTAACTTTTTGGTGTCTCCTGCACATAGTTGTGGATATCGTGAAAACAACAGTACATCCTGCATTGTGTGACCTGTGCAATTAATTACTCCTAGCCACATTTGAGGCCAGAAAAGTCCAAGAACAGGGAAATAGAAAGTCAGCCAGGTTTTACAAAATTGGGACAGGTATGCCATGGCAAAATGTATGGAGAAGCAGATCCAAAACCCAGATTTTTGAGATCTAAAGTGGGTTTTGATCCTCAATTCGGCCCAAATCGGACTTTCAAAAGCCAGCGGGACAGTTTCCGATGAATGGACTGTAGTGGTGTTTTGATTGTTCGACGCTGCATCTGTTTTTGTTTCAAGTGTTGTAATGTCGGTGCGCTAGGTTGTGCATGCACTGCACAATGTGATGTACTTATGCATGGCGTCACTGCAGGGTTGAATGGCTGAGCACTACATACCATGTGGGGTTAAAAACTTAGGACTCAATGGCCGAAATAACAGTATGCCCCGAATAACAGTATGCCCCAGTTAGAGGAGATGACAGCCTTGTGGAGTACATGTACCTTTCAGCGAACACCTTTAGTTTGTCATAAATTGTCACTTATAATATAGGATTACGTTGTATATTCTTATGCTTTCGTATTTTGAACTATTTTCCCATGTAGTGTTTCCCTTCGACTGAACCTGTGAAATATGATGTGCTTTTGTTTTGGTGTCCTCTCATCTCTTCATTCCTGGCCCATGGCATGTGTGTGCAGACATTGCTGAGACGTCCATTCAGCAGTGCAGCCAGCGCGCTCGTCAAGCTCGCCTGAAGTTTTCCACCGAGTTCCACGCAGCTGACTGCACCCGGGTAAGATCCTAGCCTAGGCTTGCCAACTCAGTCCAGCCTGTGCACTCCTTATTTCCCTATTATCGCTAAGGCCTAGGTTAACCACAGCCCAGCCTGTGCGTTCCTTATTTCGCTATTATTGCTAAGGCCTCACAGTCGCACAGTGTATCTTATTCACATAATTTTCCTAGTTTATAGTATCATTGGCTTCCTGAAGATTTGCCTACAAGGTGTAGGGTATGGCGTTCAGTGTAGCAACCCTGGCCTTAGTAGTTTTGTCTTCCCTGTGTATCAGGTGAGACCAACTCCTTTACCCATTGTGTAGTCCTATCAGTGTAGCTAGCGTTCCTACCAGCACCATTACCACAATCAATCATTGGCGGAAACATGCCACGGTGTGCGGGAGACTCAGTTAGACTGAGGGTTTCCGCATCCATAGGAATGCCGCCACCCTCAAGTGGCGAACACATAATGTGCAGGGCCAGGTTCAGTGGGCTGATTCTCTCCTTCTCTGTCACCCTGCATACAGGTCAACCTGGCAACAGTCCTGAACGATGGAGCCGAGGGCAGGTTTGACGTGACGAGCTGCCAGTTCGCCGTGCACTATGGCTTTGAGAGTGAAGCGCAGGCACAGTGCATCCTGGACAATGCTTGTCAAGCTCTGAACAAGGGTGGAGTCTTCATTGGAACTGTACCCAACTCTAATCGATTAGTGTAAGTCAAGAAATCAGGGCAATGCTTGACATGCTGGCTAATAACATAACACTCATGTTGCTCAATCTGCGGACAGAACTGTTTCATTCTTTGTGGACTCATCAGCGCAGCGCAGAGGAAATGAGGCCGATCCTGGTAGCAATGAAGAATAAAGTTTCCGAAAAGCAGGTCCGAACGTACCTTGCCAGAGTGCTCAAACTGACAAGTCAGTGAGCTCTGCGTAGCACAAACAGCAAAGGCACTGCCCCACATGAGCGTGCTCAACTACTACAAGTACAAGAGCAGGAGCAAAATACTCAATCTGCGGACAGAACTGTTTTGTACCACTCATATTGTATTGTGGCTAACAGCATAACTGTCATGTTGTATTGTGACTATTAATTTTCAATAACATACTAGTAACAATAATGTGCAGTGCAACTGTGCAATCCCCTCCAGTGGAAAGTCACTAGCTTGCTGTTGCTGCTGCCTTTCTCTACTCTAGGTGTCGTCTCCGTCAGGAAGAAGGCTATTCGTTTGGCAACTCGGTGTACAGGGTCAGCTTTGACGAATCGCTGGACAAGCAAAACCTGCCCCTGTTTGGGTGCAAGTATCACTTTCAACTTCAAGGCGCCGTTGATGTTCCCGAGTATCTTGTCTACTTTCCTTTACTTTGTCGGTGAGTGGTGGGCCGGGAGTATTTCACAGTTTACCATGTGAGTGGTGGGAGTATTTCACAGTTTACCATGTAGGCATACTAGTAGACTGTGTAATGTGAACGTGGTGCATACCAATTTTGTACCTTGATCATCTCCTAACATAGTTGCTCTAGAAGGTGATAATGTTGACTTTTTTGTGTATGCATGGATGTGGCAAATGGGATTTCGGCCTTTGGCCTCTGGTTAGTGGATCTGATCTATCCTCCCCCACAATTTAGGAGCCGCATCTGATGCCTTATCATGGGGTGGTGGCGTCCCACGGAAGCGGAAAGGTGGTTATTGACCCGCCCTGTACGCGAACCCGGGCAATGTTTTTTTAATGCACATGCCCTCTGTAGTGTAGCAGTATGTGTGTGGTTGTACATGATCATGTGTGTGTTTGCCTGTGTGTGGTACTAGGACATTGCCTGCGTGTGGTACTAGGACATTGCCTGTGTGTGGTACTAGGACATTGCCTGTGTGTGGTACTAGGACATTGCCTGTGTGTGGTACTAGGACATTGCCTGTGTGTGGTACTAGGACATTGCCTGTGTGTGGTACTAGGACATTGCCTGTGTGTGGTACTAGGACATTGCCTGTGTGTGGTACTAGGACATTGCCTGTGTGTGGTACTAGGACATTGCCTGTGTGTGGTACTAGGACATTGCCTGTGTGTGGTACTAGGACATTGCCTGTGTGTGGTACTAGGACATTGCCTGTGTGTGGTACTAGGACATTGCCTGTGTGTGGTACTAGGACATTGCCTGCGTGTGGTACTAGGACATTGCCTGTGTGTGGTACTAGGACATTGCCTGCGTGTGGTACTAGGACATTGCCTGTGTGTGGTACTAGGACATTGCCTGCGTGTGGTACTAGGACATTGCCTGTGTGTGGTACTAGGACATTGCCTGTGTGTGGTACTAGGACATTGCCTGTGTGTGGTACTAGGACATTGCCTGTGTGTGGTACTAGGACATTGCCTGTGTGTGGTACTAGGACATTGCCTGTGTGTGGTACTAGGACATTGCCTGTGTGTGGTACTAGGACATTGCCTGTGTGTGGTACTAGGACATTGCCTGTGTGTGGTACTAGGACATTGCCTGTGTGTGGTACTAGGACATTGCCTGTGTGTGGTACTAGGACATTGCCTGTGTGTGGTACTAGGACATTGCCTGTGTGTGGTACTAGGACATTGCCTGTGGTCCTACATGTATTATGCGTGTGTGTGATTGCTGTCTGTAGGTTACTTGACGAACGCCACGACATGGAGCTAGTCTGGCAAAAGCCATTCCACGACTTTGTCAACGAGGAAAAGGAAGATCCCCGTAACCGAGCTCTCATGCAGCGCATGAAATGCCTTGCTGTGGTGAAGGTGCGTGACCAATGCTACCTCTGGTCAACTTGTAGCATCTGACGAATGGCTTTGTATTATTGTGTGACTTTGTGTCCGCTCCCTGTCATTGTGTGTGCACCAAGCTAGTGCTAACAGTCACTATAAGTACCGGTAGTACTAGTCTATAGCATAAGCACGTATAGTACTACCGTAGTCTATAGCATAGGCACGTATAGTACTTCTAAAGTAGTCTGGCCAGTCTTGTGAGCATGGTGTATGGAAGACTGCTGGACACTGCGTGTACGTACGATGCATGTGTTCTTCTTATGTGATTCTACAGGGCAGAGATGTCGGCCTGGATCATGATGATCTTGTGGTAAGGTTCTGATGAATGAGGTATTGCTTTGTGGAAGTGCTGGTTCACGATGCTCACTATAATATAATGCTAAGTTAGTGCATGCATGCCTTCAGGAGCTGCATCTGACATCTGATCATGGCGTGGTGGCGTCACCACAGACGTGGAACGGTGGTTCTTGACCCGCCCTGTACGCGAAACCGTAATATTTTTTCACGAATATTGCTTGCTATGCCTATGGTGCGTCTCTACAGCAGAGCAGTAGATGCACTCACTGCACATTTTTGCAGGGAGTACACGGCTGCCTGTGCCTGTGCCTGTGCCTGTGCTTCTCTGGTGCATGTGCCTACCTGTTGGGTTGTCTACTTGTAACCATGGTAACAGTGCAACACTGTATCGGTCTAAGTCACTGTGCACGACGGACTTTGATTATGTGCTGCAGGGCTCCATCAGTGAGGATGAATGGGAAGCAATCGGTGAGTATCATGTGATTTTGTTTAGAGTCGAAGCTTGTTTTCTCTTTATTACAGATTTTGTTGTTCTTGCTTTAATTAAAGTGCACTTTACCGTTGTCGGTGCTTGAACCTGCATTAGAGTTCTGTTGAGGGCATCTGGTCATCTGAAACTAATCTCAACCTGTGATGTCCGGGTGCAAACTCCCTCCCTATTCTTAGAAGAATCCAGAACTGTACCTCCTTCTCCTCCTGTTGTATGTTGCCCAGGTCTCTACACTGCGTTCTGCTTTCAAAAAAGACAGTGAGTTATCCTTATCGGCCGTGCCAAGCGGCAGGACAGAGTGAATTGTTTGAGATTCTTCTGATACCTTTGAACTGGACCTGCTCGTGCTCTGCTGCTCGTATCTGTTCAGTCTAGTCCCATGTTTTTCTTCGGCCACTGAGGTGTCGTAATAAATAAAAAAACGGTACTGTTGCTTGATATGTAGTCCACCCTCATCAAGTCATCATACCAGCCTGCAGTGATGTGTGGTCCACCCTTATTACACTCTCATCATACCTGACTACAGTGAGGTGTGGTTCACCCTTATAATGCCGGACTACAGCTGATAATTAGTTATTTTAAATGACCTTGTCTAGTAATAATAGTTCTTTACTTTGTCAGACTTGAGCTATTCTCTCGTATTTTTTAACTGCCTTGCAAATCAATGAATCCTAATCACTGCTGCATTTGAGGTGCCCCCCTTTTTTATTTAAAAATTGGCTGGCATTTTGTGCTATTATTAATTTTCTTTTTCACCTGCATTTTATGGTGCCATTGTCAGTCTGGGGCAGAGGCTGACACCTAGTTATGTAACATTGTCTTGATCAACCGAGCGATATCGGCTTCTCCTGAGAACTTGACCAGTGTTATTTTTTTCCCAGTTTCATAGTGCGATCAGGTTTTTTTTTTATCCTCAAACGATCATCACATCATGTGAACAGCAACTCTACAAATTTAATCGTACTTTGTACTTTGAATCTCCCATCAAGAACTATTTTCCATCTCATGAACTGATGTATACCCGGTAGTTTGCAGTACTCTGAACACACCGCAAGTATAGGTACAATTGTGATGTTCTTCAAGTATTTTTGTCCGGCGATGGCACAGCTAGAAAGAGCATGTGATACAGTGTACCACGAGTGCATGAATCCGTGTGTGGTGACCAGAGTGTGTGTGATTAGTAGGGGTGAAAGTTGGCACTGAGATCCCGAGTTCGAGTACTCTGATTTTCTCCGATCGAATATTCGAGTATTCGATTATTTTTCATCTCCTAAAAATTGCACACCAAGGGCTTTAAAAAACAAAACATGATACAGCCCTGATTGAACCGAGTAGCAGTCATTTTTCTCGGGTATATTGGTTGGTGGGTCATTTGGGCTCTCTCTACTCGTGAACAAATGTTCACCACACAGTCTGCACATCACCATCTGCCGACTGCTGCCCTGAAACTGCAGATTTCTGTAGTAAATGCATGTACCATGTATGAACGAGTACTCTGATTTATTCCGAGTACGATTATGTTTGAAAAAACCGAGCGAGTACTCGGTATAATTGTTTCACCCCTAGTGATTAGGCACTTAAGCTATACAGTCAGACCTCGCTTATCCGGTCCTCTTTTATCCAGGTCCCTCGTCATCTGGAAGAAAACCGCTGGTTACCAATTTACAGCATATGCTATGCATACATACAGTATGTGTGTCGATTATCCGGTTCCCTCGCCTATCCGGATATTTTCTTGTCTAAAACGGATGTGTGCGGTTATGCGAGGTCTGACTGTACATGTACTACATAAAGCCACTGCCATGCATGAGACTTGAGAGAGACGTTTGCCATAGTGTTAGATCTATGAAGATGTTTGCAGTGCAACACTCATTACGTTCTACATGTCTGGTCCTACTTCATCATTGTGAACCCCCTCGTCTATGGTGCGTGTTAGCGTTTTCTCGCAGGCAATACTTGTACTGGAGAAAAGTTGAGACGTTTCCTTCTCCTACACAGTGCATAGTTGAAGCAGGCCAGGGAGTACTAAAACACTGTTTTTCAGTATAGTACTCCCTGGATGGAAGCATGCTATCAACAGTACATAATGTACTCTTGATAGCATCAAGATTCAAGAGTATACTGTGTAAGCTCCCACGAGCTTTATTTACTCTCGATAGCATGTTACACAAACTCTGAGACCATGTGTACAGTGCTGCTCAGTGTGAAGTCCGACCGTGCGAGACTCGGAGTTTGCACCCTGCAATCTGCATCAGCTCACATCCTATGGAGCGGTGGCAGGTCTTGACTCTAGGGCTGCACAGCACCCGGCGTGTACTTGACTCACACGATCGGAGTTCATTGAGCAGCAATGTGCAAACGTTCCTTTATCGAAGTACAGTGTAGAAGCTAGGCAGGTAGTATAAACATATAAAATGAAAATTCAAGCAAAAAAATACTGTTAAAAAACCCAGACCAATATGCATGGAGTGGCGTTGTAAACACAATAAAATAATCTGTGATAAGAAATTAGGACTATGCCTCCTAGGATCTACCGGAAAGCAGAGAATGAATAGTACTGAACGCACAGTGGTAACACCTTGTCAACAAGGCTGTCAATAGTAGACCGTGACCACGTGGGGCCAGCTCACTCTACCATAATAGAACGCTGCTAGTGCTCGTGCTTCTATTGTCTTACGCAGAGCATCAAGAGTGCGTATGGTTATGTACTCTTGATAGCATGTTATGACAGCGCGCAGCCGCTAATGGATGTGTGCTCAACATATTTTGTGAGAAGGACTTATTTTTCAAAAGGTATAAATAATTGCAAAAGTGGCCTTTCTGGTCAGAACAGAAAAGGGGGATTATTATGATCATGAATGAGGTGTTGGTTTGCTAGAACATGAAATTAACCAGGATCTGTCGGAAATCGTTGCTCGGCAAAGAAGACTGGTGAACCACACTGGAGGGAAACAGAACTAAACTAACGACGGCACGCGTGGATCTGGAATGCTCCGCCGTTGCTTAAGTGTCCACGGCGGTACCCCTGGGAAAACAGCAGCAGCAACAGGCAACGCTCTTACTTGGAAGTTGGAAGTACACAGTGTCTTTACAACGAGGTCTGTCTCGTTGTCCAGGAGACATGCAGGGAGAGCCTTATGGCTTGTTTGTGCCCTTCAGGTTAGCCCTCGGGCTTACGGCCCTCAGGCTAATATGTCCGGCACTAGCAAGCCATAAGGCCCTCCCTGCCATGCACAACCTATAATTAATGACTCTTTATTGTCACTTTAGTTCTCACTCCTCAGCAATCTACATGTACAATGTCATGCAGTCAGATGGCACTGAAGATGCTGATCGCCGGCTTTAGAAAGCTGGTCGAAGCACGAGCTATTGCTCAGTTCTGTTTTGTAGTGACCTTTCTAAAGCTGTGCCCACAACTGACACTGAACACCTGAAAACAGGCGTTTCGTTTCATTGCGTCAACCGAATGTAAACCACGGTGCAAAATTAAAACATCTTCTATTTTGCAGCACACGTCACACATTTCAATGGCCTCTGCTGCACACACCGGAGTGAACAATGTGTGTGACGTAAAGTGCGACCTGGTGTAAGCAACCACTTGGCCCGTAGGACCACCAATCTCCAGCACCGACTTTGTGGAATGTGCTATGGTCATCATCATCAGTTGGTTACCGAGACCGCCTACATCGAAAGATGGCGCAGATCAAGCCCATGCGGGGTCGCTCGAAGCAGGTTTCGCCTGTGTCGCAAAGTGGCGTATAAAAGCCGGGCTCATTCCTGTGGAAACCAACGTGAGGAGAAGGCTTGTATTCAAATCTAGTACTTGTACTTGTACATGTATGTTGACGTATGTCAGCACAAAACCAAGACTTTGTGCCAACTGTTCATCTTGGAAATCAGACTTGCATTCAAAACAGGCTTCTAGATGGGACAGGCTTATACAAGACAGAAGGGTATGCACCACGACACAGCTGATCAGCGGAGGAATGCAAAGCATAACAAGTAAGGCAGGTGCTCACCCCGACTCCAGCAGGGTCTTCCTCGTCGCAAACGCCCGCGCTTTGTTGATGGGGTACTTCCAGACAAACCAGAAGCTGATGACGTTGAGCACGACGGGCGGTGCTGCCAGCAGGACACGCAGCGTCTCCGAGACCGATTCAGGCTGCTCGCAAGCCCCTGTCTCATAGCCACCAAACCTGTAGAACAGAAGGCAACGCCATACCGGCAGCCAGCATCACCGTTTGCAAGTTGGGACTACAACAGTGAAAGAAAATAGTCACCATGACCATCGCCAAATTCACTGAGTTTGAGAATTCGCACAATGGAAAAACGAGCCACACGACAACATCAGGGCATTCAAAAGCAAATACACACACACTGCTGGTGGACTTCTAATCAACTCTACTACAGTACCGTAGTAGTACTGTTGTAGACATAGAAGTCAGGTGGAATGACCGGGGTCGGCGCCCATGCTTGCTTAGCTCGTACACGCATTGAAACGCTGCAAACGTGGATGGACCTGCAGTGCTCACGGCTGCACGACCAGCACCCAGTGGCCGCTTTCTCAATGGATTTCAATGTCCGCAAACAGTACTTCCACTCAGAGCAAGACTTACACTTGCAGTGCCACTGTAGACAAGCCAAGGGACACACCAACGGCGAATTTCTGAAAGAAGACGAAGAAGGCGTAGAAGAGCGACTCACGACGCTCGCCAAACTCCAGCTCGGCGTCGTCAATCACATCGGGAAGCATGGACCTACACAAGGAGAGAGTACAGTGCACAAATAAGTACTTGATTCCTGCACAAATAACTTTTGAAATAAGTACTTGATTCTTGTCATGTAGCCAGCAGTCGATCCTGACAGCAGGCTAAAACAAATGACCTCTCCATCCCTGCTCCAGCAAATTAACGAGGCATTCCAGATCCGGAAACATTGCTCAAAATCCTGCACTGTACCTGTATTGCCAGCTACAACATACAGCCATGTGCAATGCAAAACTCAATGAAGGCATCTGTACTACTTCTACATAACATGACTCTTACTGATGACGACCCAAGGGCGAAAATTTGGACATGCGGTTCCGGAGTTAAATCGGAGTAAATTAGACTGGGGTAGTGACGGTGGTGTTTTGTGGTTATGAGAAAAGCAGGCCTTACTATGAGAAAACATTGTGCAGTACACTAAAACAACAAGACCATCAAACCATACTGGACTGAGTGAAAAACATGTTTTCCAAACACCATCACCCTCGTGAGCAAACATGAACTGCTGCTGCTGCTGCATGAACTAACCATGGTATAAGGTAAGACACAGCCGTGCCCAGGCCAGCAAGAGCAGCCAGTGCATACATGAGTGACACAAGGTTTGGCGTGATGTACAGTAAAGAGATGAGGCCGGGGAAAGAGAACTGGACAAGAAAAGACACGCACACACACCAGCACAGCCAGAAAGAAGCGAAACACACATCAAATCAATTTCTGACCGGCATCTGACAAATCCAGGCATGCAATAGAGTACAATCGTGTATAGTCACATACAGTTTGTCATGTAGACGTGCAGCAGCAGCAGCATGTTGTTCATGGGCGTAGGAACCGGTCCGGCAGGCCCGGCGGTCGCCGGACCAATAATTTTCGAATTTTAATTTTTTTAATTTTTTTTGGCTTGTCGACTCTTGTACAGGTACCATGTTTTACATCGACAATGCGGTGTATCATCAGCATGCATATTCTTATTTCTCATATTATTCTGTAGCATTAAATATGGCCTTTTAGGCCCAATTTTCAAAAAAAATCCCGGGGAGGACCCCCGGACCCCTCTCACAATTTTGCCGCACCAATATTAAACCGCTTCCTACGCCCCTGTTGTTGTGATGTTTCATGATAAGAACACCAACACTGGCAAAGGAGAGACTGCATTTGCAAACGAGGGGCGAGGAGTGCTTGCTTCTCGCCTGTAAAAGTATGTACTTGTAACATTAGAGTGTCACACATAAACCAAGGCCTACTTTGAAGTCGAGTGGAAAGTACGTGGCATCGGCATTAGCATTGTGAGGTAAGACATCTGCACAGCTAGCAACACTACCGTAACAACATTCCTTCTCAGCAGCAGCAGCAGCAGCAGCAGCATTCATACATACCAGTACGCCAATGACAAACGTGGCTGTTTTCCCAATCTTGATGGATGCCAACTGCCAGCCAGGCATGGCAACGCAGGCACTGACCTGAAAGACAAGAGAACGACGAGCAGGTACAGTGACAATATTTGCAAAGAATGCTGGAACTCCAACTCCGGTAGGTTGTCGAGTACAAAATTTATCACTTCTAAGTTCTCCCTCTGTTTGATTACTGCTATCTCGTTCGGTCCTCCGGTCTATCCGGTCTATCCTCCCCTCTTATGCATCGGTTTACAAGTCATGCACCAAAAAATTGCTTTGAATAGTATTTCGTATGCCCCCTCTAACCTCCTCTCACACGCTATCCATGTTGGCTTCCTCTTCCCCTCTCTCACAGGCTTTTGATTGACCCTCGAGGTCGGGTCACGACACCTGAAGCCCTTGCTTGGGAAACCTTCTCCCCACAAAAGGGCTTGATCACGCAGGTCCCAAAGCACAAACAGAATGAGGTGGGCATCAAGCATTCTCATTCTGCTCCTTAGCAAAACCCCGAGCCTGAATTTCTTAGAGCTGCACGGGTATGGTCCTTATGCACGTTGTACAGAAGTACGAAGTTCTGTACAAGGACCGTAGGTGTGTACATACCAGGCTGGGCGCTCATTGTGTGCTATACATGATGCACATTTGACCAATTTAGCCGCAGTACCAATGGCAAACAATCGCTTTTCCAGCTTCGTCACTTTGGACAGAACCAATGACTAGTAGATCTATGTTGGAATTGTTTTCGTGCGAAATGTGTTCAGGCACCATTTCTTAGCGGAAATAGCAGTAAACACAATAGGGTCCTGCACATTCAACACCCAACCGGGTCTGCGGGATTCTACGAGATTCTACGGGATTTCATGCATCTGTACAACGTGCATAAGGCTTATTGCATCGTACTTGAAAGTATAGTCATGTACAAAATATATTATGTAGAATGCACCCAGTAATTCAGATGCATGTACATGTAGTACCATACGGTAACATTGCAATCATTACTGACCAGGAGAACGATGATGAAATTCTGGAACTTGCCACGTAGGTTCATGACATACTCAATGAACAGGGAGAAGTTGCCAGCAACCACCTATATACAATGGAACACATACACGCGCGTACACGCACACCCACGGCCACGGATGGTTGTACACACACACAGTCTATGGCACGAGCATATATAAAAAAAGACAAGTTGTACTCAGGATGCATTGGGTCATGTGTCTCATGTTGGCTAATACAGAAATAGAGCAAAAGCTACTTGGCCTGCTACAAATGACGTAGCAGATTCTGCAAAAGATACTGCCACAAACCCCTTAATTATTGTGCTTGCAAGGCGTGCTTTAAAGGGGAAGTTAAGGCAAAAATTAAAATTTCACCAGTTGTAGTCTTCGGGGTGCTGAGTCGAATGGTCTTGGTCCGAGAAAGCTGAGACGCTCCCTTCCTACTTGAATCCCAATCGAACTTGCGCACTTCCACCGAAACTGGGTGACTGCGCCCTACGAGATGGGGATTTGTATGCAAAATGTCACTAAAAGCGCCATTTCGTTCTTATAAAAGCACGGATGACCGCGATTGGCCCATATGTTGTAGTCTTTTGGATGCTGAGTCGACTGGTTTTGGTCCGAAAAGGCTGCGATGCAGCGTTCGCCCCTAATTCCCAATCGAACATGGTTGAACAAGCGGTCACGTGCTCCTGCGTACACCAGTCACCTGGTCACCGTGCCTGCAGGGTACAACTTACAGCCTGTTTTGACCTTTTTTGGGTGCAGTCCTGTCACTCGAGTTGAACCTTGGTGTGAAAGTTGTCGCCTGCTGGCGTGGTGACCAGGTGATTTGGGCACCCAGGAGCACGTGACCGCTTCTTCAACCATGTTCGATTGGGAATAAAGGAGGAACGCTGCATCGCAGCCTTTTCGGACCAAAACCAGTCGACTCAGCGTCCAAAAGACTACAACATATGGGCCAATCGCGGTCATCCGTGCTTTTATAAGAACGAAACGGCGCTTTTAGTGACATTTTGCATACAAATCCCCATCTCGTAGGGCGCAGTCACCCAGTTTCGGTGGAAGTGCGCGAGTTCGATTGGGATTCAAGTAGGAAGGGAGCGTCTCAGCTTTCTCGGACCAAGACCATTCGACTCAGCACCCCGAAGACTACAACTGGTGAAATTTTAATTTTTGCCTTAACTTCCCCTTTAAGTTAGCCGTTAATACCATTCTTTCCTTTCTCTGGCAATGTGGCTACAGTTACACAGACTGTGCAGTTGTGTGTGTGTGTGTGTGTGTGTGTGTGTGTGTGTGTGTGTGTGTGTGCATGTGTGTGTGTGTGTGTGTGTGTGTGTGTGTGTGTGTGTGTGTGTGTGTGTGTGTGTGTGTGTGTGTGTGCATGTGTGTGTGTGTGTGTGTGTGTGTGTGTGTGTGTGTGTGTGTGTGTGTGCGCGTGTGTGTGTGTGCTGCTGGATGGTGTAGGAAAACTGGTAGAGCGTGTCCTCCAATCCCGTCTTCAGAAGCTTGCTGAGAAGGTGCTGCCGGAATCGCAATGCGGTTTCCGCCGTGGACGATCCTGCACGTATGGAACTTTTGTATACACCAACTGGTAGAGAAGTTCTATGAGCACCGTCAGAAGGGATACCTCGTGTTCGCAGATCTATGAAAAGCTTATGATTCCTTGCCACGCCCTGCTGACGATTCTGTTTTGTTAGCAATGAGCCGGGCTGAGGCTGAGCAGTCGCTTCAGGCTTTTCACCGTATCGCATCCTCGTTTGGTTTGTCCGTCAATTTGTCTAAAACCCAATTCATGGTAGTTGGTGTTGGCATTTCGCCGGAGGATAGGATGCCGATGGACATGGGTGGCGACAGCATTTCTTATGTTGAATCGTCTTTGTGCTTGGGCTCCCTCATCACGCCAGACACCCGATTCTCACTTGACATCCAGCGACGGGTTGCCAATGCGGCAAAGGCATTTGGCTGCCTCTTACCAGTGTTCCAGGATGCAAGCTTGACAGTGGCAACCAAGCGACATCTGTACACAGCCTGTGTTCTGTCTGTGTTACTCTACGGTGCTGAGTCATGGGTTCGGCTTCGTCACAACTTGGATCTGCTCGATAACTTTCACCACCGGTGCATTCGCTCCATCCTATGTGTATCTCGGTGTCAGCAATGGGAGGAGAAGATCAGCGCTCCGTACGCGCTGGGGTGACACTACACCAGTATCAGACCTTGCTCGGCGTCGGCGGTTGGAATGGCTCGGGCATGTCGCGCGCATGCCTGCAGACTGTGCTTCCGTCCATATTTTGTTTGGACAGTTGAGTGGCCGTCGCCCTCCTTGTGGCCCACGGCGGCGCTGAAAAGATGTTGTCCAGAGAGACATGAAGACTTGCAGCCGCAAGGACTGCTACATGTTTATACTTGAAGTAGTGGTTGCGTAAAACTACTCTAATTTCAGAAATTTTCGCTAAGGCAGCAAGGGCGCCGGTCCCTGTCATCCCATCGGATTTCAATGTCCACGGCAATAGTAGTAGTAAGTAGTAGTGTGAATGTGTACTTGTATGTTTGTGCGTGCGTGTGTGTGCAGACGCTCGTGGAGTACGAGCAAAAGAACAACCCAGAGGAAAGTACGGAGTGCACTCTACGACATGTATAGTGTGGTTTCACACCTGTCACATGACCATACGGGATGGCCATGTTGATTCCAACTCCAGTCAACCGTTGCATCTATGGGTCACATGATCTCGGCCATGTTGGTTCCACTGTCCACATGCCATGATCACTTTCTACACAAATGTAGTCACATGATAAAGATGTGAAACCACTTTATTCACCAGCTCAGTGCCTCATTCCGAATTTCAAGATATTTTCCAATCAGTGGGTTTCAAAGTTGGTGAAGCAGTCAAACGTTCGGGAAAGCTGAATGCAGAGGTGCCAAAATCCCGATAAGACAGGAGATCTGATTTTTGGGCAAATTTAAAACATCTGATTTTCTGCCCAGTTTAAAAGAACCTCTTTCCCCCTCTCTCTCTATCCCCCCCCCCCCCCCCCACATGCACACACGCACACACACATTTGCAATCAAGAAGTGCCTATCATACTGGGAACACAATGCTCTGCTCAGTGCTGAGCAGAACAGGCACAGACAACATACGTACCTGCGTCCCCAGCCAAGAGAATAGATAGAACATTGTGAGATAGACGTAAGGCCGATGGTGCAGCACAAACTTCAGCCCTTTCCACAAGCTTAGTGGCTTCGGGAGAAGTATGCCTGGCAGCAGAGACATTGACCGACCAAATAGACAGACAGGCAGACAGACAGACATGGGCGGACGGACAGACAGGCAGACAGACAGACATGGGCGGACGGACAGACAGGCAGACAGACCACAAACCCACACACACACACACACGCACACACACACACACACAAGCAAGATTCTTGATTAGAGTTAGCACAACAAGTGCATGTAACTGTTTACTGTGCTCTGCAGCACTGCTTGCCTCGGGACCACGGCCCTAGACTCTGTAAATGAACTGCAATGTTCTGCAGTTTACTGACATATACGTAAACGAAAATGTTCATAAATGCACCCCACATCCTTTTCGGAGAGTCGACGAGGAGACACGTTTTTTAAATTGCAATGAATAAAAATAAACTGCGCAGTCATTCTATGCAATCATGCATCTACACACATATTCTTTTTGGAAGCATTTTTACTGCAATGAAATCCAAGTGTGTGAATGACTGTGAGCATGTATACAGTACATGGCAAGATGTACAGTCAATGTCAAAAAAATTCCGACAAGTCACCGGGGTTGGCTGACCAGGCCATGCTTAATTAAGCAAGCACCATGGTCAAGCATATGTACTGTGTACTGTAAAAGCAGAAATTTTCGGTGGTGTAATATTTTTGGTATTCTCCACAATCGGCGGTTCGGCAGAGGGAAATTTTCGGTAAACCCGCGTTCCAGGTACATGTAAGTGTACTAGTACTATACCGACATTTTCGGTGCGTTTTAGTTTCGGTAAAAATTTCGGCACCGAAATTACCGAAAATAAAACACCACCGAAAATTTCTGCTTTTACAGTATGCTGATACGGTAAATGATCAAGTAGCACAAAAAATACAAATAATCAAGGAAGTAACTTAGTTGGGTTTTCCCCTGCGTCAATGCTGTTCCAGATGTTCTAGCTGTTCACTCTTGTTCTGGGACAGCACAATCCCACAATCAACTCTCACCTTTTTGCTCACGAATGCCAAGGAATGCCACGAGTGCGCATATTGTGGCGATGGCTGCTACAGTGAATGCAGCGATCATATAGGCGTCTTTCTGCATGGCAAACAATACATGTATGTCAATGATATCCTTGGATTCTTCAACGGTACGAGCACCCAAAGAACTTTATTGAAAAATCCAAGATTATCCGGATACCTCAACGGTAGCAGGGCCAACAGTTCCAGCAACACACTGTGAAAAATACGGCACATCATGCTGGTGTCGCTCGTACGCCTGCTGTTTCCATTGCTTGTGACCTGCCAAGCATGACTATGCTATCTAGGGCTAGTGGATGATTTTGGCTGATTTTGCCACGTGAAACACTGGAACATTTACATGCCTCGCAAGAAGAAGAGAATACGCACAACGTTTGCGGTTCAGGCATGCCCAAACGCGTGTTCAAGATTTCACCAAACACACCAGCTCTAGTCGTATTCAAAACGAGTACTCATTTTGTTTACCTTGCTAGTCAAAGTGATTGGCATGTGCACAGGCTAGTCAAAGTGATTGGCATGTGCACAGGCAAGTACGTGCAAGCAATGAAAAATGAAAATGTCATGATGGAAATTCCATTCCAGCACACTTGAATAGGGGGCCTGTTCCCATATGCGCTACAGAAAGAACAACGTGACGGAGGAGTTCAGTTACTGTTTAAGCAGAACTAGTCGTCTGGAATTTAATTTCGTCTTTTTCGTCCAAGGAGCTTTTGGACTAAATTAAATGCCGGACAAATGTCGATTCGTCCAGCTTTTCAATACACTCTTATGATCCATGGACGAAATTTACAGCCGGACGAACTCCTTTTCTTTGGAGTTCGACGAAATTTTTGACCGACGAAATTTTCTGCCTGTACAGTAGAGTACTGTATAAGCAGAAATATTCGTCTGGAATTTAATTTCGTCTTTTTCGTCCAAGGAGCTTTTGGACTAAATTAAATGCCGGACGAATGTCGATTTGTCCAGCTTTTTGATACACTCTTATGATCCATGGACGAAATTTACAACTGGACGCACTCCCTTTCTTTGGAGTTGGACGAAATTTTTGACCGACGAAATTTTCTGCCTGTACAGTAGAGTACTGTATAAGCAGAAATATTCGTCTGGAATTTAATTTCGTCTTTTTCGTCCAAGGAGCTTTTGGACTAAATTAAATGCCGGACAAATGTCGATTCGTCCAGCTTTTCAATACACTCTTATGATCCATGGACGAAATTTACAGCCGGACGAACTCCCTTTCTTTGGAGTTCGACGAAATTTTTGACCGACGAAATTTTCTGCCTGTACAGTAGTTGGAGTGCTCCTGAAGTACTACACGGTTAAGAAAACCCACAGTTCTATCTTATAAAATTAATATTATATAAGTTATACTGTTGCCATCACACACCCGTCTTCTGTTTCTTTAGTACAGAAGAGAGAAGGAATGTCACACTAGTAACGTTTTTAAAAGTATAAAGTTACCATACGCGATGCATTTAAAAATGATTTTTTTCTCGAAACAAAAACGCTATTGTACCCCGCTGGAGAGTCAACTCTTACACGTATACAGTAGCAGTGTTACCACTTGTCACCCCTCTGTGCATATACATGTACAATGTATGCTCCGTCACTGACCTCGTCGGTCAGCCACGGCTTGTCCACCTGACCCGCCGTGCACTCTGGCTTGGTAACCTTTGCTGACAGGATGAGGCCTTGGACAATAGCAGCTATCAGTGTGGAGGCCAGCTCTACTGCCATACCTAAGCACAACAAAAGGGACAGCAATTGATAGAAAGACACTGATCAGGGCACTTTAAAAGAAGCACAAAAACAACCGTAGAGCACAGTAACAATACACTATTCCATAGGCAGCAAGCCATCATATTGTAAGCAGGGTAGCCCTTGGGACACTTGCACTTGGCTCCTACATGCAGCATGCAATCATCGCACAGCTCGAGGCTACTAGCGGCACCGGGAGTAGTCTTCATGAAAGTAGGGCAACGCTATCTACTACCGTACTGGCAATATATGTTGCCGCGTAACGCGTAACGCAGGGGGGTGCGGCGTAACGCGCGACCAGGCTAGTGCGACAAATTTTCGTTGCGTTCGTAATGCGCGTCCGGCGGGGTGCGGCGATCTTTTCATTGCAAAAAAGGCTGAAAACTGTGAAAGCACGTGTACCGCGTGGTGAAAAGTTCAAAACTGGACGCAGCAGGAAGTCCTGCAATAGCAAAAAAAGGACTGCGGCAATATAGAAACCTGTGTAATGGCTCCTGTGCGACTTTGCATGTAACGCCCTGCGTGCGGTAAACATGTGCCAATGTAACGCTTCATGGCCTCACTGCGACCATAATATATATTGCCAGTACGGTAGAATATGTATAATATTGGGAATGGAAACACAGCAGGGAGTCAGCGTAGCACCTACGATATGCTGTTGCGGAGTCACGTTCTTCATTCTTAGTGCTGAGATGCATGGTCAGAGCTGTGTACGGCACATGGTATGCCTGGTAGGAAAATGACAGTGCACATACACACACACACACACACACACACACACACACACACACACACACACACACACACACACACACACACACACATACACACACACACACACAGAATAGAACAAAGGCAGCACGACGAGTGAGAACGACATCTTGCTTTCCTGCAGGTACGAATGGCTAATTACAATTGCAGATCAGAACACATGTACATGACAACCGGAGGTGTTGTAAAACTACCTACTGTTGCTCCTTGTGACATGACATTCCCCAGACTGTCTTCATCTAACCGTGTCTAGGTGGATAGGAGGATACGCGGCATAGTCGACAGTCTTCTGTTTTCCATATCTTCTTACTAAGTCCAACTGCAACACTGCCACACTGTACCAGCTTCGTCTACCCTGTGCGTTCCCTGAGCCCACAGCACGAACCATGAGACACACTGATTTTCCTGTCAACCTGTCTCTCGTTGCCCGTTTAATAAACAGCCATCTGACATCCGCGATGTTGCCAACCCAGAACTTGCCAGGAGACTTTCGACAACACTAGACTAAACACACAGTATTCTACTGTGAAAGAACTGCTCAAGAATCAGCATGACACAACAACAACTTACGGACAGAGCTGTCTGGAAGCCGCAATACATCACCAAATAGTAGAGGACTTTTGTTCCAGTGTTGGGAAAGCTGGGTACAATCCAAATGCCTATGTAGAACGCCGCCATTGGTACAATGGAGAAAAGAAGCCTGCAGAGACAACCAGAAAAGAACCATTACTGTTGCGGTGCTATTTTTTCCCTTACTTGTCTAACGTTGCCTACTTCTGGCATATTTTCCTCCTTCTCATAATACCGGTATTTGAGAAAGAGAAGAGTAAACTTAAAAAATTCTCTAATCATTCCAGTGTTGGTATGGTGTAGGTGTGAGCACACTGGTGAAGAAGTTGGGTGCGTATGTTTGGTGTACAGTACTTTTAAATGCTTATATACTAAACAAGTATGAAGCACATGTTGCCAATGCACAAAGCTAAAAGGGCACATGCAGAACATAGCCGAGTCGAGGAGCAGGGAGCGCATGCTGAACGATTTCCCATGCAGCCAGTGTACAGTGTCACTGATGCACATAGGCACATGGGCAGAACCACCATACAGTTCACTTCAGCTCCCTATCACACATCGCTGCAGGCCAAGATAATCAATAAAAAAAAACTTCATCGGAGTCGTATCGCATCAAGAGCATGTTGCATAGCAGCACGCCTCGCCGAATAACTGTACAAGTACATCAATGCTGTGTGGGTGGCGTCACTGGCATTTACCTGCACTATTTCATGAACTTGTACCAGGCTTGCAGGAATTGACTCGTCATGCAGCGTGAAACTTGCCACAGTGCCTGGCCAGTGCAGCTCATAACAGAAGACTTGGCTCACTAGTACTGTTGCTAGTATTTACTTGAAAACAAGTACATGGCTTTGTAGTGCTTACCATGGTCTCAGCTGGCCAAACCTCTTGCTGTGTGTTCGACTGCACAGGTACCCTATAAGCGGATCAGTGATGGCATCCCAAGCACGGCCGGAGAACACTATGACGGACACGTAGAGAGGCTCAACCTGCACAAAGCAACGTCAAGCAAATGGAGAGAATGGCGGTTCAGTAGGCAATACACTTTTGGCGGTATTGTCGACTACTAGTATGGCGTCCAGTGTCCACCACTGGCCAGCGTTGTCGTGAATACAAATTCACAGGAATTGAACTGCACCGAACGTACTAATATACATTTCTAGGGTACCGTAAAAGTCTGTAAATAAGTACGTACTTACTTTCAAATTTAGTGGTCACACCCGTACTAACTTCGGGCGGGGCACTGACTTTCGGGCACGAACTAACTTTCGGACCTGACTTGTGTGACTTGTGTGTATTGGAGAAGTCATTTCCATGTGCATGCTATGTGCTGCATGTGCGCACTGTACCGTACGACCGGTACTTATTTCGGGCAGTATGTTTATCGGGCTTGACCTGACTTCAACAGACAGAGTAAAAAGAATGAAGGGGGTATTTCTTTCGGGCAGGTGCTTATTTACGAACTTTTACGGTATTTCCTCTTGCGCTAGTTGTGAACACAGCCATGCAGTTCCTGGTTTCCCAGTACATCTCATCTTCCTTATAGTTGCACTGCATGTGATATCTTGCACAGTACATTATTCACCTTGCAGCAACACATTAGGCCAATTGTGCATCTTTCGCCCACTACTTCCATATACGGCCAACGGCACCAACCAACACAAGTCCACGGAAATATGCATTCATTTTGCACCACCACTGATCCAAGTACAGTACATGATTGTATAACACGATGATTTCTGTATCCCGCGTCACAGATCGCTAGGTCGAGCATGGTGTCACTGGTATGTGAGTCCATAAAATATGACTCCTCGGTGACCCTGTAAAATGAAAGTAACCTACGAGATACTCCTGCAAGGAACACCAAGGATATTACCTCAGCCACTTCCAGTAGGTAAATAGCCAAGAAGAAGGCAAGGACTGTGGAGGTTAGGGCTGACGTGGCGCCACCGATTGCAAAGGCAATTTTCCGACCGAATGACAACTTTACCTCCCGGTTACTGAGCAGTGACACATGCTCCTGCAGAAATACAAGAAGAAAGCAAGAATCGCCGGACACGCTGACATCAAGCAAGTGTATGTGTGTGTGCACGTGTGTGGTGTGTGTGTGTGTGTGCATGTGTGTGCATGTGCACAATGTGTGTGTGTGCGCGTGTGTGCGTATGTGCACACACACGCACACACACACATGCATGTATACCATGCACGCACATGTATGCACACACACACACACACACACTACGCATGCACACACCATGCACACACACACGCGTGCACATACTCATGAACGAGCAAACGACCACGCAACGGTACTCATGCATGTTTAGCTGTTCATACATAGATACGCACGTGCAAAGTATCGTGCGCGTGTGTGTTCATACGTACGCGCGTGTAACATACAAGTACACATACATGTACCATACTAGAATGCCCGTTTGCTCAGAAGCTTGATATCATGACTTACATGCGTTTGACTGGCAGTGACCATTTTGGAAGTGGACCAATCAATGAAACAGGTAGTAATAGTATATCTACGGTGGACACCTTCACAATCCCTCCATTTGGCTCTGAATGGTTCAGTCAGGCTGACCTGCTTCAACTAACTCTACGCCAGGGCTACGTTCATGTTCAGCCTGCAGCCTAGCCAGTTCCTTTTGCACGCCTAAATGTGTGATTCCGAAAATTTCAACTGTGGACTACGAGCCAGCAGAGTCAAGACTGTACTCTGTAGTGAAGTGCAATGAAGATGTACTCCGGCATTTCATAGACATAGGAGTCAAGGAAGGCAAGTAAATAAATTTTTAATTTTGTAGTTCAGCTATTACTTCACATGTACATGTTCAAGGAAATGAAATTCTAGCAGAGAGCTACTGCACTGTGTACTAGTACACTGACAAGACTCACATGGTACGCACATGCGATGGTGCAGGAGTTCATCAAACGATTGATGTCGACCAACACCTGCCCACCAAACAGATCGGCGCAGCGCAGTCAGTGACCTCACATCACGGCGCATGATTCTCTATGCACAGTCATGCCAGTACACCTGTCTGGAGTTTTGCCTTGAAAGTCGAAACCAGGGAGTCGCGAAGATTCCTCGGGAGGGGTCCTGCACCTCGCTAGCTCGAGGATCGCATTGGGGACAACTCCGTTCTGGATTTGCTCCGAGACAAGCACCCCGTGGCAGAGTCTTTGCATGACGACGCTGTCATTACTGGCGATCCACCACCACAACCCCACCCAGTGCTGCGCTGATGGGTGGCGAAGAATGACAACTGCGTTTTCCGGTGCCTCGGATGAGCTGTGTGATAGCTTGGCTAACTGTGCCCGCCGCATTGCCACGGCTTACGTCCATCCAGAAGCCCTAGAGGCATTTACAGCTGCCAGGCTGATCCCGCTGGACAAGAAGCATGGCGTTAGGCCCATAGGTATGGGAGAGACGATCCGCAGAATACTGGGCAAGGCGATCCTTGCAGTGACTGGGGACCTTGTGCAGTCTGCCGCAGGCTCTCTTCAGCTCTGTGCTGGCCAACCGAGTGGGATCTAAGCCGCTATACACGCCATGAACGACACCTTTCACAATCCGGACGTGGATGGAGTGCTCCTTGCGGACGCCTCCAACGCCTTCAACCGGTTGAACCGCAAAGCCTGCCTCCTGAACATCCGCCATCTCTGCCCGGCACTGGCCCCAGTGGTCATTAATACGTACCGATCCCCCGCTCGTCTCTATGTCGACGGCGAAAGTATTCTATCGTGTGAAGGCACCACCCAGGGTGACCCCATTGCCATGCCTATGTATGCCTTGGGTGTCACCCCGCTTATCGCTGATGTTGCTTCTGCCGACGTGGTACAGGAATGGTACGCGGATGATTCTTCAGCTGGCGGCCGCCTACGCCCGCTACGGCGATGGTGGGATGACCTGAATGCAAAAGGGTCGGATTATGGGTACTTCCTGAATGCAACAAAGTCGATCCCGCTCGTGAAACCCGAGGCGTACGAGGAAGCCACTGTGATTTTTGCTGGTACTGGTGTGCGTATCGAGAAGGATGGTTGTCGTCATCTAGGAGCAGCCCTTGGCACGCCGTCCTTTGTGGAAGAGTACGTTGCTAATAAGGTCACCGACTGGGTCCAGCAGATTCGTCGTCTGGCTGATTTTGCATCGACTCAACCTCAGGCAGCCTACAGTGCCTTCATTCAGGGACTACAGCCGCGGTGGTCCTTTCTCTCAAGAACCCAGGATGCCCCTGCACTGTTTGGTCGTCTTGAAGACGTGATTCGGGACATCCTGATCCCAGCTCTGACAGGCCACGCGCCACCGTCTGCTCAGGAGCGTGCACTGCTGGCCTTCCCATGTCGCCATGGTGGTCTTGGCATCACCGACCCAACATCTATGGGCGGCAACTACCGCAATTCACGCAAGATCACGACATCCCTGTGGGAGAAACTAATCGCCTAAGATTCCTCCCTAGATGGCACCGCGGCGCAAGTTCTCCGCATGAAGGCAGAGGTACGTACGACTTTGCGAACCAACCTCCTGGCAGCTGTGAAGTCTTTCAAGGATGGTGCTGGAGCAGAGCTTGAGCTGCAGTTGACCCTAGCTTCGGAGAAGGGGGCCTCTAGCTGGCTGACTTGCCGCCCTCTAGTCATCCATGGATTTCGTTTGTCCAAGGCGGAGTTTCGCGATGCCCTCTGTCTCCGGTACGGGTGGACACCAGCATGCCTGCCATCAGGATGCGTATGTGGCCATGGTAACTTTGACGTCACCCATGCCTTGTCCTGCAGTACTGGGGGATTCCCCACAATGAAATTCGAGACCTCACGGCTGATGTTCTGCGTCAGGTCACGCATGGTGTATGCACAGAACCGATGCTGCAGCCAGTCACCGGAGAGAAATTCCGGCTTTTGTCCACAACGACCGCTGATCAGGATCGTCTTGATGTTGCCGCCAACGGAATCTGGGGTGGCCGATTTGAGCGCACCTTTCTTGATATAAGGGTTTTCAACCCCTATGCTGCCTCAAATCGCGCTGCCTCAGTTTCCTCAGTGTATGCACGTCATGAAAAGGAGAAACGCCGGAGGTATGAGCAGCGTCTGCTTGAGGTTGACCGCGCCACGTTCGTACCAGTAGTGCTTTTTTTATTTATTTTTTATTTATTTTTTATTTTTATTTTTTTACGAGAAACCACGAACCTCGAGAACAGAATACTGCATGGTAGAGGTGGTTAACCGGTTGCAGACGCAACTGTGGTGGTGAAAACTGGAGCATCTCCGCCGACCTGAGGTCTCGGCTTCAGCGACACTTCAGAGCACCAAAAACTGGGGAGGAGTAGGCACAGGGGGAGGGGAGGGGGGGGGGTACATTTATATAGAGGAAGGAAAAACGGAAAGATGATACATGTGATAGAGGAAGAAAAAAATAAATAATAATAATAATAAAAAATAAAAAAAATAAAAAAGGGGGAGCCAGGGTGCAAGCAGAGAGGGTGTTCAGGGAGTGTTCAGAGGGCATCTGTGGCTGAACGCCAGTCTCGGCTGCGGAGCGACTTGTAGGCGCCTTCCTTGAATGCCTGCATTCCCTTCTGCGTGGGAAGGTTGCGTAGCAGGGCAGATGGGAGACGATTCCAGTCTTGGATCGCGGCATGGGGGAATGATCGGAGAGCACTATTACGGGCTCCGGCGGGCAGTGTCGGTGCTAGTTGGTGCTGGTGCTGGTTCTTTTGCTGGTGGCGAGTGGAGCGCCGGTGCTGGTTTGCAACTGCCCTCGGTGGTGTCATGGTGGTCAGGATTGGGGGACCGTCGATCCAATGCAGCTTGTACAGGAATGTGAGTGCTGCGACTTGACGCCGAACAGTGAGGCTTGGGAGGTATGACCCTGGGCCGATGAGCTTTAGGGCTCGGTGCTGTACCCGGTCCAGCTGGTTCAGGGTAGACTGGGACGCACCCAACCATGAAAGCGGGCAGTACTCAAGTACTGGGCGGACGAAGCCGCGATACACTGCATACTTGGCCTTGCTGTCGAGAATGGGCAGGGCCTTCCTCATGAAGCCAAGACGTTGGTGACCACGGACTGCAACCTGTCGAATGTGGGAGCGAAAGGAGAGGCTCCGCTGTCAGCCACTGGTGGCACTAGCAAGTGTGCATCGGCCCTGTTCAAGCGTCTTGCCAGCATGCTGTCTGACAAGCTGAAGGAGCCGTACTCAGTGACGATGGCATGGCTTCGCTGCAAGCTAAGCTTTGCATTAGTAACTACGTTCTCCGACTCCCGTTTACGTCTACGTCTATGGTTAAAAAACCAAACGGGTGGTCGTGTTTTCCTTCTAAGTTTTCCTTCTACTTGTGTCTGTGGTGCCACCTTCTCTGTTGAGCATGCTCTCTCTTGCCCCACTGGTGGTTTCCCGACGCTTCGCCACAATGAGGTACGGGACATCTTCGCTGGCCAACTGAAGAAGGTGGCACACAGCGTAGAAGTAGAGCCTCATCTCCAACCCCTCACCGGCGAGCTTTTCCGCTACCGGACGGCGTCCACCGAGGATCAGGCCCGTCTGGATGTGGCGGCGAGTGGCGTGTGGGAAGGACGGTTTGAACGCGTTTATCTTGATGTACGGGTGTTTAACCCTTTCGCTCCTTCAAACCGTTCCTCTTCTCTCGCTGCTCGCTACCAGAGCCATGAGCGCGAGAAGCGTCGCAGGCATGGTCTGAGAGGGTGCAAGAAGTTGAGCGAGCCTCCTTCGTGCCTGTCGTATTCTCAGCAAGAGTCCGTAACCCAAGAGTATGCAACTGTGATTATGGGGGCATGCGTGGCGCGCTGCCTTCATTACGTAACTTGCCTTCATCACACTCTGAAAGCATGCATTCAAACTCTCAATTTCTCGCACGAGCCCATCCGTTTTTGCTCGATTCGTTCCAGTACCTACACAATCTCTGAATTCTGGCGCGTGAACTCCAGTTCCGTACGAAAGTTCGTTTCAAACTAGAGGGAAAGTGCGGTGTTTGATTTTCCGCAGTGCGCGGACTGCAGCTGAATGATGTAATGAAGGCAGCGCGCCGCGCGGTTGGCCCATAGAAAAGAGATCACAGTTGCATACTCTTGGGTTATGGACTCTTGTTCTCAGCCACAGGTGGAGCCGGTCGAGCTGCTTCCGCTCAGCTTCTCAAGCGAATTGCAGCTCTGTCTGCAGAGAAATCCGGAGAGCCATACGCAATGGTGATAGCGTTGCTGCGTTGTCGTCTTGGTTTTGGTCTCCTGCGTGCCAGTGTTGCCTGCCTTCGCGGTGCCCGGCGGATGCGCCGCGTCAATGATCAGTCTGCTGTCCTCGCAAACGCGGAGGCTGCATTGATTTAACTGTTACTTTCTTTGCAACTCCTGCAGTCTAGGTACTGAGTATCATTATTCTGTGTGTGTGTGTATGTGTGTATGCGTGAGTCAACAGCTTTGATAAAGTTATTGTGTTTACCCCTCTTGTCAAGTTTTCTCATCATTGTGTTGCTTTTAATTTTAATCTTGCCCGTAAAAGAGGCTGTTGGACACTCAAAAAAAAACGGTTGGTCGTGTCATCAGACAGGCGCACAGTTCTTGACGCGTACACGCTAGGCCTTGACGGATTATGCTAGCATAACTTTTCGCATAATTCCTACCAAAATCGAATAAGCGCATAATTCAAGGCAAATTGCATACGTATCGCATAAATTGGAATAATCCGACTGTTCGCATCAAATTCCATACAGTTGTACATGTTCTACAAGTACAAGTAGATGCACCAGGAAGTCGTAGGTTTACGACTCCCTTGATAACATGTCCAGTCCACTACAATCAGTGACGGTCGTAGCTAGGTCGGACGGTGCGTTGACCCCGCTGAACTTTTGCTACTAAAGTACGAATCGTACAACGCCCTCTACAAAAAATTCCCCTGTTATTTTGCACAGAACCATCATATACATTAGCAGCATATGTGAGCATGATGCGGCATAATATGATAACTTTTAGCATAAAAATAGCATAATTCTGCCATTTTTTCAGCAATGCGAAAAGCATAATTTCACGAGAATATTAGCATAATCCGTCAGGTTTTTGGAGAAATTTGAACCCACGTAGATCTACATCGAAGTACATGTACAGGGTCGCTCGGAAAAAGGCTGGGAGAGATACGCACGTTCATACAAAAAGTCGTATACCCCCCTCTCCATACCACGTCTACGTCTCCCGTTTCCTCTGCTCCCGTTTTCACCTCGTATACGAATCATCATGACAACCGACCAAATCCTTACTACGTGGACGTAGACGCAGCGCTTTGTACCTTGGTGTGATGACAGCCTAGCCAAGCTCTCCATACCACGTCTACGTCTCCCGTTTCCTCTGATCTGCTCCCGTTTTCACCCCGTATACGGATCATCATGACAACCGACCAAAAACTCCTTACGTGGATGCATGCTTGAAAAGCGCAGGAAACTAACTAGTTACTTGCTCTCTGATGCCCTGAGAAGAGCACACAGTACAGGGAACCTGCCATCACTTCATGACACTTCTTGAAAAGGATCGGAGGCAACCCGTCTGCTCCGGGAGCCTTATGTGCATTGAGATTATTAATAACGTCGGTGACCGTAGGCTGCGAGATAGCCAACATAGAAGTCTGGCGATGGGGACCAGATGGGCACGGTGAAGGTGTGTCCGGATGGGGTCTGAAACAGTTTGTGCAACCTGAGGTGCGGGAGATACCAATGTGATCAGTCCCTCCTAACGTGTCCTTGGTATGTCTGTGAAGCAGGCCATTGAGTAACTGCCATTGGCCCCTGGGCTGTTTACGGACGGACATGAATTGGTGTTGATAGTACTGGGACTAGCGGAGACGCCTGTTCTGATTAAAGTTCCCTCGCGCCGAACTCGACGATATTCTTCTAAAGCCGCTGCTGGGTCACTCGCTTTCTTACATGCTCGGCGGTGGAGGTACTGTCGACGTGCCAATAGAAAACGTAGTTATGAAGTGATCCATGGCTTAGGCGATTTCTTGTGTAGCTTTATGTTCTTGACCACATTATGGATAGAGGTCATCAAGGACACCTCCAATACTACCTGTCTGTATCATGATTGTATACCACTCGTCTAGACTACGGCATGGTATCAAGCCCCGTTCCTACCCTTTGTACGAGAGGGGGCGGGGCCTGAACGTCCCAAACTCCTCGTAACGTAACCATGGTAGGTTGATACTGTGTGGGCATATGTGGATAATGCCGGCAGAAAAATTGGCAGAATTCGGTACTTTTTCTAGTAAGTTTCATGCATGTTTGGTATGTCACTATGTGGATAAAGAAATGGAGAAGAATTCGAGGAATTGCCCGCCATAAGGTTTGTATGGTTCTGCCAATTTCACTGCTTTTCGAGCAGAATCTGCCACCTTTTCGAGCATTCAATAGTGAGGTTTTGCATTCCGAATTTCGGTACAGCGTTCTTCGGTCATTTGTCGAAAATCAAAATGTCGAATTTTCGCACCAACGTTTGTTTTGCAAGTCGAAAATGATGTGTTTTCATTTCGTGAGCCCCAGCATCAGCAACGTCCTGTCCCGTGCTCCTTTTCTTGCTGATTCCAACGAACTTTGATCGCCCAAAGAGTCGAGGGCCAAACCTGCCTCCTCAGTCGCCTCAGAAAAACCAACTCCATGGCCAAGTCAAATTTTATGCGTGTCGCCATAGTCTTTTCAGCCACACAGATGACGGTGAGGACACTCCAGGCGAAAGAGAGTAGAGAGGCAGTGGACAGCAGCAATCAGAGGTAGCTGACGATGCTATGTCGCCAAAGACGCCTGCCAAGCGATGCCGAGATAAGAAACCTCCTTGAATAAATCACGCGCTAGCGCTCTTCTACAAGAAAATGCATCCGAAAAATATTTTCGGCAAAGTGAGCTTTTTCCGAACAAACACGCCGAATCTTCGTGTGCATTTTCGACCTCGCTCCCGCGTGCCGAATCTTTTTGCCGAATTTCGGAATGCAAAACCTCACTAACCGCTGATGGCAATGCCTACTGGTAGTCATGTACTGGACGAGTATAACTAGTATAAGTATTACTGTGTCTCATGCTCATGCCGGCATATGCCGCGCAAAGACTTCAAAGAGTGCTTGATCATGATTTTATCTGGTTTTTGCATACTTCAGCCGGTGCATGCAGCCTAGCGCCTAGCCGCAGTGTAGTGCCGCGGCCGGCCAGGATATCTGCGCTAGTCGCTACTACGCGTGCATGCAGTCAGTCCTTGGAACGCGCTACGCGCGCTGCGCTGGTTATGGTGAGTGATGTGCATGCTGGTCGACACGCGATCAAACAAGCTCTGCACTGCAGCGCCAGTACAGTGCCCTGGTCGACCGGCTATGCCGACAAGAAGTGTCGAAGATCGACAGGCCGCGCCGCTGGTTGTGAACTATTAAAAAATTTTGTTTGGCTGTAGGTAGATAGATCTACCTGGCCGTCGAGAGATTCCAGAGGCAGAGACAGTAAAACTAAAAGACAGTGAAAAGCAGTGAGGTGCGTCAGAGCGGAGAGCAAGCTGGGGACGGACAAGCAGTGTTTCCACTTTCGATACTTGGATGAAAACGTGTATTGGCTGTATGCTGCGTCGACGTCGCGTTGCGAGACCCGTTCTTCAACGGTTACTTGTGGTAGGGTGAGGGCAGGCTCAACGACGGCGGGAAGGAGGACATCACGATTGTTTGACGAATGCAGCAGTCGAGAAGTAGTTGTGCTCTGCTCAATCTCATAGTCTCTGGTGTGTAGCTGAGATTTTTGGTGTTGCAACAGCGGTCTGCAAGTCCAAGTCCAAGCTGTTTCCAATGGAGAGTGTGCAGCCCATGCCAGCAGCCGACCAGAATGGCAGTCGGACGCTGTGAGTATTCTTCCACTGCGCATAGCTCGTGTGTCGTGTGTGATGATCGATATACTCCCCTTACCGATGTACATAATTGCAAGACATTACTAGTGTCTAAGTCGGTATCCGCATATAACCATGATAACCGTTCACGGAAATCGAGTGTGTTGCTTCGTATGGGGAATGTACATTCTTTGTCAAGTGGGTCAGCGGGAAGAAGTGCTTGATGTGTAGACTTTAGTGGCACGTAGTAGATCTACATCGCTCAAGTTTTCATTGCCTCGAATTAATAAAAGATGTTCAGGAAATTACTTGTGTACGGAGGGAGAACACTTAGAAGAATGGAAGCTTGTAGTTACGAACTTTACTTACGACCGCTGAGCCAGTCGACGTAACGTCGTTATAGTAACTTATACGTCCCCTTCCGTTTACGAAAGAAGTGTCCCAGTGTCCGGCCGATTGGTAGGATAGGAAACCAGCGATTCGATTAATTTTATGACTTTTGTCGCTAATGTCCTATCCTAGCAGTCAACGGCCAATGCATGAGTGTGCCTGTAAACGTAAAAAGTGTAAGCTACTACTGCTGTTCGATTGCCGTGAACTCCCAGCTGGCTCGGACAAGGTGATGATTGTTATCACCATTGTGATAAACTCACTCCTTGGGTGGCTTTGTGTCACGCTGAAAGCGTGTCTGAGAGAGACAAGGTGTGACCCTAGCGGTGGCATTGACTAGTGACCACAGCTAGTTGCTTGTGTCAATCGTTGCCAATACTATGCCTGCAATCAGATGATCTAGCCATAAACCATGATAGCAGGCAAGATCCCACTGATATCCACCAAGCCACAGGCACAGCCAAGGCACAGGTCAGCAGTGTGGGATATGATGTGAATACAAATAATTGACAGTGTTGTAGTGTGGCGCACCTAGTACCTGTTTAATTTAAAAAAGGCCGTATTTCGGTTGAGTGTTGTCATGTTAGTCCCCCCCCCCCCCTTACGCTTACGCCAAACTGTAAAAAAAACCCGATAACGTTTACTTCAAGTAAAAAGGAAAACAGTAATCTGAGTAACTTCTTTTAGAACCCCTTCCTGGACTTAGTGTTGTGGACCACTGGTAAGGCAGTGTAGTGTGTAGTGTGTAGTGTAGTGTAAGTGTAGGGTATGGGAAGGATAAGATGATTGCAAGGGTGCATGCAGGGGTTATCCCTTGGAGAGTAACTAAGTTGTGGCTATGGAATGTGTCAGAAGCACAATAAAAATCATGATCAGGTCTAGACTGGTTGTGCCGCACGGGAGAGATCTTGAGAGGGGTGTTCAACTGGGTTCCATGGTTTGGTCAGGGAGTGGTACGGGAGGGATTGGGTAGGATACCACCAGCAACTCCGTCTAGTGGTGCATGGACCAGATGGATTATGCAAGGGGATAGTTGAGGTATCACCGTGATTGATGATGTATGCTTTGACATGCCCTATTGAACATGTATGCGAAGGCATGCCCTATTGAACATGTATAATGGTAGGACTAGATTTGTGGTTAAATCAAGCTGTTCACTGTACGAGTATGACCCCTTGTCCGTGTGCCTATGTCACAGTGTGTGTGTGTGTGTGGGGGGGGGGGGGGGGTAAGGACGTCCCATGGCCCACTGGGTAGGGTGCACAGAAATAGATTGGGCGAGCAGAAACAGTACATTTTAATTGCACGCATGTAGTTTGACACCAGCCTATTGAGTATTGCACAGTCCTATTATTGCATGATTGTGTTGGACAGCTGACAGGGTCTTCATGGCCATGACCGGTGGCAGTTGCCTCTAAACTGGAGCAATGTTACATACGACATGGACGCATGACAAAGCATCATCCACATACAGACATGGGTAGATCAGGGCACACAATCACAACTTGTGTTTAGTGCTAACTTACCGTAAACTCGCGGATAAAAGCCGGGCTTATAAGCATGTAAGCCGCTTTAATGCAAACCAGGCTTGTGCGCAAAGTAAGTTCAAACCATGCTTATCATAGTGCACCACTGATATTTTTGCCAGGCTTGTATGTCAGGCTTCTACGCGCAACATGCGTAGATCTACCACTGACTACCGGTATGGCGGCAGTTTTACTATGCACTGTACATAGCGCATGCATTCTTGACCTACCCGATCCTCGCTCAGTTGCATAGAAGGCAGGCTTCTACGCACGACAGGCTTATATGCATTTGACCCGTTTGATTTTCAGGCTTCTATCCGCGATGTGCTTGTATGCAAACCCGGCTTTTATCCGCGACTTTACGGTACTTATGTCAATTATTTTCGTACTGCCCCCCCCCCCCCCCCCCCTCTCTCTAGTCAGACATACATGTATAAGGTAGTGCTACAATGTGACAGCATTGCTAGGTTACTCAGTAGTATCATTATCAACATTTGCGTAACAGAAGTTTGACGTTCTGTTGTAGTGCTGCTGGCAGAATCATGCGAGTCCTTATTAGTCTCCACACTAGCTGCAAATACTTGATCACAGGAGAAACGTAACACCTCCAACTGTGCAAAATGCCTCTCAAGCATTTTTGACGAACAGATTGGACTCCAGACAGCCGCAGTTTAGTAGTGACATGCTGGTTGTTTGTAATATGCTGGAGAGGTGAGACAGAGATTGAGACTGCACAAGATGATTTTGTCCTTGCATTGCCATGGGCAATGACCAAGATCATGACCAATGGGACTTTGTCTACTGTCTTGGACTATGCAATACAGTTGTACAGGCGTACTTGTCCACTGACAACTGTTTGTATGTAGAATACTATTAATATGCAATTCATGTTCTGGGTGAGGATTAACATCTGCTTACAAGACGCACGATCTTATCTATTGCGTATCATTGCCACTATGTCTCCTGACCCCATCTTTCGGTGAAAACCATTCTGCTTCAGTTTCTTTGTAAATGTAGTCAGCTGCCAATGGAAGGCTTGATGAGGAGTGTGATGTGCGAGAAGTGATGGCTCATGCCATGCGCCGCACCGAACCTTTCTATGGCATATTCTATGCAGTGTACTATACCGTACTGGCAATATATATGGTCGCAGTGAGGCCATGAAGCGTTACATTGGCACATGTTTACCGCACGCAGGGCGTTACATGCAAAGTCGCACAGGAGCCGTTACACAGGTTTCTATATTGCCGCATTGTCACAAGGAAACTGGTAAACACATCGCTCTTCTTCACAAAACGACCTCGGGAAAGAAGAAACCATTGAGATCGCCAACCACTGAATGATGCGCCTTCGAGTGTCAGGACTTCCTGCTGCGTCCAGTTTTGAACTTTTCACCACGCGGTACATGTGCTTTCACAGTTTTCAGCTTTTTTTTGCAGTGCAAACTGCAATGAAAAGATCGCCGCACCCCGCCGGATGCGCGTTACGAACGCACGAAAATTTGTCGCACTAGCCTGGTCGCGCGTTACGCCGCACCCCCCCCCCCCCCCCCCTGCGTTACGCGTTACGCGGCAACATATATTGCCAGTACGGTACTACAGTCAAACATCTTTTGGGGGCGAACACCAAGCCGGGACCGATCATCGGGGGTATTTGTTCGCAATAACGGGAGTTCTCTTTATCTATATTTTTATACCCAGTGAATACACAGTAATTCATCCTAGAGAGTTGTGAATACTACAAGTAGTTCTTCTAAAGCGAAAGTTTGTGTTATCAGTGTTCTTCTTAGCGAGGTTTCACTTAGTATTTATATCAGCTGTGTATGCTGCTGGGTTCCTTTGCTTGGTTGGCTGCCATCACTACAGGATTGAGGAGATCACGCAGACTCCTTTCGTCAAGCATGCCGATGGCAACGTTCTCGTGTGTGTGAACGAAGACTATGGCAGTACAGGTGGCCAGCAGATTTCCTTTCTTGGTGAGTCACTGTTTCTGTTCAGTAAGTTAGATTTTAATGCCACCATGTCACGCCTGCAACTTGTGACTAGCCATGGGACTCCAGTAAGGGTGCATGGGCTAGCTGGGAGTGCTACAATGTCATGTACTTGATTTATCTCTAGGGAACGTGTTGGGTGTATTGTTTATCAAGAGAACTTAGTCACTGCTGGCACGTTTCCGCTGTGGGTTTGGCCGTTGCGAGGTTTTCTTTGAGGTTTTCTTTTGCACGCTGACCTCTTGATTGGATCAGGTAGCATTCATTCTGAGTTTTCCAGTGAGGTCACGGAGAGCAGCACATGGGGCAGTCCTATATTTTGGCCTGAAGTGCCGGGCTTAGCATTCATTATCGAGCGGCAGGGTTGTCTTGCAATCCTTACAATCTACACTGAGTCCTGACTAGTTCTACTACACATAGTACATTCAAGTTGCCCATACTGGCCATAGTGGTGCTGAGCACAGGTCAGTAAAATTGCAGTGCCAGCATCTGTGACCTTGGTATGATGCATGGTACAATGGTCACTCCACTCTTGAGTCATAGTGGAGACTTGAAGGGCCAGCAGGATCATGCTGTATTATGCTGGACTTGTGCAATCACTGCCACGGGCCAGCCTATTCATGACTGTAAACCTCATTGAGTGGCCTCTTGCGCACCAGGCACATGTTTGCTCTGCCCCGATTGTGGATGGTTAATTAATGTACTATAATGTAGCCGAGGCAGAGGGCTGTTATTTTTCTTTACTATGTGTTGCTATTGGCAACCACACACATTTTGAGCCGGCATGGTCCAGCTAAGGTAGAGAGAGAGAGTGATGTGGGTGCTGGGTTCACCAAGGTTCTGATGACACCATGGAGCCTCAGTGACAAAGGACACTGCCAGAGGCACAGTGCTAGCTGTTAGCTGATGTCAAGGACTTGTGCATACATTACAAGTAGAATCTAGCGGCTATGTGCACAGACGGCTGATTTTTAGTCCAGCCTCAATAATCATGTCCCGGCATACAACTTCCAACCGTAAAGCTGCACAAGCAGTTTTTCTGGTGCCGGCCCACGGGCGATAATAGAGAGTATACTCTGTAACTGTTAGTCTGTACGTCATATTACTACTCACTACTGACGAATCAAGTGAGGCTTTGTGGCCGCATTCGTCAGGAGACAAGCTGTAAAAGAGAAGTTCTCTCTAAGCCACCTGACAAGTCAAGGGTGAATTCATGAGTTCTTTTACACTCTCTAATGTCAGTAGTGACAGCATACACTCCGCACCTTGATCATTGCTGCTGTATCTTAACACAACCATGGAATGGCGTCACATGCATGGGTCCATGAACTGCAATTACATGATCCCATGATGCTTTGCGTAGCTGTTTTGGAGTAAAAAAAAGAGTGTTAGCAACCCACAGAAACAGAAAGTCTAGTAGGACCTACCCTGTACGTGAATCATGGGGCAATTTCTTTCCAATATGTTCATGCCATGACCGATATGCATCCCCCGTATTCCATTGGCTGGGTCTACTCTGGACTCATGCTTCATTCAAAACTCCTGTGTTTGCCAGGAACGCCTGACAAGCAGAGGAGGGAGGCGCATGCGCTATTCGACCGCAAGGCGGCCATGGCTGATGAGATTGACCTGTGCAAAGGCGACTACTTGGTGATCACAGACATCCATGAGGATGGCTGGGCAAGAGGGAAGAACTTCAGAACAAAGAAGGTGAGCATAACCGGTGCAACTCTGCAAGAATCCCACATGCTAATTGCCTACATGTACTAGCCATGTTCCATGCACCAAACACACTAGTGATGCGTTAGTATGAGTAACAAGGGACTCATGGAACTGTGTTCCCAATACTGGAGGTCCCTCCGCAGTGAATGTGTACTGATTTGGCCAATAGAGCCGCGTATTGTTAACTGCCTGCTATGCATAAAATACATGCATTGCTATGCAGGGAAGTATAATTATAAGTTATAACAAAGGTCAACGAAAAAAGAAGAAGAATGGAGCCGTAGACCATCTCTGCAGCACTACTATTGAAGTCGGACTTGACGGAGCAGTGAATGCCGAGCAGGACGAGCGGAAGGTGTTCAATCCATCGCTGAGGATTGGTAGAGGCACACAGTGCAGCTTTTTTTAAGTTGGCGTAGAAATCATTCAACCATGCCGTTGGCTGGTAGGTGATAGGCAGTAGTGCGTTTGGAACCATGCAGATCGGTGAAGGCAGAGAATAGGGACGACTCAAACTGCCATCCACCATCAATGGTGATGGTGCCCGGCACACCGAAGCGAGAAACCCAGGTGCAGACAAACTGGTGAGCGACGACGCCTTCAGCAGTGACGTCAGACAGTGGGACGGCTTCAGTTTAGGCCATTGTGTGAAACGGTCGACCATAGCGAGTAGGAAGGAGCACTATGGTCACTGGATGGCGGGTGTGGTCCAACTATGTCGATGTGCACATGCGAGAAATGAGCATCAGGTGGGCCATTGTTCATGAGCATCAGGTGGGCCATTGTTCATGAGCATCAGATGGGCCATTGTTCATGAGCATCAGGTGGGCCATTGTTCGGAACATGTTCGATTGGAGAACCGTTTGTCACAGCTTCTTCGGACCAAGACCATGTCGGCAAAATCTTGAGGTTATGCGGTCTTTCAGCCGTTTCTGAGTTAGACTTTTCACGTCCTCTGGCCTCTGTGTGGTTGTGCTTTGAGAAAGAAATATTTTAGTTTCCGCATGGAATGGTCCAGCTTCATTTACGCTACGATGAGTCCACAACCGTGACGAGTGACGAAACAGCGAACAGCTCCCGGACCTAGAACTTTCAGATCCCCTAGTGTTGTGAGTCTTGAATTGAAAGGTGCAGCCGCGAAACTTTTTCGAACGGAAATATCTCAAGAAAGCTTTGTCGGAGACACGTGGGACTAACACCATTCGACTCAGCGCTCCAAACTCTACGGACCCTGGCATTTTCATCCTTGCTAGCACCATTAGCATGGGTGAATACAAAGAAACTTGGATGAATTGAATGAACCGTTTCAAAAGTGTGTACATGTACAATATTGGTAGATTGCGTGCCCATGTGCAATGTGCATGCAATGCTTGTCCAATGATGATACAGTCAGACCTCGCCTATCCGGTCCTCTTTTATCCGGATCCCTTGCCATCCGGAAGAAAATCGCTGGTCACCGATTGACAGCATATGCCATGCATACATACAGCATGTGTGTTCGATTATCCGGTTCCCTCGCCTATCCGGATATTTTTGTCGAAAACGGATGTGTGCGGTTATGCGAGGTCTGGCTGCACTAGTAGTCATATGGCGGGTAGAGCACTGACAACTGATTTTGGTGATGTATGGTGTTGTCCGTGTTTGATCGGCGTGGGTGTGTGTGTGTGTTGTCGTTGTTGTTGTTGCTGCTGCTGCTGCTGTTGGTGTGTGTGTGTGTGTGTGCGTGCACGTGTATGCGGATTTCTCTATGTGAAGTATGGACTTTTACCGATCAACCATGTCCGTATCCTTCCCAAGCAGCCGCAAGAAGAGCAACACGTGCAGCAGCGGCAGTCCTCACAGAGTTCGCAATGATGCTGACATTCACAGTCTAAGTGTCCCCGTATCGCTGCACACAAGATGTTCTCATGTTGATCAGGGCTTAGCCTGCCTACACTGCACCAGGCGGTGACTTGCTTGGCTCTCACTCCAGCAATCATGTTTTTGCGCTCTATACCCTACAGTTCAGGACAGCAAGAGATCAGCCCTGCTAACTATAACTGCAATGGACGACCATGCAGCTTTGCTAGGCCATGCGACTCATCTATTCACTACTACTCCTCAGCGGTGCGATTCCAGCGACATTGTACAACAATGCGGCTGCTGCGACCTCGTGGAAGCGTGGGCACTCGTACCGAGCAGCAGCAGCCCCCTGTAAGTGCTTGCAACACACTCTTCGCCATTCATCCCCTCTGGCAGTGGTTCACAAGGACGTTACTCAACAATCACGGAATCATCTTTGACAGCAGTTCTACTGCTCTAGCCCGGGTAGCTGAGGTAGTCTATCGGCAAACTCCCACACTGAGCAGTATCATTATTTATCTGGAACTTGATCAGCAGCCAACTCATCACGATTTCATGCCGTTGATGTAGAGAATTACGTATTTCATTAGGCCACCACCCGTCTAGCATATTATTTCTATTCTGACCTTCTCAGATTCTTCAGAGCACCTGGAACAGTTAAGCGCCTTCTCGCTTTCCTGGTTTCCTGGCCTCGCAGAGTATTTTCTATTCAAAGTTCTTACGGTACAGCAACCTGCAAATCTGTGTTGGCTACAGTTGACGTGATTGTGTGGCAAGACTATGCCAGGCTTAGGATTTGTGGCTAAGATGGATGGGTACCACTGGGTACCGCTGGGTATCACTGGGTACCACTGGGTATCACTACCAGAAACACCTATCCTGTGCTGAACATTGCCGTAAAACGGTCACATGTCCCCTCTTACGAAGGGCCGACAGACATAGAGCAGGTTGGTTGAGCACTGTATGCAGCACACTCCACAGGATAGTGTCTAGCGAGAGTTCCGGTATACGAGCACTGGCACAGCTGTGAAATTGAAAATCTCTTTTTGAAAGGAACAGACAGACACACACATACCATGATGTCGCGTATCAAAGCCGGGCTTATTCCTGTAGAAGCCGATGTAAGGGCTAGGCTTCTATTCAAACCAGGTATTTCTATGTGTGTCAACACTAAAACCAGGCTAATGCAATATGTGCCGACATTGTGTCTTGAAAATCAGGCTTCTATTCCATACAGGCTTCTAACGTTATTCCAAACAGGCTTCTATGCCAAACAGTCTTCTATTCCTAACAGGCTTCTATTTCAAACAGGCTTCTATTCCAAACAGGCTTCTATTCCAAACAGTCTTCTATATGAGATACAGTAGAGTCGCGCTGAAGAACGTGGAGCCCAAGAACATCCAGCCTGAAATTCTAAGAACGCCACAGCCTAAAGTAAAGCTAAGAACGGCGGTGTTGGTTTTCTGGCAGCTTGTGGGATACTATGATCCAGTACAGATTGTTTATAAGAACGTGCTATAAGAACGCAGCCAGATTGCTGAAAAATAAGAACGCCCCAGGCTAACCCCTTGGAAACAACGTTCTTGGGCGCACGACTCTACTGTAGGCTTTAAGCCGTTAATACAAGACACTACGGTATACACCATCACCGCCACCACCTACTTTCTGTGTTGACAGTGAACACTCCACAGTTACAATACTACACAGTGAGTAGTACACTAGATGAGATGTTGGTCACTGGATTGGCCATTACTAGACCTGAACTTTACCAAATTTCTATCATGATCATCATGAGTACAATAATATTTCGGTCCAAGGTCACAGACTGCATATGGAGGTGAAGCTAACCAAGCAACACTAAACCTACAGGCACAAAATCAACGTGGACATGTGACCGAAATCCTGCTATTCAAAACGTAAAATGAAAAAAACTTGTGTGTGTGCGAGTATAAACGTGACTGAGCATTAACACAGGAAATTAGATGACATGGGAGTTTCATGGCTGTGGTGATTACAAACAATATTAGAGTTTCATGAAGTTATGGTGAAGCATTTTTTGTTTCAAGTACAAAGGTCTTCTGAAATTTACCAGCTTGGTGGTAGGAATGAGAGCCCAGAGGTTGGGTCAGAAGATGAAGGAAAAGAAAGATTTTTTTATTATCAAGTATGCAGCACACATACAGACTCTCACACGCACGCACAGACTCACACATATGAACACACGCACACACACACACACACACACACACACACACACACACACACACACACACACACACACACACATATGTCGCCACGGAGAACTAGTCCCAGAGCTTGATGAGGCCATCCCAGCCGCACGTCACGACCTTGGAGGTCTCGTGCGGAAGCCACTCGCAGCCAATACACACTTCATCGTGCGCTTTCATTTTGCTGCCAAGGGAAACAAATGGAGAGGAAAGGGAAGCAAACGTTGTATGAGGGACAACAGAAAACAGACAGAAAGGGGGATATACACAGGACAAACATACCTTTATCTTACACAGCCAGCGGTCTATGGACTAAATAGGCTGTGTTAACATGGCCCATCGGCATTTCAGGTTGACATGAAGTGTACTTGACGTGCATACTTGGCGCCAGGATTGGAAAGCATTGCACATTCAAAAATTCCCCACCAAATCATATACAGTCAGACCTCGCTTATCCGGATCCCTCGTCATCCGGAAGAAAATAGCTGGTTATAGAATTGCAGCATACACAGTGCATCCAACATAACCGGTGTTCGGTTATCCGGTTCCCTCCCCTATCCAGATATTTTAGCGGAAAACAGATGTGTGCGGTTAAGCGAGGTCTGACTGTATTCAAGTCACGTGACCAAAATTAATGAACTTTTGTCGGCAAATTACTTTGAAATTAGAAATCTTCCAGGGCCAACTCCTTCCTTGTAAACACAAAATACCCACTATTTTCTTCAAACTGAACATGTACTGTGGTTCAGGCCGGATTGAAAACTCTCGTGTAAACACAGGCTGAGAATCAGGTCCTGACTTACCTGTACAGTTTACAGCTCTTCCAGTCCCACACGCACAGGTTACCATCACCATCACCGGAGATCACGTACCGGCCATCGGGAGAGAAGCCCGTTTGGCACGCATAACCTGCAACCTGTAGTATGCACACACATGCACACACAAACACATCCACACACACACACACACACACGTACATGCACACGAGTAGCACAGGAAAATGGAACTATATATCATGGTGATTGGTGGTGGTGATGCATCAACCAGACAAGAAAAAACTTGCATCGTCAAGGCAACACAATTAATACAGACAGACAGCCAATTACCTATGCTCATGCAGTTCTTCAACAGAACGTATCCACTCACATATCCACATCTTATGTCAAGTCATAATTTTACAACATCAATTAATTATTTTTCAAGAAAGTCAGCGAATTCACTGAGATTGAGAAGCAACTAAACAAAGCGGTTGTCAGCCATCTTTCTCTCTAAAGCATTCAGTTGCAAGTATTGCAAAGGGACAATGAGCAGCAACTAGATAGCAATCTACCATGTGTCCCTTGAAGGTCTTCTTTTTGTTGAGGCGCATCTTGTGTGCTGCATCGTAGACGCGGATCTGATTGTCGGAGCTCTGGCAGACCATCCATCGGTTGTTGCGCGACATGCCCACACTTGATACTGCATGCATCGACGGCTCAGCTATGTACTTGCTGTCCACGGGGATTTCCCTACACGTGAAACAACAATGAACAGCAACACAACGGTACGAGGTTGAAGTGATGTGCTGTTTGCTGTTTGCACACCAGGACATCATGTTGACATTATCTATAGTGATAAAGGGTAATGGTAGCAAAGAAAGACACGGACTCTATAGTCCATTTCAAAACTATAGACGCGTAGGGTTTTTGAAATATTTCAAATTTGGCTGGACCTTTTTGAGAATAGTTTTCGGAATATTGCTCAGGTCCGCTCCACAATTACTCTCATATAGTTTCTAAACGATTGGTTTAATAACAGACGCCCAATTTGGAAATTTTTTATGCACAAAGTGATCACAGATTTTATGTGGTATAGATGCTGGCATAACGGTTTTTGCCTAGGTACGCGTCTATAGTTTTGAAATGGACTGTAAAGTCTAAACGCACAATACTGCGTTTTCGTGATCAGCAGAAAAATTACAATGGTGAGCGGGAAGCGAATCTTTCCCAAAAATACAACCAGACAAGGAGAGAGGAGAGAGAGAGAGAGAGAGAGAGAGAGAGAGAGAGAGAGAGAGGCATAAACAGGAGGAAGAATGACGGGCTTTACCATTCCCAAACTCGCAGACTCTTGTCATCGGATGTTGAGACAATTCGTTTGTTGTCATCAATAAACGAGATGGTGTTGACGGCACCCAAATGCCGGTCATACTCCTGCATAATGTCACCACTTGTTGTGTCCCACTGGACTATCTTCTTATCTGAAGTTCCACACAAGAAGATGTGTTGCTTGTCCTGGAGCAGAAGAACACATAGAGACACACATAGACACACACACATACACATACACAGACACACACACACAGATCATAAAAGATTGCATTACATTCATAGCCAAATCAAGAACGTGAATATAGGAATACTACCTGCAGTCATAAATGTGCAATGGACTGAATGCAACAAGAGTCAGCTGAACTCATGGACCTCGCTTTACAGGACAAACCATGGAAGCGACGAAACCCACAACTACATGACAATAATCGAAAAGTGAACTCAATGATCCTGAGATGTTGTGACTTCAGCAGTAATAGTAGAAGGTAGCTACTCCTAACGTTGGAGCTCATGCTTCTTGCCGACTGACATTTGACAGGTGTTTGTGGCCCTGGAAACGTCGTGTCACTGTTAGTTGGTATCCCTAGCGATGTTTTGGCTCGGAGAGCACTGCACCATGCAGTGCATTTCACGTGCATGGTACACTACGTACCTCATCGGGGTTGAACTTGACGCAGTACGGGATTTTCTTTGTTGTGTAGCGACCTATGCACTGGCCTGGGTACAACAGGGAGGACATGGACAATACAGTTTACGGTGAAAATGTCCTAAACAAAAACCCACATCCATGATATCCGCACAGAGACACAGAGATACAGATACACACACACAGTCACACAGACCCCTACTATACACACCCACACCCACACCCACACCCACACACAGTCACACAGACCCCTACTACTACACACACACACACACACACAGTCACACAGACCCCTACTATACACACACACAGTCACACAGACCCCTACTACACACACACACACACACACACACACACACAGTCACACAGACCCCTACTATACACACACACAGTCACACAGACCCCTACTATACACACACACAGTCACACAGACCCCTACTATACACACACACACACACACACACACACACACACACACACACACACACACACACACACACACACACACACACACACACACACACACACACACACACACACACACACACACACACACACACACAGCAGTACAGTCACACAGACCCCTACTATATACACACACATACACACACAGTCACACAGACCCCTACTATACACACACACACACAGTCACACAGACCCCTACCATACACACACACACAGTCACACAGACCCCTACTATACACACACACACACACACACACACACACACACACACACACACACACACACACACACACACACACACACACACACACACACACACACACACACACACACACACACACACACACACACACACACACACACACACACACACACACACACACACATGTATGTTACTGGTTGTAAAAGCAACGCAGAAATGTGGGCGGGCAAAGCAAGCACACTCACCGGTTTCTGTGTCAAACATCTTCACATAGCGGTCATAGGATGCAGTGAGGAACCGCGTTCCATCGTTGTTGAATGAGATGTCACGTACAGCCTTGCTGTGACCTGTGTATGTACGTACCAGCCGACGATCGTTGTATACTTCCCAAAGCTGTACATTACAGAATGCAAGAAGAGAGTGCAGGTAGGGAGAATAAAAACCGCAATTCAATGATTGCGGAGAGAATACGGACCTGAAAACCTGAAAATAGTATAGCCCCCATTACCATCCAATCACTGGGAGTAGAATATACAGCTTGACACACCAAGTAGTGATGCTACTTGGCAAGAGAGTACTGTTTCAGCTATCGTCTTTCTATCCGTCATTACACTGTGCTAAGGTAAAGGACAAGCTGTGCCAGCCAGCATGCATGCTGTCACGGTGGTCTGTACATATTGCCATTACAGACCACACTACTTGCACTCCACCGTGCACAATACAACAGTATACAACTAACTCAGACAAGGAGTGCTCAAACACAAAGGCTTGACACACTCACCATAACCATGAGTCTGTGACCAAGAGTATAATTATACATGTACAGTCAGACCTCGCTTAACCGCACACATATGTTTTCCACAAAAATATCCGGATAGGCGAGGGAACCGGATAACTGAACACACATACTGTATATGCATGTGGCATGTCATAAGCAGTGACATCGTACATACATGTAGACGGGTCCTATGCGGTACAACTATCGTGCACAGTATGTAAAACAAGTGAGAAAAATGACAAGTGCATGCAACTATCCACATGCACCCAGGCCCAGCAGGTCAAGGACCTCATTTGCCTGTACAACTCCCTGATTCTAGCTTCTGGAAGCCACATGCAACCGGATACGACGAAGCTTTTTGTACACATTTTAACCAGTTTGTACACAAAATCATGCACCGGTATGCGGATCGCGAGGTCCGGTTATGTTGTATGCGTAACATATGCTGCACATTGGTAACCAGCGATTTTCTTCCGGATGGCGAGGGATCCGGATAAACGAGGACCGGATAAGCGAGGTCTGACTGTACTGCACATGGTAGACGAGTAGATACACCTTGTTTTTGTTTACGTCTGGTTTCATGCTGCTGTCAAACTATGAACACTATGTACTGTACATGTAGCTGTGACTATGGACCAGTGAGTGGCGCACTGCCGTCAGTAATTACTAATTTGTCTGCATCACGCCCTGCAGCCATGCACTCAAATCCACGATCACACCCGTTTTCCGTAATTTTGATGAGGAGTTGTGGAAGTCATGAATCATGCCTGCACTGTAGCGCGGAATCAGTATGATCCGTGACACCAATTAGTACTGTATCTTGACCTTGGAATAGCGTACACGATGAATTGCACTGTCCTGAACCCATACACGGAGCTGCACACTTTGGTCCATGCACAGTTGACACTGGACAGGCATGCATTGCAACATACCTTGACTTTACAGTCCATACTGGCTGAGAGGAGTAAGTGGCCGGAGTTGGGAAATAGTCGAATTGCCGATACACCTTTCGTGTGGCCAGTCCTGGAAGACACACACACACACACACACACACACACACACACACACACACACACACACACACACACACACACACACACACACACACACACACACACACACACATGCACACGCATATTGACGACCAGAAGAGTACATAACTTCAGCTGAGTGCACAGTCTCCAAGCCAGAGACACACACATCTAGCATACACAGTGGAGCAGTAAGAAGCAGCCCGCGCCATCACACGAGCAAGGAAGCCAACCGCTCCTTTTTAGCAGACAACTTGCACTTTATTATCATAATATTCCGGTTCCATTACACATCTCATGTTTCGAATTACAATCTGTGCGACGAATGGTACATACCATGTGTGTATGCAGCGCTTGGGCAGGAAGCACTTGTCGGGACCATCCTCAGAGTGAAGGTCAACATCCAGGTCACGAGGTGCATGCAGAAACGATCTGCCCTGGTAGTCAAGAGGATCGTCGACTGCACGGCAAGAAGCAGAATACGGAAAACGGCAATAACGTTACCACAAAAGCGCATGAAGCAACATTACTGGAGACATTGAAAATACTCATTACAAGTAGGCATGAGACAACAGGAACCGGGAAGTCCACGATTTGCTACACGAAACGCAGCAGAGAGTGAAAACATCAAGTCCATATGACAAAAGAGAGATGAAAACAAAACAATAATGAGCGATGATGCATGTGAACCCTAGCCCAACTTACTATGCAGCTGTGTCTTCTCATCAATGGTCTTGTCGTCTTTCTGACGACTTTGAGCCACTTTGGCGTCGTTATACTTGTCGAGTACAACCTGTTGCTCCTGTGGATTGCGGGTGCACAAAGAGAAAGAAAGAAAGGGAGAAAGAGAGAGAGAGAGAGAGAGAGAGATGTATGGTTGGATACGGCTGGCAAGCAAGCATGCACAAGTCGAGCACATTGGCCCAAAGTCACAAACAGCCAATCGATCTGATCAGGGCAACAACACACGCAGTTTTGTAGTGGCGACTAACCTCTGATGGACGAGAGACTGTCACGTCATCCACGTAGCCTGCCCAGGGTCCTGTGAATGAGAATGAAACAAGGCTGACAGATCAGAATCTCCATGAACGATTACGAGTCACAATTAAAATTGTTCAGCACAATCCAGCCCACAGTGGCAGCCATGCATACTGCAAGAATACAAATTTGTCACGCCGCCAGTGCTCCCAAAATGCATACCGGCATATAAAATACACTGAACCGTGTTCGTCGCTGCCTTTCTATCATCATCTTATTCACCCATGCTATACTACTGCCCATTCCTCCCATAGGAGCCACCTACACGCATACTAGTAGGAGAGAAGATGGATGTTTTACAGTAGATCAGTCTCGACTCGCATACAATACATGTACACGTAGTGTTTGTGCGTACAAGGCAGACACGCACAGGCAGACAGACTCACCGTGATAGCCATCGATCTTGGACGGATCACCACGATCTGAACGCTTTCGCTTGTCACCTGGCCTCGCTTTGCTGCTTTCGAAGACAGTCAATCCTGCAGAGAACGGTTAAGGTGGGCAGAGCAGCTTGTGCCGGCTCTATGGTAAACTACTATGAATGAATTCAGTCCATATTCTCATTGCTACAAGCAGATAGCTGTTCATTCTACCAGTGCTAAGAATGCTCAGACTAAGCGCTGGGATAGTTACTATACAGGCGAGTGACGGGATTAGTATCGGTTTGTACAAAACCTGTTCAAGCGACATGACTGGTCACAGGCCAGTGTCAGCGTGGACACTGTCATTGGTTTTCTGTCTTCAGGCTACATAACCATGATGTGACTGAATGGTGAGCTATAGGCTATAGTAACCAAATGAAGCCGGCATTTTTCAGTTCATATTCCACGGCTCTACCAGTCCGAACGAGGTGAACGGTGTTCTTAGTTCTTACCTTTGCTGGCAGCAGCCGCCTCGACCTCACCAATAAACCTGGACAACGGAAGCAAGATATGCACAAAGTCTGACTCAGTATTCCACAACGGAATCTACCAGTGACTGGCCTGAAACGACAACTTTGTATTCAAAAATCAACAGTGGTACGTTTCACGGATCTCAGCGCAAATTGTGAATGAGTGAATAGCAACTGAGCGGTGTGGTAGTCAGTTGACAAGACACACACATTCTATTTCAAACTTACTTTACAATACTTAAAATTTTAGTAAGTTAAAAAGAAGGACACACTGTACCTGCACGCGATGGTGGCATGCCTAGATAGCCAAAACTACATACATGTACATGTACGAGGGATTGCACAGGACTGCACGGCTGTGCATGAAACTCTGAGTTACAAGCACAGAGCCGTTCAGTCCACTGCTTGACTGTACAGTCGTGTATGTGCAAGCTATGCGACATTACCTAGCAAAAATAAACGTGCTGAAGCCACGGCACGGCAGGTGAACTTACGTCGATCCAGGAACACCAGCAGCGTTGTCAACAGTTGGATCCACAGCATAACCTAGTGAACACACCCATGTAGACACAATGTACATGTACATTACATGAGGAAGACAGGAAAAGTGTATTCGGGAAATCCATTAACTTGCCGTGTATGTGTGCCTGCATGTGCATGCGTGTGTGGGGGGGGGGGAGGGAGGGAGGGAGGGAGAGAGAGAGGGAGAGAGAGAGGGAGAGAGAGAGGGAGAGAGAGAGGGAGAGAGAGAGAGAGGAGGAGGAGGAGGAGGAGGAGGAAGAAGAAGAAGAAGAAGAAGAGGAGGAGGAGGAGGAGGAGGAGGAGGAGGAGGAGGAGGAGGAGGAGGAGGAAGAGGAAGAGGAGGAGGAGGAGGAAGAGGAGGAGGAAGAGAAGGGAGAGATAGGTTACCAAGATTCATGTACTTCAGTACTGAGTAGGGAAGAATTTGATTCTACCGTAACTAACCATAAGAGTGATAGGTACGACGCTGCGTTTCAAACTGAAAAGCATTTACGTGTGCTGGCTCCACATAACCTGAAAGCCAAAGAAGAAGACATGAAACAAAAGTATTTAGAAAAAAAGATTCAATGCCCATCAACCCCAACAATCAAATACAAGTGGTGGTGCAGTGGAACTTTCCCTGGCGGATGTACCTCAAGACATGGACATCAGTGCACTCCGGATTATACCGGTAAGTTAGTTTCCAGCCCAGTCTTCGAGACTACATTTATTCACTGTTGCACCGGAGCCTGTCACGGACCTCCCCGGGGTGGCAACATCACTTAGAAGCACACTCCAACCGCAAATCACTTCATTGAAATTGGCAGCCAAAAGGAAACGGCCTCGCACTTACCAGCCAACATGTTTTTATGCGCCTTCTGCTGGCGGGTCTTGAACGGATTCTCCGGACCAACCTGCACCCAAGAAAAGCACATTGGCATGAAAAAGGCATGAAAATACGACCACAGGGTAACCGTGGCCAGGATATTTTTCTTAGGGTGTTGACATTCGGATAGCCACTTATTCATACTGTTGATTAGGTTTACTAGTACTTGAAAACTCTGAAAGATGCCTCACGTTTGTTTACTTGCAAGTAAAAAAAATACTTCGGTCCAAAAATATGGTATCTGAACTGCAATTGCGTCAAATAAAATGAAACTCCAATTATTGCCGCATCAAACTGTCTCATGACAACCGACCATGCATACACTGTACTGCATTTCGGCAAGGGCCATGGGAACTTCCTATCTTGTGTGATAACGGCATTCCACGCAGGCACAGAGTCGGCAACAGTAAAGCCAAATTCACAGTAGTGGATTTTTTCGATGCGATACGTGATGCGACGACTGAGAAACCGGGGAAACCCCAAATCACACCCACTACGTTAGGCTCAGGAGTTGTTCGTCTGTGTGATTGGTAATTCACGAGTTTGCAATGTTCTTGAGCGGTGCAAGATGTGCTGTGCATCACAAAACACCTTTCGTGAAACCCCGCTTGACAAGAAACAACATTATGTGACTGGCTGGCCATACCTCAGGCCCATACATCTCTTCATAGCGAGGGTTGTACGAAATCTCTTTCGTGTCCGGCTGCAGAAAGGATCCGGTGGCGACATCCTCCTACAAAAACAAAAACAAATTCAACAAAACCCATCAGCACAGGATGATAATATACAAGTACAAAATCATGCTCCCTCGCCTCGGCTTGGTTGACCATTCTATCTGGTTAGCGTGAAAGTTATCAGCCCTGGTGCAAATCTCGTCGTGTTTACTGCTTAGAAATGCTTTGTCATTCAATAGACTTGGATCGGTTCAACCAGAAACTCTGAGCTCCGCTAACGAGATGTAACAAGATCGAAACAGCTAGCTGTTCGGAGAGGATCAAGTAGAAATGAATAAATTCCACGGGCCACAAAGCACTCTAGGGCACTCAGGCATAACAATGTACATGAAGCCGTTATTCACTCTGATAGGCCATGTGTCCGCGACATCTCTAAACCAGTCATATCTGGATTATCTTCCCTTATAAAACAGTCTTGTGTGCGTGTGTATGTTTGTACGATATTGTGTGTGTGTGTGTGTGTGTGTGTGTGTGTGTGTGTATGTGTGTGTGTGTGTGTGCTTCATATCAAGCTACCAAAGGCTTTGGATGCTTTGGCAATGCGGCCCTGCACGTCGTGGGAGGACAAACCATCTGGCTGTGTTCATTGACTCTACAGTGTCGCCGTCGCGTGTATGTTGCCGTGGTGCTCTCTACCCTCCTGTACTGCGCGGAGACCTGGACAACGAAGGCTCCGGACCTACGACATCTCAACCTCTTCCACCACCAGTGTATAAGAACTATCGTTAGAGTGTCGCGACAGCAGCAATGGGAGACACGCGTAACATCCTCAGCCCTTGCAAAGACCCTAGGAGTGCCTGAGGACATTGGTCTCATCGTACGGGAACGGCGTTTGCGCTGGCTTGGACACGTGGCACGGATGGAGGATCACCGGTTGCCGAAGTGTGTTTTCTTCGGTGAACTGCCTGCCCCGCGCCCGGCACATGGTCCACGCAAGAGGTGGAGGGACGTCATTGTGGATGACTTCGCGTCGGTTGAGCCACCGGTACCAGCATGTGGATGCTACGATGCAGCCCAGAACCGTCCGGAGTGGCGTGCCGTTGCCCGTCAACCACCCAAGGCACCCTCTGCTACTAGCTACAGTTGCGCCTGCGGCCGCATGTTCTGTCGAAGCGGCGACCTGAAATGCCATCAGTCATTCTGTCGTGGACTGGAGAAATAACAATGCGCTATCATTGCTACGCAATGGGCAAGGTCAAGGTCAAGGTCAAGGTGCGTGTGTGTGTGTATCAGTGACCTACCCAGCCTTCCCAATGTCAACAGCAGAGACAACCAGACCAGACAAAATCCCGGTTGAGCCACCGGTACCAGCATGTGGATGCTACGATGCAGCCCAGAACCGTCCGGAGTGGCGTGCCGTTGCCCGTCAACCACCCAAGGCACCCTCTGCTACTAGCTACAGTTGCGCCTGCGGCCGCATGTTCTGTCGAAGCGGCGACCTGAAATGCCATCAGTCATTCTGTCGTGGACTGGAGAAATAACAATGCGCTATCATTGCTACGCAATGGGCAAGGTCAAGGTCAAGGTGCGTGTGTGTGTGTGTATCAGTGACCTACCCAGCCTTCCCAATGTCAACAGCAGAGACAACCAGACCAGACAAAATCCCGGTTGAGCCACCGGTACCAGCATGTGGATGCTACGATGCAGCCCAGAGCCGTCCGGAGTGGCGTGCCGTTGCCCGTCAACCACCCAAGGCACCCTCTGCTACTAGCTACAGTTGCGCCTGCGGCCGCATGTTCTGTCGAAGCGGCGACCTGAAATGCCATCAGTCATTCTGTCGTGGACTGGAGAAATAACAATGCGCTATCATTGCTACGCAATGGGCAAGGTCAAGGCCAAGGTCAAGGTGCGTGTGTGTGTGTGTGTATCAGTGACCTACCCAGCCTTCCCAATGTCAATAGCAGAGACAACCAGACCAGACAAAATCCCTCAAAGGTCGGATGTGTCATCGCTGCTTTCGTTCTGCATTTGGAATTTCATGCCACAATTGCCACCGTGGACAACGTGTTTCGGCTGTAGAGCGGCTCCAATGCCAACATGACTGCCAGCTCTGCAATTGACGTTTCCGACGTGCTCAGGACATGTCTCAGCATGGATGTGCCCGTGAAACTCTCCCTGCCCGAATCTGGCTCCTTTATGGAGTGCTGTGGCCCTAGTGGCAGTCATGCATTACAGCAGTACTGTCGTGGACGTGGAAATCCGGTCGATTGACCGGGGACGGTGACCTCAGCGAGTACAGAACGCTGCATGCAGGACACATGTTGATCCGGTGCGACTAGCGCGCAGCGCATAAAATGCATGTGTGTACCGCTTATCCACGGCTGCATGGCCGGCACCCTGGGGCCGCTAGACGTGCGACCGGATTTCCATGTCCACAACAGTAGTTAGTGGTACAGTATGTGTGTGTGTGTGTTTGTGTTTGTGTGCGCGCGCATGTGTGTGTGTGTGTGTGTGCGCGCTCGCGCACGCGTGTGTGTTCAGCACCAAGGCAATATCTCCCACTGTATATAGCATGCACATCATGCATGCGATGGTACTCAAAATATTTACTGAGATGATATTATTAATTTACCTTGACTGCAACTTCTGGCGCAGCAACTACACGCATGGAAGCGGCTGCGGAGAAAGAAGCACTTGCTGCACTCGCCATTGCAACAGGTTCGGAAGTAGCAGCAGTAGCAGCAGAAGCTGTGGCCTCGCCGAAATTTGAAACTGGGCCTTCGTCATCACTGCTGTTGTAACCCGCTAAAGTGTTCATTGTGGCAAATTGGCTCAGAATTCACAGAAGAGGCTACTTTGGACTTCAACACTAATGCTCACATATTCGGTCACCAACGTGGGGATTCCAGGTCAACAGCAGTTACATGTAGCTGGATGAAAATAATTCCAAATCACTCAACGATCATTCGATCAACCAGCGTTGCAACGAAGTCAAACTGAATCATGAAACAGTGTGATCGTGAAATGTCTGAAAAGAAATCAGTGCATGCATTTTTTTCTCAGAAAGAACGATCAACATTGAAAAGGAGTGACGTCATGTGTTTTCTTGCTTTTCTTTGCGAAAATACAGAATTCCCGCCACAAGATAGCAAGCGCACGTGAGGCACTCGAATCGATCACTCGATCAGCTGAGCTAGCAGAAGACCATGTGCGCTGAACCATGTGAACGAAGCTCCTTCTGCATCAGAGAAGATTTCGAATCCCTGCTGGCTGGTGTGGGTCTCCCTACTAAATAATTAGTTAAATTACTGACTTTCCCCTCGTTGAACCGCCAGCAACAATGTCTACTGTCAGTGAATATGAATTGAAACGCCTGCGGAATATCGAGGAAAACAAGAAAGTTCTCGCAAGTCTTGGCTTGGATCGTGTAAGTAATAGTTGGTTGGCATTTGGATTGGAGGCGACTCGATCAGGAATGTCAAATTTTTTGAACTTTTGAATACGAAATTTTCGATGCGGGGTAGATCTACAGGTAGATCATTGGCTCACTGACTAATACTCTTGTCTGTTTTCCATGTTGTTATCAGTTTCGAATTGAGCCTCCGAAAGTTCCGAAGGCCGTCTCTCGAAAAAGAAAGCGCCGTGCCTCTGATGGGGACTCGTCCAGTGAGGACGAAGATGACGACGCTCCCCGTGCCCGCAAGACAGTTTGCAGAAGACCCAGTCGCCGCTCTGGCCGTATAGCTGGCAAGGTAAAACTACTAAAGGAGAAAGTTCAGACCTAACCATTACACTATGATTGTATAGTGTATTGAAAATAGTGGATAACACCTAAGAGTGTGCAACTTATGTTACTTCCTTATGCAATGCTGTCCAGGCGCATCATTTGTATGATACAATTCCGATATTGGTAACAAACAAACAAACGAATAGCTGTCTCTACTAAATTTTAGTTACTTGCACGAGTAGCTTTAGTTTGTACAGGATCAGACCATTGAATGTCTACCGCATATCTACAGAGGTACCGGTATCTGAAAACAGTACAATCATGTACTATTACCATTACTGGGGGGATAGCGTACTCTTGGGTATTGACACGAATCCGTAAGCAAGGGTGTGCAGCTAAAAACCTTCCGTGTGGAACTGAAGCTCGGCGCTTCAGAATCCTCCGGGTATTGCTTCACTGGAAATTATTGTTTGCAGTCGTGATAATCGACGTATGTATATCCTTTGGTTTAGAGTTGTATAAGTATACCATCATTCTGTATGCATTGAACTATCTCTGCTAGGCACCACCGTCACCTGGGGAACTACGGGAAGAGGTAGATGAATTCCTCGACGAGGAAGGATATTCTAATCGGCCAGCTCGCAAAGACCGGACGAACACATTTGGACACATTCCTGGTGAGCGTCTTTTATTTCTCTTTTTCGTGTTGGCATATGTGACTAGTCATGAGGTTCTCCAAGCAGTATGCATTATGCATTATGCATTATGCAGTATGCATTATGCAGATAATTTGCGGAGATTAATATTATTACACTATACGACTTCATCACCTGGTATAATCTTGCTTCTGTGTTTGTGCCTCTCTCTCTCTCTCTCTCTCTCTCTCTCTCTCTCTCTCTCTCTCTCTCTCTCTCTCTCTCTCTCTCTCTCTCTCTCTCTCTCTCTCTCTCTCTCTCTCTCTCTCTCACACACACACACACACACACACACACACACACACACACACACACACACACACACACACACACACACACACACACTCTCTCTGTGTGTGTGTGTGTGTGTGTGTGTGTGTGTGTGTGTGTGGTTTGCGTGTGGTGTGCGCGCTTGACTGTGTGTGTTGGTTTGTTTGAATGGAAGGAGTTGAAGTTGGCCGCACATGGTACACGCGGTTGGACTGCTCTGCTGATTTGGTGCACAGGTTAGTCAATGGCATCTGTTAGCCTCAACAATGTTTTCCTGCTGGGCCCTTTCTGCATCCAGATTGGCTGAAGCCTTTTCAATGAGAGTCGAACTATTAAAAACACACAAAAAAGCACGGATGATTCAACTCGCCGCGAGCCCGTGTCCAGGTGAAGTTAGTGATTTTATTTCTAGTTTTCTCTTTCTCAATCCTCTCGCTGTAGACCGACCGTGGCTGGAATTCATGGAAATGAAAAGGACGGTTGCTACTCTCTGGCATTGTCCGGTGGATATGAGGACGATATTGACATGGGCGATTGTTTCACCTACACCGGTTCTGGTGAGTCGACTATAATTTTGATTTGTGGGTTCTGTACGGGCCTGGCCTGTTTCTACACGACATGTAACTCGTGGGAGTCCTTCCTTATGTAACCACTTGTGTATGTAGCATACCACCGCTACAACCTCGGCTTTAATTTGTATATTCCGTGCTGTTTGTGGTGCTGCATGTATGCGGTCGAGGTGTGTTGGACCTTACTTTGATCTTCTTGTTGCCTACATGCAGGTGGCAGGGACTTGAGGGGAACGAAAGCCAGCCCGAAGGTGAGGAGGACTTTTGTGTGCGTGTTGCCCTGATTCTTGAGCGAGTTTGTGCCAGGAATGTTTGCCACCTGGTTGATCAGAGCCAGTCGTCACAGAGTCGCTAACCTGTCTTTTAAATGTGTCTGTCTTTCAGAACCTTCGTACAGCGCCACAAAGCAGTGACCAGACACTGACTAGAGGTGAGACGTTCAGCGTGTACGTGTGGCATGCCAGAATTAGAGAGGTTCTGCACAACGAAAGTTCGAACGAAGTTTCGCGACAGGCCTTGCGAAAGTGTGTACGAATTTTCGCACGAACTTTGTGTTCTGCACATTTTCGTAGTTTGCACGCGCCAAGTGCACGTACGACATGACCCAATCTCACGAAACTTCCTACGAAAGTTCATTTCGCGTTCCCTGCAAGTTTCGCGTCCAAAGTTGCGAAAGTTCGTGCGAAGTTTCTCACTTCGTGACGTGGAGCGAAAGTTCGTACACATTTTCGTTTTGCAGAACCTCTCTATTATCTTAAAATTATACCGCCGTTAGTACTTTGAAGACTAAGTACAATTGTACTAGTATTCAAGTGCCCTAACAAGGCATGTCAATGGCAGAACGGGTTCTTGTTTCAGGCATCATTGACAGTAAAACATTGTGCACATGGTTCCTGAAAGCTTTTAAAACTTTTTTTAAGCAGCATTTGTGTCTTGTGTGTGTGTGTTCATGTGTTTGCAGTAAACCTGGCACTCAGTCTGAACAGCAGCAACCGCCGTCCAGTGCGTGTTATTCGTGGGTACAAGCTTAGAAGTCGATATGCCCCTGAGAAAGGCTACCGATACGATGGTAAGTGGGTTGCTACTACGGTGGTAAAACCATGCACATCTAACCAAAGCTGCCGCAATAGGCGGACCTTTGATCATCTCCAGTGATCAAGTCAATTTCAACCATCAAAGTAGGCTGAAATTAATGGATATTTTCTCCATCCCAAACACCTGATGTGATCACCTTCCAAGCCGCTGAGGCCCCTAGGGTTGCTTCCATGGGAGGCACCCAGCTCCCATTGTTTTTCTTCCCATGCTATCCTGAGACTCAGTCAGTGATTCTGTTCTGTCGCTACCTTGATTGCATGCTGCTCAGGGCTGTATACGGTGGAGAAGGTCTGGCCAACGTCCGGCATGAGCGGTTTCCTGGTCTACAAGTACGCGCTAAAGCGCTGTCCTGGTCAGCCAGCACTGAACTCTATCTGTGGCACGGATGATGGGAGTGAGCATAGCAGTGACAGTGGGGTAAGTTGTTGAATTTTTCTGTTGAAGAGTTGAATAGGTTGAGCCAGTACCCGGTGGCGAAAATATTGTATTTTTCAGTTGAACAATTGAGTAAGTTGAGCGAATACCCAGTGGCGAGAAGATTGAAAACGATAGCGTACTGTAGAAAGTAAAATATGTCAGAACATGATGTGTGTCATGAAAAAGACAGGAACAATTTAGAAACACACGCACAGACAGAGAGGAGCTTCCTGTTTGTCCATAGATCAATCTAAAACAATGCTTTATTGAATTTAGGACAGAACGATGAAGACCTCTGGAAGTGATGGACAAGAAATGAACTAAGTCGGAAAGAAATGCGCTGAAAGGTTAGTAAGCACGCTCCCCTGAAGTTTTCTTCTCTTGTCCACTTTCTGTAGGTTGCACCATCAATCACGACTACCATTACCCCACCATCAGATGATGAGGGTGAAACAAGTGATGATGGTTTGTGCATTCCAACTCCGCCAAGTTCCCAACCCAAGTGAAAATTTCAACGGCACGTCAAGAGCCTGGCGAGTGGAGACCTCACTGAACAGATTGTTTGGCTGTGCAGGCACAACTTGCATCTGCTTCGGTGCATCTCCTCTCCCCCCCCCCCCCCCCCCCTCTCTCTCTCTCTCTCTCAGGCACATGTATTCGATCAAGCTACCACTGTCATTCGCTCACCATATTATTCTAATCCCCTGTGCACACATGCAAACACATCCGACTTTATTCAAGATTTCAGGTTTAATTTTTTACAATAGTCAACTCAACTTAGGAATCGTATTCGTTTAGGCTTTGTGGAACTTTTTTTATGTGTGGTTGTGTGATGCTCTTGTTTGTGTGGTTATTTGATAAAAAACCTATTAAACGTTTTAGTATTGGTGTATGGTAATACTGCTATATCCAGTGAGCTTGTTGTGATAATAGGCTGAATTTTCTATCAGTTGGTTTTATATTCATGTAGAAGAGTATTGTTTGTGTGAAATTCGAAGGTGTGTGACTATTTAAGGTGGAGTGCACTCTGAGTCTGACTGCTGCTATGTGTCATGCACTGTGATGTCGACGCAACCATCTTGCAAGCTGGTGGCCAAGCGTACATGCTGTCCCGCAGCGACTGGTCGATCCTCGGCAAGCATGATGGCTGACTGCCGCCAATGGCTCTGAGCACAATCCAACATACACAAGTCATGCAGCACAATCAATACTGATACATGTGTGCGGGACGGACAACAAAAGGAGGACATACATGCACACAGGGCTCTAGCCAGGAAAATAGGGAGGGGGGGGGGGCAAACTTTTTCACCCGTCTTTTTCCATTTCCCATACATGTGTAGCCTAGTCACGCAGATTGGAGTGGTGGCGCAGGCCGCAAAGTCTAAAGATAACCTGCAATACACATGACACCTTGAGTTCGTGGGGGGCGGTTTGGAGTTTTTTCGCTCTTCAATTTTCTGAAGTTTGCTGGCACATCTGTGCACACACACACACACGTACACACACGCACACACACACACACACAGACCAGCGAGTGACCTCACCTCCACTGACTGGCAGATAAGCGGGTGATTCTCGACAACGACACTCTCTGCCATGTAAGACTTGAACCAGTAGACAACAGCGGTCACTCCACCACCTGCTGTTGTCACAACGGTCGCCTCGCCAGCTTGCTCTTTGAACGGATACTGCACAAAACGGGCACAACAGTAAAGGGACAACGCGGATGATGGATAACTTGTAGCAGTACTAAGGGGCCGTCCATAATTATCGATCTTTAACACGAACGAAGAGGAGACGACGTTTTGATAGCTGAGACATCATATACAATTTATCGGGCACCAGTTTTGCACTTTGGGTCGACTTCACCGAGCGCAACTGTACACCCCATTCCCCATGAATACAGCAGAGCTGCTGCATTCAAGTGCACAGTCCAGCGTTGGTAGTACTAGGACTGCGCAGCACCAAGCGCTATACTACACGTAGGCCTAATTACGCTGCAGGGATGAATTCACTGTCATATTTTTGCATAGCAGTTTCTGCTATACGAAATCACAATTGTGGAGCAGTCTTTGATTTTGATTAGCAGTTTTCTTTGAAGGTTGGGTGTTTACCACATTGTCCTTCTTGAGAGTGATGCCTGAAAGCGCATATCCAGAAAAACAACTGAAACATACATGTGCACGCAGATTGAGAGTACCTGCACCACATACACTGCAAAGTATGCATGTTACTTGACAGCGCAGACTAGGCATGGATAGCCTGTATGTATCGCAATTTTCTGCAAGTCACGGTGACTTTTGAGTAGCAGTAGATTAATTTTGCATCGCAGTTCAAACTGCGATGCGACACAGGATAAACTCATCCCTGCGCTGGGAACAATTTCACTGATTTAACACTGTATACATGCTACCTGATGTGGATGCACTCGTTTAGCATACAGAGCATATCAACAGCACTAAGCGGCTCACCTTCGGATGGAAGTCGAGATCAACGTCCAGTAAACACACTGGGTCCGTCAGCTGTACAAACTCCAGAGTGGCCGCATCTAGTCCAATGAACGTCCTGACCTGTAACACATGCCCGGGGGAGATAACCAATACTCATCATCACAGGCACGAATGAGGAATGGACTAAAATACAAATTATAGCAGGAGGCAGTGAAAGTAACAAAAGGCAACAATTAATCACCACTCATCTTGGAAATGGGCACAATGACTGTTACTTCAGTACTTCAGACCAAGTATTTTACCCAACAAATACACCTACAGTGTACATCATTAGCTACAGTTTGTGCGTACAACACACACAATCAACTACGCACGCACACACATGTATACACCCACACACCCACGCGTGTACACACGCACACACACACACACGCACACACGCACACACACCTGGTAAGCATTCATGGAGCGCGCCACATCCAGGCCCAGCGTTGGCCGGCGTCCAAGCACAGAGGTTTGAGCACGTAACGCCGCACTGTCAATGCACATTGCCCAGAGCTCAAGGCGGCTTGGAAGCGCTGTGCCACCAGGACGCAGGTATTGCCTGTGAACAAAGCAGGGCAGTAACAAGCGGCAAACAGGGTCCAGTGTTCGTCAAAACAAGTGTGGTAAATTCTGCATATGCACCAGCAACACCACTCCATGTAGTTATAGTTCTACCCAGTAGATACTGGTATAAATTCCTTCATACACTTACTTGATCAAACAGATCTCATCGGCGAAAGCTGTGGAGTAAGTTACTGAATGGCTAGAACTTGTCAACAGCACTCTATAGCGCGTGACTAAATGATGAACAGGTTGAAATGCCACTGCATGGCCTCCTAACCATACATCCTCACAACACTCTCCAAGCAACCTCTGGGCTACCACAATCACTGGAAAAGAGAGGCGAAGACGACGTCTATTACGCCGTTTATACTCCATAAATTGACCGAAAGTGAGGTAAATCATGCAATGTGTACTTTGTAGGTTTTAACTTTTACACGTCGTCAAAGCACCAGCACCACAACTGGCCATGTCCAACACCATACTGAGATATGGCTTGAACATGTAATTGTCCCCCTTGATATGAATAAGTGAAAAGCGTGCTGCCAAAACACATGCTGAAATGTAATACTGGGCAAAATATCAGACAACTGAGCAGACAATGCCGAGCCAGCTCAAATGTGTGTGTGTGTGTGTGTGTGTGTGTGTGTGTGTGTGTGCGCACGTGCATGCGTGTGTGTGCATGCGTGTGTGTGTGTGTGTGTTCAATGATAATGTTCATATCACACTCCAGACCAAACGTGAACATACCTTGACAGGGCATATTGCTGCAAAGCATCTGTGTACAGAAATCCCAGCGGGGCAATCAGGTCAGCGATAATGATGTCAAAGCCCGCGGAACCTGCATAAAGAGAAGCAAACAGTCCATGTGACAGCATGATTACTAGTGCCAGTCAATCACAGCATGCCTCCTGTGCCTTGCCGATTTGCAGCACATCAGAGACAGAACTTCGTGAAGTGGTAGATAGCAGAATATAGCTGGGCAAGCAGAGCGAGCTACTGGAGTATACATTACATGTAGTCATGACATGTGCAATGGCACCAATCGAAACAGTACTGTCTTCGATGGACGTTGATCATACAACCTCAGAAGCCAGCTACATAAACACTTTATTGAAAATGACTGGTTGATAAGCTTATGAAAACAGTGAGGAGTACTTACACGCTGTCTGGACAGACATGAACTCAATCTGATGCTCAATGCCGTGATGATCGGTAAGCTGCTTCACAGCCGTGCGTATGTCGGCTTCGGCTTCAGGAAGGATAAGGCGACTGTCCGCAGCACTTCCTGTGAGAGGTGAACACATATGCATATTGATTCTCGAAGTGATCGTCCTTTTTCTTGCTCTCAATTCTACTTGAATGTGAATTGTCGTCTCAAAAAATGAGAACCGGAACTAAGTAAGGACAAATGATACACATGGGCACACAGCCTACTACTAGTTTTAGTACAGTCATGCATACTGCATACTGACCTGGTGAGACAAATCAAAGAAATCAGCAGTCCACTGGACAGCAGACAGACAGTGCACCAACAATAACCTACATGTACATGTACATGTACGTACCCTGACCCTGGCTGATAAGACTGATCCCGGATAGTGGTAGACCATGCGACAGATCCAACACACGCAGGACGGCTGGCATACTTGGCGAGAGCGAGGCGACGGCGGACTGCAGTGAGCGCCAATACTCCGTATCGTTGAGACGAGCGACGTGCGCACGATCCAAAAACACGAGCGGTGCCTCTGAACGACTGCCGGCGAGAGGAGTCGACGATGGCCGCACACTAGCCTGATCAGATGGTATGGAGTTGCCGCTTCCTTGATCAGCAGTGTGGCAGTGTCGCTTGATGTCAGCCACATTAATCGCCACACATGTGTCATTATCCACGCACTCAACCTTCAAGGTGACAACATCTCCAGCACAGACCCGCATACTGTTAGTAGAGTGCTCCAGGGAGCGACACAGCTCACACAGATCCGTTTGCCGACGCTCCCAGCACTCTGCACTGAGCACTTTGTCCCGCGTTACCGGAAACGATGCCTGCTGCCAAGCCGAGCGGTCACTAGACGAGCCATCGAACGGGCAAGTCGATATGGAATTGCCGTCGCTGATCACAGCTTCAAAGTATACAGCAACTGTGTCTAACACCCCACATTTGTCCACTGAAAGTCTCAAACTGTGCGTGAGATGAATAGGCACCTGCAGTGCAGAGTGATACACAGAAATAGAATGAAGTGGAGCAGCATAGCCAGTGTTCAGACAAATATCAATATTGTGCTAAAGGGCTGTGACAATACATGTATAGATTATCCGTAAAAATGAAAAGAAAGAAAAACATTGACAGAACCTACTCGCAAGCCAAATATTGATGCATTGCCTGAGCAATGAACAACTGTCTCCTACCTGTGGATGATTGAAGTTCACCTGTAGCAGCTGCTTGGACACCGGTGCATAGTTCTCTGGCCGCTGGAGGGCAGCTACTCCGCCGCGCACACATGAGAAGTGCTCGGTGCTGTACGGCTCAGACGAACGCACAGAGTCGCGGCCTGCGAGCAGCGAGGACCGAGCGCCAGTCAGGTTACTGTCCGGCGTTGCACCCTCGACATGATCACTACCCACCACCGATACACGGCTGACATCAACACCCATCACTTGGTTACGTACCAAGCTGGACACCATCAACAGCCACCACAAAGCAAAACAAAACAATCAGGGCAGTGACAGTGATAGTGGAGTAATGTGCACCTATGCCAGTGGACTATTACCACTTCCGGTATACAAAACGTCCTTCCTTGACTCCCAATCTCAATCTTGCCAAAATCATGCACAACGCCGCTCCACTCATGATTACTGGGACTAGCATACAACAGAAAGAAAGCACACCAAGTTCTGCACTCGTATTAGGAAAACCAAACAACTGAGGGGGGGGGGGGGGGGGCAGCACAAGGTAGGTGACAAACTACTTCGAAGTATGATGGAGAACTTACCGACTATGCAGGCGCACAGAAGCACACTCTGTGAGAACGGCGTGCAGGGAAGCCGACTGCGGTATTACCCGTCCGCCGCATGCTTCTTCTGCATTGCTCGCACTCATGTTCCCACTGCCACCATCACCAACAACATCAGGAGAACGCGGCGAAGAACGAGGCTGTGGAGGCAGGATTAGGTTCTGCCAGGCATGCCGCAATGCCGGCACAATGTGCTCCCCAAGCAGAGCGGCATCCATAATTTCCGTGACGACAAGAGAGGCCCTGCCACAGCAAACAAGAGCACGCCATTATGTCTATCACTGCCCGTACGACACTAGCATTACTAGGTGCTGATACATGCATTCACTGCAGAGGACAGTGCTTGTGTGATGACCCTGCGTGCACAGTAGTGCTCGTAACCATTTACATGTAACAGATATGTACCCTAATGCTGCGATCATGACTATGCATAATAATTAGAACAGTAGCATAGGTACATTGTGATAATATTATAGGTACGTTTCTAGAAGATCGAGCCACGTGTTAGATATGTTCTACTACTCGTCATCACTATTAGTCATGTCCTGTTGGCGCTTCTCAATGTGTTGCCTAGACTCGCCCTTACCATAGAACTGTTATCGATCGTCTTGTCTTTCCGTCTGCCTGTTTCCATTCAGCGTGTTTATAGTGTTACTAGTACTTTCCTTGCAGCAACGTGCACGCTTGCTCCTGCTGACCGTTGCTCGTGCTCTGTTTGCTGCTGCTGCCTGCTCGATGCTTCTCTTCGCAGCTGCTTGCTGTAGACTTCAGCTGGTATAAGTTCGCTGACTCGGGTAGAGTCTGGCAGTTGGGTAAAGTAGAGTTTTATGTGCAGTAGAGTTGTAGAGTTGAGTTTGTTAGAGAGTTTCCGTTCCCGCTCAAGCGGACTTGTCCGCTTGAGCCGGGTTTTGCATTTGCAGTTCCTTACTTTTCCTTTGCATTTCTACTTTTACTATATCGGATCTTTGTGCTCCGCCACCCTAATGTCTCTGTGCGTTGGGTCTGAGGTACGCCTGAGTGGAATGACCAAGAGGCGCACATATACTTTGTGCAAACGGGATTGGGATAACTCACACGTAGGGACGATCGGCCGACCACGACACTTGCATTGTAGAGCTCAACACTGGGGGTGCTATACCGGTATTGATGAGGTCGTCATGAGGTGGGATTATACTAGCCACCATTATGCTACATGAAGCAGTGTCTGCTCCAGCGCCGGGTGAGCCGGGTAATCCACCCGGTTGGGCGGCGCTTGCACCCGGTTGAAAAGATAGTACCGGGTCGCCTGTGACTCAGTTGGTACTTTACACTTTCGAACTTTGAAAGGACTAACTACATGGCTTGTATGTGCCAGATACTTCTTCTTCTTTCGTAATTTTCTAATTCCTGTCCTGTCTTTTTCTAAATGCGGCTTATCCACTCACCTTTATATCATTGGGCCTAGTTCCCGTTTATTGTCCGAATTAAAATAAACCAACCAACCAGTTAAAGCATGTGACTCGGCTGGTGAGACAGCGCCAGGTACATGTGTACCCGGCTCCAACCCGGTTGAAATGGTTGCGCCAGGTACACGTGTACCTGGCTGTCCTAGAATCCTAGAGCAGACACTGTGAAGTACCCTAGACTACAGTTGCGCTCGGTAAATTCCGACCCTAAGTGCATTATTTGGCGACCTCCGCTTGCACGGACCTAGATGTACGAATGCGGCTTGATGTAGACGTGTATAAATACAGTGATGTACTAGCAGTCGGAACTGGTCCAGGGCGCCAGTGGTGCACTTTGGGCAGGATTTCACCGAGCGTAGCTGTAGTATTCACAGTACATGTACTTCTAAAGTTCCGTTCTACAAATCTTTTAGAGAACAGAAACTGGCCAACTTGTAACAAATGTCAATGGCGATAGCATTCCTCACCTGGCTGGTACATGCTCTGGTACGCAGAGATCAGTGGACTTGCGGCAGTGCACGGTGATGGAGTCGGCACAGCCGTTGGCGGCGATGGCTTCTTTGCCGATGCGGCACATCAGTGGCGACATCTCCGCAGCGTGGACATGCTTGGTGCCGGCCCGGATGGCAAGCATGCTGCCAGTACACACACACCGGCGCACAAAACACACCCACACCCATCCAAAGGCATGAGAGGCAATACAAGCACAGCAGTCAGGGCAGTAGTTCGGACTCTCCCTCAATCATCAATCAGCAACAGAACACTGCATTCTACCTACACTGGTACAAGTAGACAGCATTTTAACTTTTTAATTGGATTCTTGGACTCAGAACCAACCGAAGGCAGTCCGATGTCGTCGACAGTGTATTGACGGCTCCAGTGTGTGCTGCCTATTGCCCTGCAACTGTAGAAGCTGGCTACACCGTGCAGGTGAAGCTGGCTACACAGTGCAGGTGAAGCTGCACAAGCTCTACTTGCTTCATGTACATGTTGTATCTTATGATATAACCCAACACTGGTAAACCAGTATTAGATAAATAGTTGTAGTAAGGTCACTGTTTTCGAACACAGTGTCCTCCACCTTGTTTCATGCCGTCAATCTAACAATTGCATGTTGTATCTTGCAGGTACTGGTGGGATGCTGGTGGTCAGCAGAAATAGAAAGATTACGGCTATCGACATGTCAAGTAGGCACACTGCAGGCTACTACAGTGCTGCTCAATGAAATCCAGTAGCGTCACTCAAGTGTGCACCTTGCCTCGTTTCGCAGGTCTAGGGCTGTGCAACGCCCGGCGTGTACTTGAGTGACGCGATTGGATTTCATTCAGCAGTACTGTAGTATAATGAAAACGTCCATGATAACGTTATTCGACATCAGATGTTATAGTGGGAAAACACCGCTATCGCTCATGCATTACCTCAGTAGACCGGTCCCACTGCCTATCTCGAGTACGGTGGCTGCCGAGCCAATCGTGGCCACGGCACGAGAAATACCGACAGCGTATCTTGTGTTGCGCTCAATGTCGTTCAGCATCGGGTAGTGCCACCTCTCAAGCAGTTCGTGCATCACTGTATCCGCCGCCCAACGAGCACAGGCCAGACCAGCCGGGCGTAATCTCACGGCGGTGCGGAAAGCATCCAGCGCCTCCAGCCGCATGCCGTTCGCCATCAGGCAGGTGCCATACGCGTACCAGAGATGCGCCGAGTTGCGCTTCACTGCCAGGGCGCCAGTGCAGCACTGCAGCCCATCAGTGACCCTGCCAATACTGCACAGCTTTTGCGACCAGGAAAGTAGAGCAGATGTGAATGGAATTATGGCCTCGTTCCTTGCTGGGTTCAGTTTAAACAGCAGCAGAAAATAAGCGTAGGCTGTTCCAACGTCACCCTGCGCCAGGCATAAATGACCTTTGTGGTAAGCAGATGACTCGAGCTCCTGAAAGGTCTCTTCATCGGATTCGTCTGATGAGTCTTCAATGTCCATGGGAGTTGATTTAGCACCAATCCCACTCATGTCCGATCCTGTTCGCATTATCTCCAATAATCTGGAACGAGAAAGGTGACAACGATTCTACGTGAGCCTACGTACATCGTGGACAAGTTTTCTTCTACTGGTAGTACTACGAGTAGCAAGCAACAGTCAGTCATTAGTCAGGCTGTCACTTCATTCTTCTTCACTTCACTGACCCTGCTCGTACTGCCTGATCTGAGCAAATAATTATTTGACTGGTACTAGCATGCATGGCGCACAAAAATGATCGATGGGTAGATCTGCACCGCGTCTCTTCGATTTTTCGTACAACTCGACGCCATATTTCGCTGCCATGTCAACGCCTGGGAGAGGCCGGGATCGCGGAAGTCGTAACAAGCCTAGCCCGGGCGGGGCCCGGGGTTTGTCCGACTCCCTGCTACTACTAGTACTACTATACTCTATAGTATTTGTATTGTATTGTATTGTATTTATTTAAAAGGATTCTCCAAAAGCAAATGGATGCTTATCACGGAAGTCTCCCACATAAATATCGCAAGAAAAATGGGGAAATGGGGAGAGGAGAGTGGAAGATGAAGCATGGGAAGAAGGGAAACAAGTACCTAAATATCGAGGTATAAAAGCAGGAAAGAAATCGACGAGGGAAGAAATCACCTCTGCAGATAATAGCGGGACATTTAGATGAAAAAAACCAGCAAGGATTAATTTCAAGGAAAAAAAATTTCTCAAACGGAAAAGTTCGGAATTCCAGTCAGAGAATATCTATGCTGAGAGTAATGAGCCTTTAGAGCAGTGCGAAAATTGACAGAGGACTGAACGCAGCGGATGTGTTCTGGAAGTTTGTTCCATTCCACAGATAAACTGAAGAGAGGGGATTTAAGGAAATGGGCGCCAGAACGAGGTAAAACTATAGAGGACGGGTGACGACAACTAAGGGATACATTGAATTTGAAACGAATTAGCAAAGACGGAAACTGGTAAAAGACATGATGAAAATACAGCAAGGACAGAATCTGACGACGCCACTTCAGGGATGACCAGTCACAAGTACGATTAAGAATCTGCTTCGGGGTTTCCCACTCAGGAGGGTGCCAGTCGACCTACCCTTATAACGATATTTGCGTCAGACCAAGAAATATTGTTATAAGGGTAATATTGTTATAGGGGTAACTGATTCATTTCATACACATACGTCATAATGCATGGATTTTGTTCATTTTTTACACTCTTCATAGCATAAAAAACTGACATACATCATTTTACATGCACATTATGTACACAGCAAGGTGCCCACTGGTGCCCCTATTGCATTTCGTCATGTCCCAGCGACTTATCAAGTGAAGCTTGCCCTACCTGGATAGTGGGCGCTGCATATCCCCTGCTAGATATTGTTATAAAACGGAAAATGTCGATTGGTCAGCCCATTTTATATTGTTATAGGGGTAATATCGTTAGGCCATGGTAAAAAATAAATTTGATTCTCAGGTCATGAGCCTGTGAAAATCGGTGCGAGCGAGCGATTTTTTATTTTAATTCCCACAATTTTTTTATTTCCAAAGATAGGGTCACACATGTGTACGTCACAGGTTCATAATTAATTTATAATAATTTATTATTCAGGCCAGGGAGTAGAAAAATACCGGTATTTTACTACTCCCGGATTCATGCCTTTCGCATTGACCGTTTTCATGCACGCATATGCATGCATAGAAATATAAAAAATCGTCGGTGCGCCACCAAAAATCGATGCGCGCGTACTTGAGAATCAAAGATATTTTTTACCATGGCCTTATAGCAATATTGTTATAGAGGTAAGGCATTGTATACACAAGTCAATGGAGTGATTTGGTTTGGCAGAAAAATATCGTTATAAGGGTAATATCGTTATAGAGGTTATCGTTATAAGGGTAGGTCGACTGTACACACTATATTGAGAGTCCATAACCTTATGGACTCTTGCTATAGCCGCTGCTTCACTGTATAATAAAAGGGTTTCGAGATTATTCGCAAGAAATAATACTACTTTTTTTGGTAATACTAATAGGTTTTTCATTTGACCCGACGAGACCACACGGCGCTTCCAGATCACAGCACAAACAGTTCACCCGCCACGGGCCACGAACTGCAAGTAGTAGTACTCCTGACAAGTCTTGTTTCGTTGCATAGAGATGATAACGGGAACTCATCAGAGGAGAAGCAGTTTTTGAATGGAGGGGTTTAGCTGAATAATGCTATTTTATGGAGATACCGGCGCAAGGTGTAAACACTAAACTAACTCACATATGTGACATATCAACACAAAAGGAATCCTGAGTGCAGAATGGAGTGTTCTGAACCCTACCGGGCCAGACACAACTATCACAAGTGCTAAATCACTGAATCACATTATGAGAAGGAGAGGTACACAGGAACACAGGAATAGGTTGCGCTAGTTTACGTGTCACAAAGAGTACTGAGGTGGTGACAAAGATAGGTGAAAAGTAGACGCCAAGTGAAAGCCAACAAATCATCACAGACGTCTAACGTCACATCTGAAGATTGCTTACTGCACAAGACAAATACTTCATAAACCTCGATAATTGAAATTCAGCCCGCGCCGGCAACGGTAGGTGAAAGGAAGGCTGAAGGCTGCTGGGTGTGACATAGAATTGTGGGCTGCTGAGGCGACGTATCCATATAGATCTTGACTGCAGGGTTGGCGTCTAACCGCGGCTATGTTCCGAGCAGCAGATCAAATCCCTCCTCTGGTCAGTGACACTGAGGTTTCCTGGTCCAGGAGAAGTCATAATTCTTAGATGCCATCTTCAATAGGTCCGTCAAATAGTAGTAATAGGTTTTTCATTTGACCCGACGAAACCACATGACGCTTGCAGATCACAGCACGAACAGTTCACCAGCCACACTCCATGAAAGCAAGTAGTAGTACTCCTGACAAGTCTTGTTTCGTTCCATAGAGATCATAGTGTGGCGGGGAACTCATCATCAGAGGAGAAGCAGTTGTTGAATGAAGAGGTTTAGCTGAATAATGCTACTTATAGAGAAGATACCGGCGCAAGGTGTAAACACTCAACTAACTCACATATTTGACATATCAACACAAAAGGAATCCTGAGTGCAGAATGGAGGTGTGCCAACAGTAGGTGAAAGGAAGGCTGCTGGGTGTGACATCATAACTGTGGGCTGCTGAGGCGACGTACCCATCTAGATCTTGACTGCAGGGTTGGCGTCTAACGCTATGTTCCAAGCAGCAGATCAAATCCCTCAGAGTCCTCTGGTCAATGGCAGGTTTCCTGGTCCAGGAGAAGTCATTATTCTTTGATGCCATCTTCAATAGGTCCGCTGTTCATGCTGTGATCTGCAAGCGTCATGTGGTCTTGTCGGGTCAAATGAAAAACCTATTACTACTATTTGACGGACCTATTGAAGATGGCATCTAAGAATTATGACTTCTCCTGGACCAGGAAACCTCAGTGCCATTGACCAGAGGAGGGATTTGATCTGCTGCTCGGAACATAGCCGCGGTTAGACGTCAACCCTGCAGTCAAGATCTAGATGGATACGTCGCCTCAGCAGCCCACAGTTCTATGTCACACCCAGCAGCCTTCAGCCTTCCTTTCACCTACCGTTGGCTGAATTTCCATTATCGAGGTTTATGAAGTATTTGTCTTGTGCAGTTAGCAATCTTCAGATGTGACGTTAGACGTCTGTGATGATTTGTTGGCTTTCACTTGGCGTCTACTTTTCACCTATCTTTGTCACCACCTCAGTACTCTTTGTGACATGTAAACTAGCGCAACCTATTCCTGTGTTCCTGTGTACCTCTCCTTCTCATCATGTGATTCAGTGATTTAGCATGATGTGACTTGTGATGGTTGTGTCTGGTAGGGTTCAGAACACCTCGGGATGATTCTGCACTATTCCTTTTGTGTTGATATGTCACATAAGTGAGTTAGTTTAGTGTTTACACCTTGCGCCGGTATCTTCTCCATAAAATAGCATTACTCAGCTTAACCCCTCCATTCAACAACTGCTTCTCCTCTGATGAGTCCCCGTTATATCTCTATGGAACGAAACAAGACTTGTCAGGAGTACTACTACTTGCTTTTGTGGAGTGTGGCTGGTGAACTGTTCGTGCTGTGATCTGCAAGCGTCGTGTGGTCTCGTCGGGTCAAATGAAAAACCTATTACAGCTGTACTACTATTTGACGGACCTATTCAGGCTATTGAAAATGGCATCAAAGAATTACTACTTTTTTTGTAGTATTGAGATAATTATTATAAATTATAACTAATGCGTTCATTGACATGTGCATCATCGTATACGCGCGTACGTCTTGGAACGAACATGGAAGGGAAGTAAAGTGTTGATCTGTCAACGTCAAGCACCCTTCACTTCAAGTAACTATTACTTACTTAGTTTTCATGTTCACTCTTCACTTCAGCGGCCTTCGTCCTGAATCGCAGCTAGCAGCTAGGCTAGCACTAGCAGTACTACCAGTAGCAGGTCAACTCCCTGGCATGCACCCTTGCCTTGGCCTTGCACCCTTGCCAGGCCTTGCACAGTTGCAGTGCATATCGAGGAGTACTCGAGTGTCATCATGGTCATGCTGCCAGATGCTCACTGGTTGGAGCTCCGGAGGTGTGCGACACTAACACGGTGACTGACAGCTACAAAATTCGCATTGCTGTTGACTGCATCCGCTTTTCCAACTAAACATTGTACTAAAAAAAAACATTAGTCAAAACACCACCCCAGCGGCCAGAGCCAGAGGATAGAATAATGTTTCCACTACAGCAGCCACACGCGCGATCAGCAGGAAGAGTTCAGATGAAGCAAGTTCGTATTGGAAGTAATTACATGTAGTCACAAGTAGTGAGGTGCATGTTACTGAACCATGGCCTCTGCTTTTGTTAGGAGAGCTTTCCTGAGTCTCATTTGCTTATCTCTCTTGCTGTCTGCAAGTACGGCCAGCAACGCTGCCGCAGAAAGCTCGGTGTGTGCTCGTGGAAATGTATCGCGTGGAAATCCGAATGCCAACATAGGCAACAATTGTTCCAACGAGACCCAACATAACGACACAGATAGCGAGCACGCCGACCACGTATCGGTGCACGTTGCGAAATGGGACTTCAAATCAGTCCGCGATCCCTACATTATCGCACTGGTGATGTTTGTGACTGCCATCGTAAAGCTAAGTAAGATTCAATGGCAGGTATTATGTATTTTTGGACGCTGATGATCCGTCAATGAAATGTGAACCTGTTTTAGGAAGCATTAGTAAGACATGTGTTTACTCTGTAAACTGTGCGTGTCATGTCATGTCAATGTACCGCCGGTATGTCGAATGTATATGTATCAGTGATTTACTACCCACAACCTAAATTTTGTATTGGCTACAAAGTGCCGGTAATTAGTCTATGTAACTGCTGACACTCAATAACGATTACTGCTGCAGTTAGAGGACTTGAATTTAATTACTGTATTTTGATTAGAGTGTGCGCTGCGTGTCCACAGTCCAGTGATTACACTATAGAACTAGGCAGTGCAGGATGGGTAAAGAAATTCTGTATGAAGACCATTTTTTGGCATAAGCAATACATGCAGTGATGTTGGAAGTTGCACTTATAAATATAGGCACCGGTGGAGCGGGGATTTCTGCTACATTTGAGCAACTGCATTTGCACACATACTGCATTGGCACTCGTGTAGGCGACTTGGTTCCACACCAGGCTTCAAACAAGACGCCAAACAAGCAGTTCATAGATCTGCCAGTGATGTGTGGCGGTTGCTGCTTGTCGAGAGCAAAGTGAGGCAAATGGAGGCGATACTATGCGTGTAGCGTATTTCCCCGAATATAAGTCGCACCTTCTTACACTAAGCCTCAAGGGCAGCGGAAGGGATGCGACTCTAATCAAGTTTGACACACTGCTTATGTGAATATATGGCTCAAACCTGAAAATGGGGTTGCGACTTACAATCGGGGGAAATGCGGTATGCTCGAGCGAGTGTGTGCATGCGTGACAGGTTATGACCCCCCCCCCCCCCCCATTGTCCTTGATTCTCATGGTGGCTTTTGAAATTTTGATGTACCCATGTGCTGCTTGCTCTAGTCTTTCATTCATCGGAGGCGCTCTCATCTCGCATACCGGAGTCATGGTAAGAAGACAGACTGGCTCCATGGATCGCTTGCCAATTTCTTACTTCAAAATACTAGTACATCTTTGCAATATTCAATAGTATGAGCAGCGTATAGAAAATTAGTAGTACTCTTTACGGTAAAAACCACTTTGATTTTTCGTTTATTGCTCCCATTGGCATTCTTCTATTGAATCTATTTCGAATATGTGCCAACATCCAGTGTGTCACTCTATATTATTATGTCTTTGTTCTGCAGTTTACTCATCGCGTTTGGATTCGTGATTGGCGGTTTGATAAGGTGGGCACCGGGATTGGCAAGCCAACATACTGTAGTAATGGATGCACCTGCGTTTGAAATATTACCACCAGTGATACCGTGCTCACTCGATTAGAAGCCGGGGGCTTCTATTTTTTCAATACCAATTTTGAGGAGGCTTCTATTCAAGAGGGGCTTCTATATGAGAGGGGCTTTTATTGTTTCATTCCATACATTCCATACCAGTATTCCAATCGAATCTCTAAAACTTTCATATTCACAGCAACTCGGCCCCGAGTTAGTTTGCACACACTACGTCGACCAGGACATATACCAATATGAACATGCACGAGATGTTGTCACAGTTTGCACACTTGACCTTCATACATGGCACTACCTGGTCACCCCATGGCACTACCTGGTCACCCCATGCTATGTCACACTAGTCCGGGCTTCTATTCGAGAGGGGCTTGCATTTTTTCAAACAGTCCTCGTAGGAGGGCTATTAGGGGCTATTATTCAAGAGGGGCTTTTATTCGAGAGGGGCTTTTATTCGAGAGGGGCTTCTAATCAAGTAAGTACGGTATATTTGGAAACAAGGAAGCTCTTCAAGGAAACATTTCCTATTTGAATTGACATTGCTCCAACTGCTATAGGGGATTTTCGGCTAGCATCCAATTTTAGCTGCAGCCTCGAATTTGCTGTCAGAGCCTGGTCATCTCGGCTCAGATCTCAGGAGCTTGTATTACTTTGAACTCACCTTCCATGCAGTGTTTGAACTCACCGTCCATGCAGTGTTGTTTCTGTAACTTTTAAAAGCCTTGGTGTGTTACAGCTGCATTACAGGCATTCCACTGGGTATGTCCATTGGACGAAATACAATGTATTGCGTGTATCTTCTTCAGCAGTTTCAATCGCTTCTCTGGTCTGTCTCTCGCATTTCTGCAGCTTGAGTCCTACAGCCAAGGAGCACTTCAAGTTCACGCCAGACATCTTCTTTCACTTTCTGCTGCCACCGTAAGTTCAAGACTGGGACGCGGAGGCAAAATGCAAAGCATACCAGAAACATGTTGGACTGAACTTGGCTGAGGGTGCGCTTTTTGTGCCCAGTCAGCCATGTTATGGCCTCATGGGCATTTACCGGTACCCTGGTATGGGGAACAGACCTGTTAACTTATAGGGGATGGCCCTTATTGCATGGTCCACTAAATGTCAGACTCAGATTGAGAAGAGAGGACCAAAGGTTTACAAGTTGTGCGCCGTTTTTGTCCAACACTAACAATATCAGCATGATGCTGGTGAGTTAGAGCGTGCAACGATTAGCACAACACTGCCTGATGAGATACTGGCATTCAACGACCTGATGCTTAGCTGCAGTTAGCTGCATCACGTCTCGGAATGCACAAATCAACAGCCTGAAAGGGAACTATGGTGTTCGAATACTTATGATCTTTTGTGTGACGGTGTGCACGGGGTGCATGACTGAGTGCCTGGGAAGGTTTAGATAACAAGCCTTCCAACTTGGAAGGTTCAAAGTTAGGAACCAACGTAAGAAAGGGGAAGGTGAGCGCACTCAAGACGAAAACAAGCTAAACATCACAGCAAACTAAGAATGTTAGCTATGACAAGATGATGACAAAATATCACGGCACAGGATGGCCACGGCTCACTTCAAGAACGCAAAACAACGACCACCGAACTTGGGAGGCTCATGTTATCAGAGATAAGCAAAGAGGGGAAGTTACGCGAACACCAAGCAAGAGGGACTGGGCAGCACTATCTCTTCGTACTATACTACATGTAGAATGGAACTTGTGGTGGACTAGCAAACGACAATAACAAGTGGTGTCACACGACGTATGTATCGCCGTATAGATTCTGACGGCTCATCAGGTGTTCAAATCAGACTCGGGTGGAGAGCCAAGGATTAAAATTGACACAACTTGTAAACCTTTGGTCCTCTCTTCTCGCTTCCACTAAATATAGATGCCCCTATTTCCCCTGTCCTGTGGCTGTTTCTTGGTGTAGTATTGTACTGGAAGCTGGCTATCTGATGCACAAACGTTACTTCTTCGGCAATCTTGGCTCAATCTTGATGTATGCCGTTGTGGTAAGTCATGCTACTACAGTTTACTGTTTTAAAAAAAAGGTACTTACTAGTATTATATTTATGCTCTGAAAGGAACTGCTGCATGATCCGCTGATCAGTCTGGGCCTATCCGAGGGCATGTAGCAAGTAACAGTTATACGGACTAAAGCCGAGCCTAGGAATTGTGAAGAGGTGCCCAGTTGGCAGGTCGTAAAGGCTATAATGTAGTACTGTACTGTGACTACTAGTATGCGGAGATAGAGTAGCACTGTTGTAATGCCATTGCTGTGTAGAATCGATTTCCTCGTGCTCGCAACACCAGATTTGAACGGGGCACATCATAATTCTTCAACGTGTAAGCGGTAGCCACGTACTATTCTTATTGCATTCAGTGTTCTTCTTTGCTTGGCTGCGATTGCTCAGGGTACTCTCTGGAACACGTTCAGTGTAGGTAAGTCGATGGTGTTGCTGTCAGTTCCTACAACTTATCAATGGCGCTCTTCCTTACTCTGCCTTGCCCACGTCAAAGCACAACATACACAGGTCAGCAGGTTCTTCTTTACTATTCCTTTTTAGATGAATTCTGGATTTTGCTTCAGGTATTAACTGTGGTCCTTTTTAATCTAGCTGTGTCATACATATGTGCTTACCAATGGTTTCTGTGCTCAGCTCTTGGTCTGTACATGATTTCTGAGCTGGGCGGTGTACACATCAGTGCGCGCTTCTCGTTTGTGGAGTGTATGCTGATGGGAACGATGGTTGCCGCTGTGGACCCGGTTGCAGTGAGTAGTAGCCATGTCCGTGTGCTCGTATTATAATTATTAGGATGACTGCGGTCCGTGCTGTGTGATGATTCTGATGAACCACTGCTCATACTTTCAGGTTCTGTCATGCACATGTTGTGACCCCAGTGCTGGCCTGGTCGCTTACCCTGTTGTGGGTCTTCAGCTCTTAGCACTGAGCACACCTTGGTTCAGTGCACTTACATCTGCCACGAGTCTGCCACAAGTCTGATCAAGATGACTGTGTTGGTTTGGTTCCTCTCCGATGTGCAGGTGCTGGCAATTTTTGATGAAGTCCATGTCAACTTGCTGCTGTACATACTCGTCTTTGGGGAGTCCCTACTCAATGGTAACCACTGTACATGTACTTAGTACTGTCTTGGCCTTGTCACCCGGCAGTCAGTATGTACTGCACCAGAACAGCACCATGTAGTTGTGTAACTTGGCATTTAATTGTAGTACCAGATTGCAGCCTTTTTCCTGTGAAGACAGGGCTACTGATCGCTATTCAAAGGTTTGCCTGTCCTTTGTGTAAGTAAATTGACTACCTTCACATATCAATCACATGCTTTGAAAGTACTTTTACACATGCCTGAGTACCGTTTACGGCTCAGCAGATGTACTACCCAGAGTTGAATGGAGTTGATGGTGTTGGGCAGCACGCTGCATTGAAAATCCAGCATTCCCTGGAGGCATTCTCTGTCACGTACTAAGCAGCACTCGATCTTCTGCTGACGACTCCTCCTTTTTCAGATGCTGTGAGCGTGGTCCTGTATCGCACAGCGGAGACGTTTGTGAAGTTTGAGAACAATGAGCAGGCAATCACGGCTGATCAGGTATGGGCCCGCCCGAGGTGGGTATCACACCCCATACATTACACTGTCGTGGTACTGTTAAAGTAGATAGTATACCATTTTATAGGCAAACGTGGAACCGTGGCTCTCTCCATTGCTGATGCCCCGACAACTCGACCCAGCCGCTGATGACTGCCCTGATTATAGACTCATTGGCAGTACTGGGACTTGATTGGGAACAGTTGGTACTGAGTTATGAGGTGTCGCGAACGTGCATGGACATTCAAGTTCCATTTACTTGAAAAATGTCTGCTAAGGGAGTTCCACTGTACACAGGCAATTCACGGTAATGATGTTATTGCAAGCGATGTAGGTATTTCCACCGTTCTCCTAAATGGCAGGTCAATGTTTAGGCCTGAGAAGGTAGGGCCCGTGTAGTCCTCAAGTCAAGTGACCCGAGTGCATCTCGAGAGACGTGTGTGTGTGTGTGTGTGTGTGTGTGTGTGTGCGTGTGCGCGTGTGCGCGTGTGTGTGTTTTTGAAGCACTGAACTTGTTTCTGCATTGATCGGATATGTCACAAAGTTGCAACAAGTCACATCGCTACATTGGCATGGTTTACTCTTGTTCTCTGTCTTGTGTAACAGATTGTCCTCGCCATTGTGTCATTCTTCACCATAAGCCTGGGAGGCACTCTGATTGGGGTCATTTGGGGTATGGTCGCAAGCTTCATCACCCGCTTCACCGATCATGTGCGAGGTCAGTTTACCATTAACTTGACAGTAGTTATTTGCTGGCAGTTGTCTGCATTCAAAACCCCAAAATTCCGCTTTAATAGGAGTAAGAAACTACCGCAAAGTGCCGTTGATCCGCCGCCTCTCTAATTTCTGCCCCCTGTCGATTTTCTGCCGATGAAGCGACTTCGGCGTGTACAGTCAACTTCGCTAGTAACGACTGCGGATATAGCGACAATTCGCGAATAACGACAGAATTTCCATGCCCAGAGCAAAGTCCCATCCAACTGTAACACATATAATGAGATCAACGGTACTGTACGGTATTCACATCTCTCAATCTAGTGTATAGGAAACTTGTTATCTGTTTTGCCGAGGGCTGACAGATACTGACAAGAAGTGCAATCAATTGTTGCCAGGATTGGGGTCCTTCTATTACAGCTGGTTATCTAAGCTGATATGCTCTCTGATCCGCTAGCTCCCCAGTGACACGGCAGATGTGGGTGCTAGGCTGCATGTACATTGTGCTGTGCACGTTATCTTAATTTAATGTGTGCGGTGTCCGTTTTCGATGGGAATATTGAATGGCTCTGATTCTGAAATTGGTTGATTCTATGCTAAATGTAGTTGATATTCTCTCTTTGCAGCACATTTTCAACGTTTTTGTTTGTTCAGGCTGTGCGCTGTGTAGCGTGCATTCTGGTTGGATTTGCGAATATACATGTGTGTGTGTGTGTGTGTGTGTGTGTGTGTGTGTGTGTGTGTGTGTGTGTGTGTGTGTGTGTGTGTTCGGTACAGTAATCGAAACCCTACTGGTGTTTGTGTGCGGCTACTTGGCGTATCTCTCGGCTGAAGTTTTTCACTTCTCTGGTATCATGAGGTGAGTTCCGCACGTTAGCGGGCCATGAGTAACTCTAGGATGTGTACCATAAATAGCTTGCCAATTGCATCAGTTCAGTACAATACATCATGATTCTGTGACAATGAAAGTAGGAGTCGTCATTTTGCTGCATATGTGGGTGCAGGTTTGTACCGTATTCAGTAATCCGTCCTAGCTTCATGAAGTACCGTAAACGTCCGTAAATGAGTACGTACTTTCTTTTGAATTTAGTGGTCACACCCGTACTAACTCAAATTTTTTGGGTTGGTACTAACTTTCGGACCTGACTTGTGTGTAGTGGAGAAGTCATTTTCATGTGGATATACATGCTAAACACTGCGTGTGCGAACCATACCGGGACATATTTCGGGCAGTATGTATATCGGGCTGAACTTGACTTCAACAGACAGAGTCAAAAGGAAGAAGTTTTTTGTATTTCCAGCAGGTACGTATTTACGGACTCTTACGGTATTAGAACACAGGGCTACAATGTGATGGGAGTAGCAGGGGATGAGGATATGCATGTGGATGGGGTTGTACATGTAGCTGTAAGGCGTACTGATCACCACCATTGCCCTCTAGCGCATGTCAGCCTGGGTACATGCATACACACAGAACAGAGTGCTTGGGTGTACGTAACGGGCACTTTTGTCCTATGAGGCTATGTAGTATGGCTGTACTTCGAAGTAGTGACACAGCACCACCGACAAGCATCAGGAGGAGTGGCAAGTTGCAGGTGTAAGGAAAGAGGTGGCACTGCTTTTATGCAAGAAAATTCCGAAAAGATCAGCAATGAACGTGACTGTCATGTGGTAAGCTAGCAGACCACCTCCCCTATATACTCCTGACCTTGGGTGCCCCCCCCCCCCCCCATGAACTTTCCCATGCCCTTATCACTATGGCACAATATCAATCATAATTAGCATAAAATATCAGTTATGACATCATGCATGACAATTAATGACATCATGCATAATACTCTGTTTAATACCACAGTGCCATATCTTGCGGAGTGGTGATGCGACACTACTTGAATCCGAACGTCAGCGCAAAGTCCCGCACCACCATCAAGTACTGCCTGAAAATGATCAGCTCAGCGTCGGAGACTGTCGTCTTCATGTTTCTGGGCTTTGCGTCCGTCACTGCTGACTTTGAGTGGGACACAGGACTGGTGCTCGGAACGCTTGCATTTGCTCTCATCTTCAGGTTTGTCGGTAAGAACTAAGAAGACCAGCCGACTCACGCAGCTGCTGGGATGGTGTGATCTTGCAGCTTTCCCACACATGTTAGAATACATAACAAGTCCAACGAGTGGTCCAAATCTGACTTCTGCATATAATATTCATCCTTATCCGTGGGTCAAAATATTGACTTCATGCGGCTTGTTCCATGTCCATGTGTCTTTGTTGTTTGCTTCTTTGTAGGGGTGTTTGTGTTGACCTGGATCCTGAACAAGCATCGCATGGAGCGGATAAGCTTTGTCGATCAGTTTGTCATGGTACGTAGCATCAGATGGACTTGTCTTGTCAGCCGAATCCCTGTTTGAGATCAATTATAAAAAATCCGAGGGTTGAAATAGCCACTCCTTATGTTGGCGATCGTTATTTCCAAACAACCATCAACTTCATACCGGTATGATCTGCATTTTAAACAAGCTTGTGAAATCCAGCCAAGCCGTGGTAGGTGGCTGAATTGTGCAGGTGGTCGATGGACAGCCTGCTGAAGGCCTGTCGCCGTTTCTGTGGTACAGTAAGACCACTACATTTAATTCTAACGATTTTGCATATACGCACACAGTCATTTGCCGGTTTTGACGGACAGAATTCGTAAGTATGTCAGCTCGCTAACCAACAAGAATACGGAGATCGCTAACCAACAAGAATACGGAGATCGCTAACCAACAAGAATACGGAGATCGCTAACCAACAAGAATACGGAGATCGCTAACCAACAAGAATACGGAGATCGCTAACCAACAAGAATACGGAGATCGCTAACCAACAAGAATACGGAGATCGCTAACCAACAAGAATACGGAGATCGCTAACCAACAAGAATACGGAGATCGCTAACCAACAAGAATACGGAGATCGCTAACCAACAAGAATACGGAGATCGCTAACCAACAAGAATACGGAGATCGCTAACCAACAAGAATACGGAGATCGCTAACCAACAAGAATACGGAGATCGCTAACCAACAAGAATACGGAGATCGCTAACCAACAAGAATACGGAGATCGCTAACCAACAAGAATACGGAGATCGCTAACCAACAAGAATACGGAGATCGCTAACCAACAAGAATACGGAGATCGCTAACCAACAAGAATACGGAGATCGCTAACTTTAATAATTGACATTTAAAGTATGTGATCTTACAGTAACATTTTGTGATCACATGTCGTTACCAGGGAGTAGTAAAATATTGGTATTTTGCTACTCCCTGGTTGTTACTATTCCCCGTATGTGCAGGGCTACGGTGGCCTGCGTGGTGCCGTGTCATTTTCCCTGGTGCTCTTGCTGGATGAGGAGGTGGTTCCTGGCAAGAACGCCATCTTCACTGCGCTCTTCACACTCATCATGTTCACAGTCTTCATCCAGGTACAGTTGCCAGCACTCAGGTTGCAACTTTGCATGAGGAGAATGCAGCTGATTGCCAAAGGCAGATGGAGAGCTCCGATTCAATACTCCCTCCCCCTGTCTCGTGGCCCGGATAGGGAGGGGGGGGGGGGGGGGGGCTGTAGTTTGTCATAACTGGCCTAATGTGTTGTGCACAGGCATCCGACTGAGTTATGAGGATGGGCAACAGCATCTAGCAGCCTGGCTATAGACCACTTATCGTTAGGTTGCTAAGCACTGACTTGAATCCGGCCAATGTGTTCATGCGTTGATATCCAGTTTTTTTGCTATACAACCACTACATGTATATTGATGTATGGTAGGTTTGGAAGTCAAAACTGGTTCTGCTGTTGATGGCAAAATTGCTTTTCTTGCACCGGTGCTTTTGGTTTAAACAAAACTTAAAAAGAGCTTGGTAAGCTTAAAATAAATAGTTCACGTTGCTCTAGGTTATAGGCCATTCACACGACGTGTAAACACTTGCACATGTGTGACCAAGATAACACTGGCAAACCGTGATCCAGTTCACACGGTGCTGGGCAAAATTCGCAACCGTCAATGTATCCATAGTGACCTCCTGAAAATGCCGGGAAATGTTCAATTTTGAATTTTCCCTTGTTCAAGCACTGCATTTGCAGTACGCACTTTCAACAACCGACACTTTTCCTGGCGTGCAAAGATAATCGCGAGCAAAAGGGCCTCGGCCAAGATAAAAAATCAGTTGCACGCGTGTGTCCAAGTTTATCGTATCCGAGTAAATATCCTTGGAAACGGTACGATAAAAGTAAGTTTGCCCGTCGTGTGAATGGCCTATTAGCAAATCATGACTTTCCATGCACCTATCCTCTGTTGACCTTTGTGTCTCAGGGCACCACCGTTAAGCCACTTGTGCATCGTCTACACGTCAAGACCTATCAGCCGAAGAAGCCCAGCATCAACGAGCAGCTGCACTCCAAGATGATGGATCACATTGTGGCTGGTGTGGAAGAGATCATCGGCCAGCAAGGAGAACAGGTCAGCAGCGTGGCACCCTGATCGGTGTGCAATGAGCGGCTTTACACAGGGATGCGGGTAGTGGGGTCTCGGATCGGCTGGGAGTTTTTAATGCTGTGTGTGTATCTGAGATAGTGGTAGCGACTTCGGCGATGATTACATGGGAAAAGTGGGGAGCAAGCAGTTGTTCATGTGTACAGTATCTGCATATGTATTCTCCGCCCGTTTGGGTTTGTCCCGCTTTCAGGTCATCATCGAATGGTTCTCTTACTACGACAAGCTCTACATTCAGCCCATCCTGTCTCGCTCCGACACTGAAATCGTCGACACGGTTCTGCAGCGTCTGGAAAAGAAATACCACTGCGAGACCACGCACAGACATCTGAATGAGATACGTCAGCGCAGAAGGTAAACACGGATTAGAAAAACTCCTGGTCTGCAACCTACATGTACTTGAAGTAATCTCATTGGTCTCTTGGAGTTTGTCTTGGAGAGATTTGACTGTGCATGGTGTCTCTTCCCATTAGCATAACGGTACTGCTGTAGATATCAACTTCAAACACATGGGGAAGGCCTGCAGTTGACTGTACCTCAAGAATGCTTGTCCTTGTTGGCGTGGACATCCCGTGCGGTGGATGTCTCCAAAGTAGCGGTCAGAAGCAGTTCGGATGAACCTCTTGGAATATGATAATGTTGTGCCCTTCATCAATAGATAGTAGATACCCCGCGGTATATACATTCCTGGATGTATGTATGTATGTATGTATGTATGTATGTATGTATGTATGCACATGTTTGTACCAGTCCCTGTTAGAGTGTGCACGTTGATGTGTATCAGGCTCTCTCAGTCGGTGCTTTCACCTTGTAGAGTGCATGGGGTTGGAGGCTGTATAATAATAAATAAACGGTGGCTATCACAAGCACTCACGGGCTTGATGCCCCATGCAAAGCATGATGTATTCACCCCACCTCTTCCATGTGTCTCATTATTATGAGCTGCTTTTAATAGCCTTTTATGCATAGGCATCAATGCCATGTAAATATGCACAGTATGGTAAAGCTTCCCCTCTGTATCTACTAGGCCTAGCGTCTACCTCTTTCTTGTTTCTTTACGCTTCTAGAATGTCCCAGGATGTGCTTGCAAGTGAAACTGTGTGCGTGCACACGTCGCCGAAGAAGCGACCAGTTGCAGGGGGTATGCCAACTCTGCCATCAGCTCTCTCGTCCGCTAGTCTTAACAAAGGTAATAATACCACGCTTTGCCGCATGCGGATTTTGCAAGTTTTCGTAAAGTTGCTCTAGTCTACGGTGAACCTGACTTCAAGACCATTGCATCCGCATACTAGGTACTAGGTAGTATATACAGCAACACACTGTATTTTAAAAGGCAGGCACCATACGTACCCATATACCATACGTACCCATATACATCAGGCGCTTACAAGTATTACACCACCAACATGTGTGCCGGGAGTACTCAGTGGTGCCTAAACATTCGGATCTGCTGGGTGAATTTCACCCTTGCAGCCTGTCACGCTATCAGAGCCACCCCTGTCTTCTGATCGCAACTGTAGCGGGTAGGGCGGTGCCATCACACAGGAATGCACTTCAAGAACAAACTGTCATGTCACGGTTGGCCTCATAAACACGCTGTCTTTCTGCGTCCTTTTTGCAGATGACGTCAAAGCATCCGTTGGCGACATGCTGGCACCATCCAAGATTCATGTAAGCCATCTTGTGCAAGAAGATACCAAGTTGGACATTTGACTGTATCTGTGCGCTGTGCAAAGTAACATGTGACTGTATTTAGAGATCACAGTACAGTACTACTGTATTCAAGCAGGGACCGTAGAGGTTGCATGATCAGGAAGGCCAAGTCCGGTATGGACTCACCTAGGCGGTTGGCCATGCCCAGCATACGGCAGGCAGCATGGACATCGGAACAAGGGGGGGAGCTGCTGAATTGTGCGGATTTTGTCTGGATTCGGATGGATGCCGAAACCATCGATCACGTGGCCCAGGAATTTGATCGAGGTGGCATGAAACAGGCACTTCTTGCTGTTGAGCGTGACACTGGAGTATTGAAGGCGGGTCAGGGCTGGTCAAAGGTTGTGCGCCTCCTCCTCGAGGGTGGTGCCAAACTAAAGAACGCTGCCCAAAATACATAATTACCCGGGAGGTTGCTGAGCAGACCCAACATTTGCTTTTGAAAGTACGAGCACTCCGGTCACCCAGTCCGGTGCCGAGGAAATGCCAAAGGGAAGCCACGCCTACCGGAATCTGGCGATTGGTGTGAAGAGTGTAGTTAGCAGCTATGATTCCGGTGCAAACAGAATTTGGTGAAACCCACCGCTGTTGACGTCCAGCTTTGAGAACAAATTGGTGTCACCGAGGTGAGCGAGAAGATGGTCCATGGTGGGGAGTATATGCCATTCCCACTTGACTGCTGTGTCGAACCATGTGAAATCGTAACGATGCACACGCCGCTGATTGGCTGTGGCATGACAGAGAGGAGTGTGTGTGAGTGTGTGTGTGTGGGGGGGGGGGGGTAATGTTTCTAGGAATGATAACAGCTAGCAGATAGGCTGCATATACCATACTTTACTGCTGGTTGGCCTTCCTATTCTGTGGTTGTTTTCGTGTTGTAGTGCGATTTTTATGGCTTTGTCGATTTAAAGCATGCATTCTTCTGTTCGTTTTTGTTGTCCGTCTCGTAACACACACAGCCAATGCACAACCTGAAGCGCAACAATGTGGCTGATCAGTTCGACATGGTACGGCTGCGCCTATTGCGCCTCCGGCACATGCAGCAGGGCCATGGCAACGGGCACGCGCACAGTGCCGGCGCGGGCGCATGCTACCGCAGACAGCACTCCTCTTCTTACGAGCAGCAGCGAGGCGTGTCGAGATCGGCCAGCGACCAGGACCTGACCGCGCACACCGTGGACGTGGATCGCCGGCGCGAGGAATGGACGCGACGCCGCTGCATCAGCGAATGCCAGAGCGACATGTACGAAGACATCCAGGATGCGAATGCCGCCTTGGAAGCCGCCCGGCTGGATACATCACCGCCCAAGGATTGGGAAGAGGACATGGACGCCGCTCCCAAGCAGCTAGTGAACTCGCCAAGCTCTGCACAAGACAGCAAGGGCATTCTACGGACCCCGACGACGCCCGAGCAGAGGGAGAAGCAACTCGGTGCGATGCACCAGAAATATCACAGCGATGATTCTGGCCCACGGGTCAGATTCCTACAGGGCGATGTGTCCTCACACCCGAACGAAAACCTTCTCGAGTCCAGTGTCTAATTTTTGAAGCACGCTATGTGCAACGGCTGACATACCGGCAATGAACGGAATATCTGGGTGCATCTCAATTCTGTGTTGGGATAGGAACTTGCACGACTTGTGGATCAAGAGAATTGAGTTGTACATTTATATAATCATACAAAGCAGAACTTTACGTACACTGATGGGCACTTATTTATTGCTTGATGACACGTCATTTACAGACATACTTTTTCATGGCATCAGGTTTTACCACCACTTCTACCCCCCCCCCCCCCCCCCCGGGCCCCCCCCCCCCCTTCCCTCTAGCTCATGTTTTTCAAGTGACACTCTCGTTCAGTGAACAACTCTTCTTGATGACGTATTTGTACCATGGTAAAAAAATTGTCTTAGATCGTTACATGCCCCCCCCCCCCCCCCCCCCGGCCAATAGTATTGGATTGGCATGCAGCTACTTACAAGTACATTTAGCTACACAGAAGTGATTGCCGGTGAATGTTGGTGAGAACACAGGCTTTGAATTGTCTCGCCAAACTCCTTCGCGGTGATGCCAAGGTCTTGCCGCTGGTTGATACCAGCTAGCCATTGCTTGATGAGGGTAAGTTGATGGTCGCGCACACTAACAACGGATTGCGGGTCGTAGATGGACGGGTAAAACAGATCATAAGTATGGCCCATCTCTGCTGCCATAACTACAACACTTGGGCTGAGATCATGATCAGGGGAAAACCCCCTCACCGGGTCATACCCGCCATTGGTGAATGCAATATTCGAACCCGATGAGAGCAGTGGCTCCTGTACGAATGACCGCCACTTTTCCAAGCTGGGACCGATGCCCCACTTCTTCTGGCAGTTCTCCACCGTGCGCGTGAAGTTCACCGGACTTGGGACACTGAATATTCCCTTTCCTCCGATCGGCTGTGGAAAGTCTCGACAGCACACGTACTGGAAAGGCTGGTCCTGTATGCCAACAGGGCTCTCAGTGTGCGGCTGTGAGTGTGATGCTGGCCCAGTTTGCCGCCGCAGGGTGCTTTTCAGCATCGCAGATCTACTGTGACGATGCATATGAGCTGCATGCAGAGGTGCTGGACCATGGAACGGGAAGCATGCCAAGCCACCAGTGGAGTTGTAGATGAGATTCAGGGCAAGAAGGATCTTGTCCTCAGCAGCCGTTGGTATGCAGAGGTGCTGCTGCAGGGAATTGGCAACATGGGTCGGTGGCCATGCGATAGGGTAGTCGAACTGGGCGCCTATGGAGAAGAGATTGCGTGCATAGAACATCAAAATGTACCCGTCGCTTATCGTACCCACTGCCGTGCACAATCTAAGATGGCTCTGTAACGCGCCGCGGCACGACGAATTGAAAATACAAGCCCACAGATGGTCAAAGGTGTATTGGATCTCTCTGCTACACTCTATACGGTCATCGCCAATGGATACGACCGTCTGTTCATACGTCTCTGAAACCAGGTCATACCAGGTGCTGTCGGGAATATTGCCGAATGTGCAAGTTGCCGCGGCCGAGGCTATACTCCCCGTGACGATGTCGGGATGGTGCACTCGCATCAGCATGGACAAGTGACCTCCGTAGCTGCCACCGAACGAGATCACCTTACTCGCACCCAGTCCCGGAATGCTATCCTTGACGTGCTGTATGATTGCCGCGTAATCCGCCAGGGTCTGTTCAATGGCCAGGTACTGAATGTACGGCTGTGCGAACGACCGATTGCCGAACGGCAAGCTAACGCCGAAATATCTGTGTTCCGCCGACACGACGACGGCTCCCAGGGTCTGTGCAAAGTAGGCTAGGCTGAGGTTGGTGGCAGTGTACGAAGACAGTTCGGTCGTCTCCGGCCCGCAGTAGAACAGGAGCGAAGCGCCGTCCGATTTCGATTTGTAGGCGTCGTAGACGAAGAATTTCTGATTGAAGGTGCGCAGGTCGCTGGTGTTGTAGTGGTCGACTCGCTGCTCGAAGAATTGTGGCTGAAGCAGAGGTATATTTCTCAGGCTTGGCGCGCCTATCTGAGGTCGATCTGCATGAACACCAGGGATTGCGTGCTTGGAATCTGATTCTTTTGAATGAAGCGATACAGTCCGACTGGCTGAGCTCGTTGAGGCCAGAACCGAAGTCGCAAGCAACAACAACAACCATTCCAGCAACGATGCGTACGATAATGAAAGATACGCACATCTCTGCGGCTGCTGTCGCCGCTGTTGTTTCCATTCATTCCACATTCCGGTAGCCATGCTTGAAATGGCCCGTGTGACACTCAACTACTAGGTGCTTCGTAGACCATTGCACTAAATAGTAGATGCAAAAGTACGGCGGTAAGAGCAACAATCGCAGCCTGGACAAGTAAAGAAGCAAAGAGGGAGTTGATCGTCGCAAAGTCCTCTCCTTCTTCCCCGCAAAATAGCCTCATACTCATAGGCTCTACGCTGTACGTACTTCATAGGCTAAAACTACGCTGTACGTACAATGTACTTGGACACGAAGTCCGCACTACAAATGTCAATGTAGTGTAGACGCAAGATGATATATGCGCAAGCCTCTCCTTTAGGCTTTAGCCTGTTTACCATGGTTACAGTTTAGGCTTTCATCTCTCCATGATCCATAATTATTTATTATCACCATACCATCCGGCCCGATCAGTGCCAGCGGGGCACTGGTCCAGGAGACGTAAAGTACCATGTATCAAAAAAAAGTATCATGGTAAAGTACCATGATACGACTCCCTGAATAGAACACAATCATGACATGATTGTGTTCTACTTCTACTTTTCTAGTGTTGTATACTATAGTACAACCCGGGTTTGGGATCCACCTAACTCTGCGCCGACATAGCTGGACTCAGTTGTACTAGGGATGGGCAAAAAGGTGTGCAAAACGACTTTTTGTGAGGAGATGGACCCCGGAAAAATAGTTTGGAGCGAAAAAATTACGGCTTCATCGGAAACCGACGGGGGACCCCCTTGGGCCGGAAATTAAATCCCGGTATACCAAGAGTCCATAACCCCCCTGGGTTATGGACTCTTGGGTATACCTATAATTTCCCAACATATATGGCCGATTGGTTTGCAGGCGCGCCTGCGAATCATGATGAGGTTCCGAGTTCGAGACCCGCGCTGGTAGCAGGGATCGTGTAAAAAGACTTTTTACGCGTGTTGAACTGCGCCGACACCCACGGTCGATCAACATGGGTACTCACAGCTCGGAGTGAGGATAACAAGGATGCAGTTTACAGCAATACGGGGTCATGGGCCGTTACACGCCCGATTGGTTGAGAGACTCACCTCCTCTCCCCCTGACTCACTTGCGAGGTCTGCATCTGCCACTATTGGCACTAAGGTGAAAAAGGCATAGTGGTGGCCTGCGGAAGCGAAGGCTAGCTTGTGTGTTTCTGAACATTCAAGTGATGCTAACGCGGATCCCGCGAATATTATAACTATAAGGATCAACCGCACAATGATATTATGTATATGCCAAGTGACCCCCCCCCCCCCCCCCCGGGCTCCGAAGCCAGGCCCGCACAATGTACGTGCCAAGTGCCTCCCCCCCCCCCCGGGCTCCGAAGCCAGACCCGCACAATGTACATGTACGTGCCAAGTGCCTCCCCCCCCCCCCCCCCCCGGGCTCCGATCCCTAATCCGGTGTGACGGGTTCTACCAAGAGTACATAACCCCCCAGAGTGTGCAACGCCGATCCAGCTCTGTGTAGGGTCTTGGTCGAGCGGAATCGGATCTTCTGATGTCATGCGTACACTTCACACCAGCGGAAGGCCGGTCTCGAGGCAGGGCACCATTGTTTTTGATCCAAGAGTACCCGCGACTCCCCGGGTTCCCCTCAGATGTGTACGGTATTATGACGCAAAGATCCGATTCCGCTCGACCAAGACCCTATGCAGAGCTGGATCAGGCGTTGCACACTCTGGGGGGTTATGACTTATGTACTCTTGGTTCTACTCTACATTGTGAATTGAAGGCGATATCACCATGACACACGATGACCACTACTCCAAGCACTAGCACTGCAACAGAGTATGCCGGCTTCATCATCAGGGTCACGAGCCGTGATCTGCGTGAACATGGTGAAGGCCTTTCATTTTTCAACTGAGACTTCACTCGAGATCTACTCCTCGCGAGTCCGGCCTCGGCGCTCTTCACTTCAGATTATTTCATCAGCTGACCTGCTAGATATCTGCGCTCATACTCATAGATCATAGACATAGGTCTACGTGTGCATGCGCACAGCGCTCCTGACACGGTGCTGATAGTGACCAGGTGACAAGTGACGACCACGCTACATGTCCGATCCCGATGCAAGCATTCATTTTCACTTTGTGTCGCTGCGCTTCAATTTTGTTGTTCCGTTGTTTTCGGTCTGCGTCCGATATTCCATTACAGACCGCATGTCGGAGCTTTTCCTGTCTTTCCTAACTGCAGAAGAGATTATTAGTAGCTGTTGTTTGTGCTCTGCAAGTAGCACAAACTGGGATCAGATCGCGTTCGCTATTTTCCGCACTACAGCGGTACGCTCGTCATCTGAAAACTGAATGGCAGAACGCGTTCCTGCCCTCAGCTCACCTGGTCAGGATGATCCAGTGCAAAGTGACATTGACAGTGACAGTGGCAGCGGCAGCAGCATCAGTCCAGGCAATCATCCGGGATTGCCGTCGCTCACACCGTCGTGTTCAGACCTTTCACCAGCCTCTTTGCCCAACACTGAAAATGACAAGAGCTTGGCCGAATTGGCCGACGTTGCGGAAATGTCCCTTGTTTCTCCCAACCGCGCTGTTGCTACCGGCTCGGCAGCTGGTGAGTTTAAAACCGAATATTTCATTTCTTTGTTGCGCTTTCAAAATCCTCCGGGGAAGGGGGGGGGGGGGGGGGGCAGTGTCATGCATGATTGAATCCAGGACATGATCAGTCCGACTGCAAGGTTATTATTCTACTCGTATACAATGTCAGTCTGTGATATGACATTAAATCATCCGTGGTCAGATGTGCACTGGGGTACAAGCTATCCCCCCTCCCCTCCCTCGCTCTTGGAGTGAAACGACATAATTACTCAGTTTGCACTTGTTTACATGCAATGAACGTTTGGCCGGCCTCTGTGGAAGTTAGGGGTCGTCCATAATTATCGAACTTTTTTCACAAAACGAAATAATTTCGTTATGGGGTGGGAGGGGGTTGACCAATTTCGTTTCAGAAAACATTGATACATGTGCATGCCCATAGGAGCAGTTACACACTTGCAACTTTTGTTGTATTATGCATGCATATGTCAAACTTTGTTTACGTTCTGAGGGGGAGGGAGGGAGGGGTTGGGTCTAAACTAAAATAATTCGTTTGGTGAAAAACGTTCGATAATTACGGACGGCCCCTTATGCAATTAAATCATCAGTTGAGATGCTGTGCACAGAATGGCGAAGTCGCGGACTCCCGGCACAGCGTTGCACTTGCACTAGTGACTCGCTTTTGCATACTTCACACCCATTACAAAATCCACTGACTTCCGCTGTATGCTTAGCACCCATTAGAACATCCACCCATAAAATCATTCGCATAACCTCCATAGGCCAAAGGTATGATTCGATTCTCGTTATAATTTTATATTAATGAAGTTTTCAACATACATGTAGTAGTAGCACCTCCAAAGAGCAGGTCACTTCTTCAGCAAGTTACAGCAATGAGAAGGTCTTCTAGTGAAATGTGGCGGGTGTACAGGTCACCTTTGTGAGGTCCGGATATTTCCAATGGAAAGGAATCCGATATCATTATAATTATAATTTATATTTGAGGCTTGGGGGAGAAAACAGTGATGCAAACATTGGCTCTCTCCTATCAAGGGTTCTAGATGTATGCTGCTTAAAGTGCTAGAAATAGTTCCATATTAAATACTGTAAAACCGGGGATTTTCGGTTTCCCCCAAAATCAACAGTTTGGTAGCACGAAAATTTCGGTAAACCAGTTTTCCAGATCCGAAAATTCATTTTGCGCACTGTGTTGCATGGCAAGGTTGAATTTCAGGTCGCGTTATATTTTCGTTAAAAATCGCCTGTACCTCGCGGAATAGCGCGAGCTCCAATGTGGAGAGCAAACCCCTGTTAGTACTGAAGTTACCGAAAATAAATCTCTACCGAAATTTTCCGGTTTTACAGCAAGAGAAAAAGGCATTTTGAACATACCCAAAACCCGATGACGGCATAACTGACTCCTTCTTTCACAGCTGCCTCATCTACCAAACCGATTGGCATGGCTGTAGCTTTCCGTATTTCAAACTCGGCCTGTTTTATTTTCCCACTGGCAAGCCTTTACCTTATGACTAGGAACAGCACAGGATTTAGGCAGCACTTCAACATCTACAATATTCTTGGTATATAAAGTAATGACACCCGTGACGCCAAGCACTGACCCGCGTGTATGTGTCGTCCGCTGGCACTGGTGAGTCGCGCAGGCTATCGGCGTGCTCAACAGTCCGACGGTCGATCAGGCCCTTCGCCCGTTTCACGCATGCTGTCGATGGTGCTACGGGGCGCAGCCTTCTCAGTAACCAGGTGAAGCCGGGCATTTTGGTAGATGTCAAATGGTTTCCTTGGCTACCAAAGGAGGCAGATCCAGCATGCAGGGCACAAACCTGCTTTTGTGGATCTCTGCCACGACCTATCATACGTGACATACTGAAAACTGATTGGCAGTTCACGCCCGGCCATTTCACTATATAACTTTCTCTTCCTTTCTACAGATGTAGTTTCTACTCATGCCAGGATGATATTCTAGGGCAAAGCCTTTGATTTGAGCCGTAAAAGAACAAAAATCAGAGCAATACTATGATGTTGAAAATGTGTGTGTGTGTGTGTTTGTGTGTGTGTGCGTGTGTGTGTGTGTGTGTGTGTGGTACATGGTGTGTGTGTGTGTGTGTGTGTGTGTGTGTGTGTGTGTGTGTGTGTGTGTGTGTGTGTGTGTGTGTGTGTGTGTGTGTGTGTACACATGGCTCTATGTGTACTGCAGGGAAGGTGATGAAATCGAGAACGGAGAAAGGCGAGAAACGAGAACTGTTCTTGCCGTTTCTTATCCGGAAGCTTGATGAAGGCAGTACCACAGGTCTCTCCTGGGTGGATAAGGAGGAACATATAATGAGAATCCGCTGGGTGCACATGAAGAGTAATGATTACGTTGAGGAGAACGATGCATCTGTGTTTAGGGATTGGGCCATCAACACAGGGAAGTATTGTGCCAACAAAAACGAGCCGTCGAGGTGGAAGATCAACTTCCGCAGCGCTCTAAATACGATGCGTGAATCGCTACAAGAGCTCAAGAGGAACGATATCGCCAGGTTGTTTCTAGCCAAGACACAGCATGTCCCGCAGTGGTTAAGTGCACGTGACTATCGCTATTTCCGCATCTTCGAGGGCGCGTGTGGTCGTCGCACCAAGCAAACACTTGGGTTTGCAAGTGCAAGCACAGCGTTCTCGCCCAGGACTGCAAGCACTGCAGGTGAGGTTCTACAGCGCTGGAAACTGAAATCCGACCCCTAACAATGCGTTCACATTCTGGCGATCTCTATTTCGTAGTTTTGCCCTCCCGTGCACATGTTGGGTCTTTGCGATGTGAGCGCAACGCTCAGGGGTCGGATTTCAGTTGCCAGCAGCACTGTACAATCATGTACATGTACATGCACCCCTGCTCCTGATCAATATATTTAGGATAAAGTGCAGTGCCACTGTAGTCACTCTGTTGCTGTCGCGTGACTGCTTGTGCCGATTTGGCCCAAGGCAAGGCCCCCGGTGGTGAGTTTCGAACAGGTTTCGGCACATGAGACTGAAGTGGAGCAGAATTTGAGTACATGACGTACTGTGCGGTTTGCCTTTTAGTAGCTGAAAGTCCTGCGCAAGCTTTTGTGCACTTTTCCTGTCCTGATGCGTGATTTAAGTGTGTGTGTGTGTGCATGTGTGTGTGTGTGTGTGTGTGTGTGTGTGTGTGTGTGTGTGTGTGTGTGTGTGTGTGCGCGCGCGCGCGCGTGTGTGTGTGTGTGTGTGTGTGTGTTGTGTGTGTATGCTTAGCCATGTCTTCCCGGCTTGTCATGGATGTACCTGGTGCTGGAAGAGCCCTGTCACCTCAAGCCACTCTAGACAACGGAGTCCGACAACAACAGGGCAAGTTACATGGATCGGCGTTCAAGCCCTACAGAAACGGAAGTGGCGTGAAGAGAAGTACGTACTCATACCGAATATTTTATCGTGTAACAATTCACACAGTCATGTAGTGTCCTAAAGTCTTGTTCTTGGCATAGCTGTGATCTAGCACTTCTTGCTGATGTAACGGCAATACGCACACGCGCACACACACACACACACACACACACACACACACACACACACACACACACACACACACACACATACATACGCACACGCGTGCGCACACACACACACCTTGACCTTGCCTATTGCGTAGCAATGATAGCGCATTGTTATTTCTCCAGTCCACGACAGAATGACTGATGGCGTTTCAGGTCGCCGCTTTGACGGAACATGCGGCCGCAGGCGCAACCGTAGCCAGCAGCAGAGGGTGCCGTGGGTGGTCGACGGGCAATGGCACGCCACTCCGGACGGTTCTGGGCTGCATCGTACCATTCACATGTTGGTACCAGTGGCTCAACCGACGCAAAGTATTACACTGATGACGTCAACAGTTACCTATTTACAACTTCCATCCGATATGCCACCGCCCCCGCTGTGCAGCATCGGATGGTTCCGTGGTATTCAGTAAAAATAAAAAATAAAAACACCCAACAACAACTAACTGTACACGGTCCTGGTTAACAAGAGGGACTGGGATAGGTGTTCCCCGCTACAGTCACTTGAAACATTTGTTTGTGATGTGCACTGTGCTTTGGGATGATGTGTATCAATAGAACACGCTGGAGAGGAGTCTTCTCTCGTTGACCACCACCGTGTCACCAACAGTTCATCGACGGTCACTGAAAGCGAGCAAGCCTGGAACCACAACGAACCTGATCTCCAGCACGCTACATTGCAAGTAGTAGAAACGGGCGGTGAACTGAAGATGGAGCACAGAAAGTACGTGTACGTTGTATTACTGTAATTTTAGAAGGGTTGTGAAAACTTCAAATTCCGCAACGCCGTACTTTGTATTAGGCATTTCTCCTCTTTTCTTTGTCTGCCAGAGCAACTCAGTTTTCTCCTTCCTTTATCTTGGTCGGGGTCTCTCATAAGGAAGCATAATCTGTAAAACAAAATGAAGAAAAACCAACAAAACTGGCAATAAACCTACACCTCACCTCCCCCTTCCACATAGCTAAGTATGGACCCTCCTTCTCGACTACATCCTCCTCCTTCTCCTCCTCCTCCTCCTCATTATTCTAAAACATAGACGCTCAACATCCAGCCTTCTATGGATGCGATGAATAGTATTTCCGGTGGCCATGATGTAATCCTGGCACCCCGGCGATTGGACACGCGACTAGGAAACCCTCTGTCTCAGGATGCAGTGTGTGAGACATAGCACAGGAAAATTATAGTTGTGTATAGTCGCTGCATATCAAGTACATGTGCACTGTCACTGTGGGTGCAGTACATGTATCAGCTATGTGGAGGCATTGCCTAGAGCTTTTTCCGATACGTACCATTATTGGTTCCTACTGTATGTCTGTGCTACACCATGGCCTTATATTCAAAACACCGCTGCTTACCTAGCTATTTTAGATGCACTGCGTCATTACGTAAAAGTCAAAGTCCACACAGAAATTTCAAGCTATATCCACGTGTCTACCCTTTCTGCTGGGCTGGAAGTGTGTTAGTATATATATAATCTTTGAGGGTAAAGTCAAAATTTCATGCCAAATATTTCGGATGCCTCGAAGTGGCAAAGCTTACAGATTTTGAAGGCATTTTGCGTATGTGGAACTTAAAGGGACACTCCGGGAATTTTTTCGGTGGTGTGTTCTCTTCATGGGGGTCCTATATGGCCCCCAAGGAATGGGGAATCGCGAAAACTAGACCCAAAAAGTCGATATATGAAGCCAGGGATCTAGGGAGGGCCAAGTTCGTCTCCTCTTTTGATGGTTTTGATGACGTCACTTGTGATTAGTATTCAAATTCTCTGCATTTGAAGATCTTAGTTGTTTGAATTTTCTGGTGATGAAGAACGATGTTTGGTCGACATTCCCAAGCTTCACAACTGCGGACGTACTCTAAGGAACCTGAAGGACCCCCTGAGGTGCCCCTGGTAGAAGCGCAGCCTGATGAGGGCCAGGAGATTGGAGCGGACGACTTCACTGGTCCGAGTACGAGGATCCCGAAATTCTCTATACGCCGTGAGGCATATGGTCAGAACAGTTTTGTTTAGACAAGCTGACGCGAAGTCGGGGTGATGTGTAACGCATGTCAAAGGGCTGTCAATGCTAACAGCTGCAGCGCTCTCTCGACAGCGAAGGTAATCGACTGCCCTCTGCATCACCCCACATTTCTGGCAAGAACACCAATCGTTATTTCCTTGTCGACCAGTGAAGTCGTCCGCTCCAATTTCCTGGCCCTCACCAGGCTGCGCTTCTACCAGGGGCACCTCAGGAGGTCCTTCAGGTCCCTTAGAGTATGGTTGCAGTTGTGAAGCTTGGGAATGTTGACCAAACATCGTTCTTCATCATCAGATAATTCAAACAACTAAGATCTTCAAATGCAGAGAATTTGAATACTAATCACACGTGACGTCATCAAAACCATCAAAAGAGGAGACAAACTTGGCCCTCTACTCCCTGGCTTCATAATTTATATCGACTTTTTGGGTCTAGTTTTCGCGATTCCCCATTCCTTGGGGGCCATATCAGGCCCCCATGAAGAGAACACACCACCGAAAAAATCCCCGGAGTGCCCCTTTAAAGGAAACTCAGGTGACAGACCAAAGAAGCAGGTACAGCAGTGTGCAGGAATTTTGATTGTGTATGGCCACTAATAATAATAATGGCCACTGATTCGTTTTAAAGCATCTCTTCTGTTTTCTTCGGATAGCGATCACTCTACCCGGAACTCGCCACTTCATCAGTCTAGCAGAGGAACAGGGGTGTACCACGACCAGGCAATTAAGATGAGAGATGAAGAACACATGGACAGGTTAGCCAACCTACTTGAGAATAATTTAGAAAAGAAGAAGATAGCAGTTCAAAGTTTGGATTGTGCTGTTAGATCTTGTAGGTACATGTGTTGTGAGTAGTGTAGCTGCATGCTGTCGGCACGTGTTTGCCTGGATACGGGATACTGCTAAGATTACGTGTCCGTGCCTGGGTTCGTGCCTGGGTCCGTTTTTGGTGATAACTCGTGGCCCTGCGCCGTTTTCCCAGTCTTCCGTTTTTGGCTGTAGTCGTCGCAGCTCCTCGTGCTAGATCCGTAATTATTCTCTCTCTCGTGGTTTCTGCCTTTTTAGTACTCTTGTCGTTTCACCCTGTACCTTTCCTTTGTCCCCTTATCCGTAATAAGAGGCCAAGTAAGAATACGTGTTTACCCGAACATTCAAGGTGCTCTGTGTTGACTGGTCACGGGGGGGGGCTCTGTCTGACTACACATGCACATTGCGCTTGTTTTCGTTCACATGATCGGTATGTTTTCTAGTACAAGTCTGTCTTGTATGGAGCCGCGTATCCAACCATAGATGGCTGTGGGCTTCTCGCATTTTAGCATCATCCTTCATGTCCTCGTTTCCTTCATACTTGCATTTCGGTTCTTGCGGAAGAAGGTTGCGAAATAAAAAATTGTATTTCTGCACAATGTCTTTCAGCTGACTGACTTTTCCTCTCTTTTTTCTCTTTCCTTTTGTCTTCGAAGATCGAGGGAAGGTGAAGACATGGAACAGACCGTGGACATGTTGAAACTCAAAGTAAACAACCTCTGCACAATAGTGCACACCCTGCACGGCAGAATAGCAGAGCTAGAGAGCAGGCTGCAGCATCGTCACTAGCACCTCGGTATGGACAGCGGCCTAAACGGGACGCTGTGGTTGACCAGGCTGTATCTTCAGTGACAGATGGCCGGCCTCAGTTACCATGCAGCAATGCAGACAGTGGTGCAATACGTCATCAGTGGCATAGTGCTCTGTAATGGCCCGTGAAAAGAGTGCCGCAGTCCTCGTCAGTTGAAAACAATGAAAAGAGCAATGTTCGTGCAATCATACAAGTAATAACATACCGTATGATTGCTTGACAACATCACAACAACTTTTAATTAATTTAAAGTCTTGATTCCCGTTGTCTCGCATTGTTCATTTCCACTTCTCAGCCTTGACCCCGCCATTTCTCCCAATGTGCACCAGGCCAGGGGTGCCACTGATCATTGTATGAAAATTGAAAAGTAATCATTTCAATTCTCAAGTTGATTTGGCAGTCTGGTCGCAGTTTTCCACCTGATAGCCATGATCACATGCTTGAGCTCTCGTACGCTTGCATTGCCTTCTCGGGCTACTATTGTAGCACTGTCAGAGGTTCGCGGAGGACGGACATGATGACGTAATTTTTTGAGAGCTGGACTTGCTGGCTATGTTCATACTTCTGCCGCAGGCGGCTGAGTCAGCTCTATTGCCCCCCCCCCCCCCCCCCCCCCCGCCTTCCCGATTGTTTCTCTTCTGAAGATGCACCCGTGACTTGAAATCTTCCTGGTGACACTGGTCATCTTCTCACAGCTACAGTCTAGATTGTCTGTTCCTGTGGTTACGTCTTGGCTTACCGGTATGAATATTTGAAATACTGCAAAACAACATCACGTGCATGGTTTGAATTGTGTGGGTGCAATGCCATCGGTTTCTTGCTGTTCCCCGGTTGTGAGGGAATTGGTGGGAAACGCCGATTGTGAAGCGCGAACAGAGTCATACCATGGCTCTCGCATGTGTACGTGTGCTGCCGAACCCGGAGACTCAGAATCATGGGTGAATAATACCCAGGGCCAATTGGTCTAAACACATCCTTGCAGCTGTGTTGGGATACATAGTGGTACAGTACTACTACTAGTGGACTCGGATGGAGAGCCAAGTTTATACAAAGAGAAAGGAGTCAAGGAACTACAAGTAACTTAGTTACGCTATACTGTCCACTAACGCCAGTTAGTTGTAGAACGTCAGTACCGTCGGTCAGTGTCGTGCAATGTTATCGCATGAGCTGATTATTTAGTAACTGGTGGTGTTAGTGGACAGTATAGCGTAACTTACTTCAGTACTTGTAGTTCCTTGGTCCTTTCTCTTTGTATACAGTACTAGTATAATTTTTATAAATTTTAAATTACTAACAAGAACCCACCCCAGCGGTTATGGATACATGATTGTACAAAGATTATGTACATAATTCGTTTCGTGTATCAAGTAGGGAAAACCAAGCAGCTCGGCCTGGTTGGTCACCACGGCTCAGGCTTATCTTCGCAGTGCGGCTATGGAGTATGGCCTGGCTATGGCCCGTGTGGGCCATATGGTGCAAATGGTCTGGGCCAGAGTCACAGACAGGCTGGACCGGCTCGACCGCAGCCTTCGCGGCTCTGTCTCCGGTTCACTTCTGAATGAGATCGAGAGGCAACCAAAAAGTGAAAAGTGTGCGAAATAATTCAAAAATGAGATTGTGATGTTTGAGAAAGCAGTCAGTTGCCTCTTCGGAATCTTCCCCTTGGCCTTGTATTGGTCACTGCCATCAGTCCAGATCAAATACAAAGTAGTCCACAGGCAGAGCCATTCCAAATTTCTCAAAGAGAAGCATCATGCTCTGATGCATCACGGTGGAACCCATGTAGTGAGGGCATAGCATGTTTTACCGCACGGCTCCTGCAGGAGAGAAGGCATTGGCTGAGCTCGAGGAGATCTGCTGCAGACGACTTGTGAAGCTGCAGAAGTCATTCAACAGCTCCTGCAGGGTGACCAAGAGTTCGGCCAGTAGCTGTGCGCAGGGCACGGAAAACTCGCAGGAGCAAGATGATAATCAGAATGGCGAGGAGCAAAGCGATGAGAGTGAAGATGATGATGGTGAAGATGGCAGTGGAGGTGAAGGTGGTGGGTCCCTGAAGTATGAACTACATGCAAACGTGGTGGGCACTGGTAAGGCACTGAGGACTAAAGCAGACTACAGAGCCACCGTGATGACCCCTAGATTGCTGGAGGATGACCTCATTGGCCATTTCACCTTGCGACTGGCGTTGTCCGGCAGATACTCCTGCTGGAAGACCTGGGTGTACGCAGAGGCTAGCTTGTTCGCAGAGCGACTTGCTGCCATGAATACGGATGAGGTCAGCAACGTTCTGCGTGACAACCGTGATGCCATACCAGCGCTGTCTTTGTTGCCAGTTGATAGTGCAGCTATGTTTCTGATTTCCTGGAGATACACGAACCAGGATGACCGCGAGAGTTTCCTGGCGCCGTTTTTCTCCGTTCCAGAGTTGGTTGCGACACGTTCAGTTGAGATTTGCGATGGCAAGGCACGCGTGAAGTGTACCTACCTTGGCCAACTGCTGCAGAATGCCTTCTTTGAAGAGGTGTGGAATAGTCGCGTTGGTTGTCACAGTGCATATGCTATAGGTGAGCATGATTATTATTTGAAACTTGGATGTTGAGCCAATAATAAATATAGAAAGGAAAAGGACATATGGATACGAGTTAAGAGTAACTCTCCATCACTGTAACCAGATACTATATACAGTCAGAAAGTGCAACAACTAGGCACAAAACTGACAGAGTGCTGAGACATTCGACATCCTGACACCTAGCTTCAACACATCTCCGTAGCGCTAACCAACAGCCTTCCAACTCGGAAGGTTCAAGGTTATGGAGAGACCAAAGGACGTTGAATGCCTCAGTACTCTGTCAGTTTTGTGCCTAGTTGTTGCATTTTCTGACTGTATATAGTATCTGGTTACAGTGATGGAGAGTTACTGTATTTCCCCGATTATAAGTCGCACTTGATTATAAGTAGCACTTGATTATAAGTCGCAGTCCATTCTCACGTCCGAATTGAATTGTCTCAATGCATTCACATAAGTAAGAAGTCACACTCGATTGTAAGTCGCATCCCCTTCTTTGCCCTTGAAGTTTAGTGTGAAAAGGTGCGACTTACAATCGGGGAAATACGGTACTCTTAACTCGTATCCATAATTATGTCCTTTTCCTTTCTACGATGATTATTATTATTATTATTTTATTTTTTGTTTTGTTTTATATTTCGGCCAGTATGGCCATGGCTGGACTGAAAACTTCGTCTTGGGGGTGAGACATGGAGAAGTTGCATTACATGTATAGGCGGTGTGAGCCCGCCTCTAGCACTCGGCACCGGGAGTACAGCTTGCTCGACTCTACTGAGTGACGATGACCCATACCTTGATCTGGCGAGCTGTGTGATGGGGATTTTGCAGTTAGATGTGCGACCGGGGAGGGGGGGGGCTCGAACGTGCGACCTCTCGGTTCACAGGCAAGTGCAGTACACACTGTACCACCGGGGAGCCCCAGTATTGTAAGTGACCACGGCACCCCCCTCCGCCTATTGCTCCCCTTCCTCTGCACTCTCCTAGCTCCACGAATACTGGGCTGTGAATCGGAACGCAGCGCTGCCTCATTCATGGAGGTGAATTTCATTGTCCAGAGCATGTACTGTAGTTGGACCAGGTACACTTTGTAGTCAAGCTAAATGTTCTGTCCAATCGGATTGATTCACCAGCTTCAAGATTTCCCTGTCTGTTTCATGCGCTACCATGTACCCATGCTACACAGAGAAAATGATGGATTTTACTTTTGGTGCTGGTGCTGTGTACACTACCGTAGTACTTCAAGATGCTCTACTGCTCCTGCACTGTGTCTCTGCAGCGGTGAATGACCCCAGGCTGCGGCAGCTATTCTTGCACCTGCAAGACACCGTCCGTCGTCGCTTTATCGGCGACAGGCACCACCGCAGCAGCAGCGAGAGCGGTGAACTGGCTGGGTCCATGGGTGGTGTGACGCGTGCACCGCTTCATCCATCCCTGGTCGATGGTCTGAGCGCGTTCTTTCCGCCGTGCATGCGTCACATGCACCGTACGTTGCGCAAGCGCCACCGCCTCGACCACCACGCCAGGGTAAGTTCAATCTGGCCTCGTGTGGATTTGCATGCTTCTCCTCTTGTGATGGCTATTTTGAGTGGTACATGAACATTGTGAGTATGCCTATGTATGTGTGCTTTTCCTGTACATCCAGGTACAGTATAGTCTGTACTTAAAACGCATTGGTCTGGGAGCTGAAGATGCACTACAGTTCTGGCGTGAAGAGTACAGCAAGACTCCAGCATGTTGCCATGGCAAGGTAAGAAGAGAGCAACAATTATTCTCGATACAAGTACAAGTACATGTACATGACTGTAGGTTAGATTAACTGATGAGGGGACACAATGTGTAAGGTGAGAATGCTGCCGATTAAGGCTCCATGCATGTTAGCCAACTCGGTGCTAATTCATAGTGGCTGCGTTCGATTATGCACTTGAATCGATTCATGAACCATTCGCATGCACTCAAGTCGTTCGATTTTCATGTCCTGAGCCCTGGAATCGATGCGGAATCCGTTCACTCTATTCACATGGGGTGATGTGAATAGCGCAAATCGATTCATGAATCGATTCGTGAATCGATTTGCGTGCATAATCGAACGCACTCAGTGCGCTATCGTAAACTCAGAATCGTGTCTAGCTTGGAAATGCACTACAACAATTAATAATTGCGATGCATCGTTCTCTTCAGCTGGACTCTCTGAACCATGATCGATACCATTCACAAGCCGATGCAATTGCAGCTGAGGGTTATGGCATTCTATGCCGTGAAATAGATGTAGTTTAGCTGACTGCAGACAGCCGCGGCTTTCGAAAGGAAGAACTTTCCTGAATCCGACTACAGATTGGTACCTACAGATTGGTACCTACTTCTTGAAGAATCTGCCCGGCACCCAGTTGAGGGAAGTGTTTGGATACAAGAGGTCTCCTATTATATAACCCAATACTAGTACAATACTAGTACAATACTAGTATTAGATAAACCTTGTTATAGTTGACACACAAAAGGCACAACGGAGGTTTACAGATTTGTCGCAACTCAGAGTTTCTTGCTCAATGCAATCATCAGGCGACTATTACGTGTTCAGTGGGACTTGGCCAATATAAAGCATAGCCTAGCGATAGCTGGTTGGTGTCTGATTTAGCACAGGAAATATTGCCATGATGGCCGTGTGGATGGTCGCTTAGGTGAGGGAGCGATTAGCGCAGAAAGCAGGGAGTCGTAAAATACTGTACGACTCCCTGGCAGAAAGTATAGATTGCTAGTGAATATAGAAATGGAAGGTATGAATCTGTAAACAGCAGCCAGGGTGGGTGTGACGGTAATCCTTCAGAACTGTTAAAGTGTTATTGGTGATGCGGAGGGCTCTAGGCTCAAACGGGTGTGCTCGCTTCAGATCATGTCACAGTACACTGTATGTTTGTTTTGCAAGTGCACACCGGTGTGTATGTGCATGTACATGGTTGTATGTGTGTGTGTGCACATGTGTGGGGTGGTTGCACACCTGTGATTATGTCACGGCTGCACTGTGGCTTTTGAGTAGGAATTTGTTGGCGTGTCGGCACTTAGACACAAGCTCACTCCTCTTGTTCAGTAGCGTTATCTTGTCCGCGGTGATGATCTGCAGTTTTTCTTCTAGGCAGAGGTTGCATCTCTTGCTGGTGTTGCTGTAGGCCTTTCTCTTTCATTTTCCATGTGTATTTCGAGAGTTCGGTGGCATTCTCGTACTTTGGGTGGCGCATAGATGATGTGTGGTTGTTGAAACGGTTCTTGAATGCTGGCTCCGTCGAGCCGATGTAGTGTTTGATTTGGTCGTTGTCTCCTCTGGTGACTTCCGCTTGGTAAATGACATTAAATTAAATTTTGTTGCCTTTCACTTGCCACCAAGGGGGCAGTTCGGCTTGACACGGCAGTTACAGGGTAGGTCAGGCTTCGGCTGTTCCAGTATATGCTTGTTATGGCTGCTGATGAATGCCGACACGTTGGGCATACGAATAACTAATTTTCATGGTATTCAAATTGAAGATTTTCGCCAGCCTCGAGCCTCTGGGGAAATGCCGCTTGACGAGTCGTAGGAATGCGGCTCCTGCACATTTCTGGAAAAGGGCGGGTTGAACCATATTACTTTGCGTTTTCTTTTTCTGTTCCTTCTGGGTGTGTTCTTTTCAACGTATGCTATGTTGTCTGGTAAGCCGCTGGATGCCAGTGCTGTCCTGCAAAGCGGTGCAGCTTCTGTAAATACTTGGCTGTCTGCGGAGATATCTGACTATCGTCAGGCTACTGCTGGGGATATGTTTTTCAGGATGACGGGCGGGTGGTTGTTGCTGCTGCTGTTAACGTACAAAGGTGTGTCGCCTGGTTTGCGGTACGGCTTATACTTGCCACTTTGCATGTCTAGAGTCACGTCCAGAAAGTCCACTGTAGACAGGTTCGTTTGGGCTGTAATCTTGAGGCCATAGGTGCTAAACATCGCAGAGATGTCCTTCCAGGCTCTGTCTGCACCTGGTCCGGTTGCGTTTTTCAATAAGGCGAGGCCGTCGTCTCGGTATAGCCCTATCGTGTCCTTTTCGAAATGGCTGGATAACTGATTGAGCAGGAATGATCCCACGAGCTCGCACACTTCTGCCCCGTCGAAGGAGCCCATGGTCACATCGAATGTGATATCCTTGTTTCGCTTCATCCAGGTCTTGTGATCACTGAAGAGGAGTGACTTTCTGGCATGCATAATTATTTTCATTTCGTTTTCGTCAACTTCTGTCAGGTTCGACGCGAACTGCAGAGCCTTGGTCATAAGTTGCTCGGTTATCGAAGGGTAAAATTCTACCACATCGAATGTCAGGAAACGGTGCTTCTTCTTGTCGCTGATATCTTATAACCAGTCGATGACGGCTGCTGAGTTTTTCCACGTGTTCACCACAGTCTTCATTTTCACGTCCGATACGATTCTGTCCAGTATCTTCTTGCTGACGATGCCGATGTCTGATTTCACACATGTTGTTAGTTTGACAGCATGAAACAGTGTCCTCCACCTTGTTTCATGCTGTCAAGCTAACAAGAGGTTTCCTGTATACTTCTTTCTGAAGTAGTTAGTATTCAACCCCCCCCCCCCCCCCCTCTCTCTCTCTGTCTGTCTGTCTGTCTGTCTGCCTGTCTCTCTCTCTCTGTCTCTCTCTCTCTCTCTCTCTCTCTCTCTCTCTGTCTGTCTGTCTGTCTCTCTGTCTCTCTGTCTGTCTCTCTCTCTCTGTCTCTCTCTCTGTCTCTCTCTCTCTCTCTCTCTCTCTCTCTCTCTCTCTCTCTCTCTCTCCCTCTCCCTCTCCCTCTCCCTCTCCCTCTCCCTCTCTCTCTCTCTCTCTCTCTCTCTCTCTCTCTCTCTCTCTCTCTCTCTCTCTCTCTCTCTCTCTCTCTCTCTCTCTCTCTCCAGACAACAGGCTGCACACACAGCTGGCATACGGATGGCCGCCGGTACACGTACAATATCCGTCACCTGTACGGTCTGGAGGGCAGCCGCCGCAACTATTCATGCTTCTCCTGCCAGCATATGATTGTGAGATTTGTACTTTGCTGTGGTGTGTACTACTGTACAATGATCCTGTGCATTCTGTTCCCTGGTCCAGTGGTTGAAATCAATGAAATGTTACTTTTTTTGGAGACAGGCCAAGTACTGTACAGAGGAATGGATGATGTGAGAAAGTCATGGATGCTAGACAAGATAACCGCTCTATGGCCCTTGACTGTGTCACTCCAGATCCATGCATTGATCTTCTTTTGTTTGCCGTGTGCACATGACAGGAGGAAAGCGGCAGTGCAAGTGGTGCGGGCGGCTGCCCATTCCGGTGAGTGCTGCTTGGCTAGCATACCAGAACTGGGAATGCACGTGTAGTGTGACTTGCTGTCATGAGTAGGTATGAGTAGGTTTCTGCCCACCGTTCAGAGAATGCTCAGGATGAGTAAGCACAGAGAATTAAATTGCAAAACACCAGGACAAACGCCGTCAAATCGTATCTCTGAGCTCCAGACACCTGGAGATCATGCAACGTGAATCTCAGAGCTATGACTTGACTGCTTCCGCTGTCCACGGGCATCTTCTGTGCCATACAACACGCCGCACCTCTACAGTAAGTTCTCACCAAGCAGGGGCGTCGGAAGGAGGTAGAAAGTGGTACGGCTCGATAGTGAGAGGGGGTGCGGGGGAAACTTCCCCCGGAAAATCTTTTTCAAAAAACACTCAAAATATGGTAAAACGTGGTAGTAGATCTACGAGTCATGACGCATACATGCCATGCAGTTCCGTAGTCGACAGTCTAGTCACGCGTTACACGGTGCAGTGACCTGACTGGTGCACCGGTGACGGATCGCGGCTCACGATCATGCGTGATCATGTACAAACTCGATACCCCCATTTTTTTACACCGAATTTGGACGTTCCGCGTGGACCACCTGGAGCCAAAAGTGGTACGGCTCAAGCCGTACCAGTCGTACCGCTTCCGACGCCCTTGCCAAGTCCCGAATCCAGGCTTGTAGTACATGAGATTCAGCTAGCGAATCTTGCACCACTACGTCTACCGGTGTAGACTACAGTGTTGCTGTAAAGCTGGTAATGTTTGCGACGTAGAAATGCTCGTGATTTATGCGAGGGGTGTCCAAGCGTAAACTTTGAGCTTGGCAAACTCTCAAGCTGTTGTACAAGTCCGAGCTGCGTTCATGAATTGCAATACTCAAGGCGCGCTGCAAACTGTTCTCAATTTCTGAAACATGTGCACGTCTTGTCGCACGCTCTACCCACTTCACTGTCTTGAATGCTAAACGGGATTGTCCTGACCTCTGTTTCATGGAATTGCATTTTCATAAACATCCACGTGCAGCTTGATGTGTCTCAACATGCTTATTAACCTTAGCCTAGCGGCCTTTCCCTGGTATTACCGGACGGCATGTTAATTGCTGTATGTCACTTCTTCGTTTGCGTGGCCGGCTATAGGTACTTTGACCAGCACCACCTGTCCAATCTTCTACGCCTGTATGACTTGCCACATTCGGACGTGTCCAGTGTAGTTTCTGGTGCTGCCACTGCTGGTGGCGAAATGGCATCATGCAGGCAACTACTTCAGCTGACTTGGCAGCAGCACAGCTCATCACATGCTCCTCGGCCTCCTGCTCCTCCTACGGCTACTACTAACGTTAGTACTGCTGCAACAGCTGTCCACAGTCGACACGGGTGTTGCGATGACGATGTGGAGGCAAAAGTGCCAAGTCGCAGCAAAGTTGAAGTGGCTATGGCCTCTGATGACAACTCTCTGTCGCCACCCGGCGATCTTGTCTTGGCTGTCGACACTGACAGCGAGGACGATGACTCATTCCTGTCGCGCCTCTCTGCGCGCCCTTCTGAGGTTGCATTGTCAGCCGCGAGCAGCAGTACATGTATGCATCCACCAGGTGTGGATCAGTCAGGAACTACACCTGCGGCTGCTAATAGAGACCTGAAAGTATTACCTGCGTTAGTAGCTGCATCAGTGCGTATTGCTGATCAGCAGAAGACTGAGATTTTGGAGAAGTTCCACAGCCCTGTGGACTTCTATACGGAATTTCGTATGCGTATAGACACATGCTCTGACTGCAGGACTAGCCACTCTGCAACCTGATTTTGTGCAATTGCAGTAGTAAATTTATAGTATTTCGAAGTAGTTTTTTTGCTTTTATAGTTAGATTTTTTCTATTGTAGATAGGATTTCAAGTATTGAATTGCTGGCGTATCGTGTCTTCTGATTCTATTTATTTTCCGTTTATCCTGATTTGTACTCTCATTATCTTCCACTCTGATATATTTGGTTACCGCAACACCATTTGATTGCTCCTCATAAAAAAAATGAGTCTCTCACACTTCTGCAGTATTATCGCACTGCAGTGTACTTGTGCAAATGAACTAAACCATGCTCATCAGTTGTGATTCTCTGCCAGAGTGCCATCGCCCCTTTAATTCTTTTCCCGCACTCCAGCTCTTCGGGCACGCCCCACTGAACACTGCACTGGTCAGTGGTGAGGGGCTCGACGGCATGTCGCTAATATGACTGTGCAAATGTCAGTGCATACACTGACACTGAAGAGAGTGGCTATTTACTACGGGTGCAGGCCCATGGTCTGCAAAGTGGCTCGATAGGTGAAAACTGTGGCGTGGAGACAGTAATCGTAATGGTGATAAATAATATTTTAAAATTTTTTAAAGTGCGCACTCATATCACAAACATAGCAACCAACTGTCCAAAGGAGCTTCATGTCCAGAACGTTTTCTTGTCCCAATCATCAGTGGAGTGTCAAAGAAAAAAAAGAAAAGGGCTGTCAAAAGTGGGGTTCGAACCTGAACTGCTGGACTGCTGGAGTTCCAACTAACTTTGGATCTCCCTGTATTTTTGTAGATCTAACTGTATGTGTACAAATGACGTAGAGTTGCATTCTGATGTACGCACGGCTACATCATTGCATACTACACTGTAGTACCACATGACTGGACTACATGTAGCTGTAGTAATCTGGTAATTCAAACAAGAATTAGATAACAGCACGATGGACTACGAGTAAACTTACTTCAACGTTTTCACTTTGTTGCTTGCCCCTAACATCAGCGTGGCATATCACCCACCGCTGTAGTATACTAAATCAGCGGTTCATCATGTCTACTCCGCGAGTGCTGTCTATTCAGAGCCACGTTGTGCGTGGCTACGTTGGAAACAAATCAGCTACATTCCCATTGCAGGTAAGTTGAATAATAAACTTTTACAGATTTGTCATACATGTATGTCTGTGCAATGATGAGTGATCGCACATCTTCTTGTAGCCGCCACTCGTTAATCCTCACACGTGTCAGCCTAGATCCAGCAATGGTTAAGTTTGATTTTGATTTATTCCGGTTTTCAGACTCTTCCTTCCTGGTACATGTAACAGACCCCTATAGATCTAAAATTGATACCTTTTCAAAAAAATAGTTTTGAAAAATGGACTCGGATGGAGAGCCAAGGATAAATTTATAGAAAAGAAAAGGGCCAAGAAACTACAAGGTACGCTGTAATGTCCACTAACATCACCAGATACTAAACAATCTGCTCATGCGATAACATTGCACGACACTGACCGACGGTACTGACGTTCTACAACTAACTGGCTATCAGCTCTAGCACATCTTGGATGCGCACTCCAACAGCCTTCCAACTTGGAAGGTTCTAAGTTTATATTCAATGTTATCGCATGAGCTGATTTAGTAACTGGTGGTGTTAGTGGACATTACAGCGTAACTTGCAGTTTCTTGGTCCTTTTTCTTTTCAAGAAAAATGGCAATAAATAATAAGAAAAGTAAAATATTGCAGATCCGCGCACTAGGTAAAGAACTACTTTTCCGCTTCCGTGGGATGTCACGACCCCATGATCTTGGTCAGGTGCCAGATGCAGCTTCTAAATGGTGGGGGAGAGTAGATCGGATCCACCAACCAGAGTCTTCAGGTTGAAATCATGTGTGCTACGTCCATGTTGTGGTGTATTCACACATGCCTTCCTGGCAGTCAGTGAGTGCGGATTTGTTATTGAAAGCGTGGCCGTGACAACATTTGTACTCATTACTGGAGGACTGCCGTAGGGTCACCAGTGGTTACGGAGTCCACGTACTCACAACTTCAGCAGTACCCCCTGTATACCTTATACTGTACAAGCAGAAAATTTATATTTGTCTGGAATTTAATTTCGTCTTTTTCGTCCAACGAGCTGTTGGACTAAATTAAATGCCGGACTAATATTGATTTGTCCAGCTTTTCAATACACTCTTATGATCCATGGACGAAATTTACAACCGAACGGACTCCCTTTCCTTGGAGTTGGACGAAATTATTGACCGACGAAATTTTCTGCTTACACAGTACATGTTACTATGGTTGCATGTGCTTCAACGCGCGGATCGACTTTGGGCACGCGGTAGTTGCATTTTAGTTGTACGGATTGATTTCCAATGTTATGTCATGCACATTGAATGTATACGCTCTCACCACGGAACTGGTCGGCTGAAACTCATTACAAACTTGAGAAAAATTGACTGGAGAATTTCTAACCTGTTGGAAAAGGCCTTGATCGCCGAATCTCAGCGCCAGATTATTATTATTATTATTATTATTAGTAAATAGGCGTCGAGGCGACAATAGTTTTAGAATTGCGATCAATAGAACGAGCTGAACCGACATTTTCACAAAGGCTTTTATTGTATTCCAAAAAAACCGAGTGGATACGAAGGCAGTGAAGAACATGGAAGAAAGAAAAAATGTGATATGGAAGAAATGATGAACAAAAAATTGTACTTCGAACTAGTTTTCGCACAACACTCCTCAGGAAGCTACGTTGTACTAATGAAAAACAATCCAGAAAGATACTAATAAAGAGAAATGGAGTGAGAAGAAACAACACCTATGAAAATGATAATCCTAGCACTAAGGTAATAACAGGAAAAACTGCGAAAGCACTTAACGAACTTGTAAGGACTACTAGTATACTGTGACACAAGATATGACACCATGGCCAACCAGAGCCAAACAGACAGAACAAGCTGCTACTAAAACAATTTCAAACGAATAATGCTGTCCTTCTGGACACACAGATTAGGCTTATGAATACGTTGACAAACAGCTTCTAACACACTCAACTGCAACTTATAACCATGACGAGCACGGCACAAAACAGAAAAAGAAAAATCAGAATAAACCTTGCAGCAATCAGGACGAGAAGCAAGATGCTTATACACTGATGACTTCCTACTAGAAAACACACGCTCGCACCCACTCTTACTCACACAATCATTCTCGCTCTCACGCTCACCGGAATCACTGGACTCACTGGTCGAATCCTCCTCAACGACGTCCTGCCTCGGAGCAATCCGGTCCCGTCTCCTCCCATCCCTCGTCTCACGTTCCTGTTGTGTATTCCGTTGGCTCGGTACTTCCGTACTGAAATAGGTCATGGTGTAATTAGCAGTTGTTCTTCTGGGTCTCGTTGATATTGAGGTAGGTATTGTTGTCGTCTCTGCCGGTGATGCAGCACGCGATGCTGATGCAAACTTGTCTGCATGCAACACACGTGGCGTCGCCAAAGCCACATCCACCTCCGCTGGTGGAGGGAGTGACTTGGTCATGGCCACGGGAGCCAATGGTGGACTTGTCGAGTGAGACGCTAGGTCCTGTGTTGGCGGAGGTAGTGGTTGTTTACGGGGTCTTCCCCGCGTGGGACGCTCCAGTTGTGCGCTACGTGGGATAATGTGTAAAGGAGTGTGTTGCTTGATGCGTTCGCTCAGGTGCTGAACACTTTTTTTCTTTCTTCCATGTTCTTCACTGCCTTCGTATCCACTCGTTTTTTTTTGGAATACAATAAAAGCCTTTGTGAAAATGTCGGTTCAGCTCGTTCTGTTGATCGCAATTCTAAAAATTATTATTAGTATTATTATTATTGCTGCTTCATCCCATAGCTGAAAAAACACCAGCCAATCAGAGGGGAGAGGGTGATAGCCAACCACGGCGAGGAACAAAAAAAACAAAAACAAATACTAGTATGCAGTTGACAGGAAAAAAAAGAAAGAAAGAAAGAAGAAAATGAAGACCAGACACATGAGCAGAGGAAAATGAAGACCAGACACATGAGCAGGAGTTAGATTAGGCGAGCACCGACAGTTGTGCTTTGAACGATCGCATGGAAGATGAAAGTTTAAGACTCTGGGGGAGACGGAGCCAGTCGGAAATTGCGATAAAAAGTGGAGAACGCAGCAAAATAGAGGTGTTTGCTCTCGGTAAGGTTATAGCATTGCGGGTCCTGGCAGCATTTGAAAACCAATTAAAGGAGTCTAGGTGAGGAGGATTGGGATTGAGGCGAAACATATGTGCAAAGGTGCAGAGGTGGAGGTGCCTCCTCTTGGAAAGAGGTGTGGCGTGAGCAAGCTCGTACAATTCTACTGAAGGGAAATGCCGGGGCTGTCTAAATAATATCTTCAGTAGCTTTTTGTGATGAGTTTCAAGCTTGTTTGCGTACGTAGCATTCAGACCACTCCACACAATATCAGCGTAGTCAAACATGGGACGAATATATGCATTATAAGAAAGAATTTTGCATAAGACAGATAAGTAGTAACAGTGGGCGATAAACATACCAAGTGCCTGGCTTGTGCGATGGCAGATAAAGTCGATGTGGTGCTGCCAGCTGAGGCTCGAGTCCAGAAAAAGACCAAGGTGCTTATGGTCACGGACAACATCTATGCATTGGGGAAATAGAGGGCTTGTGAAGGGGGTCAGGTTATCAGCAAAAGGGAACATGAGAATTTTGGTTTTTTCTAGGTTTGGCTGCAATCTCCAGCGTTTCATCCAGTTGAGAACTCCGTGGATGCTACAGGAAAGGTTTAAATGGAGATCCTGCCGAGTTCCATTGCTGACTAGCAGTGTCGTGTCGTCGGCATACAGCGACAGTCCCTCAACCTGTGCAGGTAGATCGTTCATGTACATGATAAATAATAGTGGTCCTAAAATCGAACCCTGCGGTACTCCAGAGTGAACTGGTAGAGAGCCGGATGTCACGCGCTCCACAACAACATGTTGCCGTCTGTTATGGAGGTAGCTTTGAAGCCAAGAAAGAGCCTGACCCTCTATTCCAAAACTACTGAAGTTTAGCGAGCAGACCGCGATGCCACACTGTGTCGAAGGCTTTCGCCAGATCAAAGAAACAGAGGGCGACCAGCTGGCGGGTGTCACGGAGGGAAGATATTTGCTGCACGAGACGGGATAGCTGGAAGGTAGTGGAGTCTCCTCGTCTAAAATCTGATTGGGCCGGGTGAAGTTGAGGGGACACGAAACAGTAGAGCTGGTCGTACACGATACGCTCACACAGTTTCGAGATCGATGGAAGGAGCGAAATGGGCCTATAGTTACCGGGTTGAGAGCGGTGGCCTTTATTCTTGAAGATGGGGACAACACGGGCAGATTTCCAGGATGATGGGAAGACACCTGACGAGAAGGAAAGATTGAAAATGTGGGATAGGGGAAGAGATATAGACGGGGCCAAACATTTGAAGACTTCATTGGGTATACAATCGGGGCCAGATGACTTATTGTTCTTCAGTTTTCTGATATAATTAAGGATTGCTGCGGGGGTAGTGACAAGTGTCGATAACGTATGTGCCGAGTTGCAGGTAAGCGGAGGGATCACGATGGTAGGATCATCATGGACAGCCACGGAGGCAAATTGCTTGTTCAGTAAATCAGCTCGGGAGGCAGGACTAGACAGCACCTTCCCATCAGGTGCAGACAGAAGGGGTATGGGGACTTTCGTAGATTTCTGCATACGCACGAATTTGTAGAGTGTGGAGCGTTGGGGATCAGTGAGTGTGGCTTGGATAGTGCGGGTGTACTTTCTGTAGGCTGATCTGGTAAGGGACTTAACATTATTTCTTTGGCGCTTGTAGGCGTGTATATTTGCTGAGGAGGGGTATTTCATGCTCACGCTGTACAGGTCAAATTTTCGAGGGGTATTTCATGCTTGCACTGTACAGGTCAAATTTTCGTTTGATCTTTGCTCAAAGTTCATTACCAACCCATGGAGGGTATCGACAGCTGGATTTTCCTGGGTACCCAGCGGAGGGATCGCTCTATTGATAATCAGAAAGGTACTGGGCAAAAACTCGGCTGAGCACAGAACTAAATCCTTCCATTGCGTCATCGACATCGACCGATGACAGCTTGCCGTCCCAGTGAGTGGGCATCAAGGTATTGTTGATTGCTGATTAAATGTGGGCGGGGACACGTTTGAATGCATAGTTGACAGTGTTGGCCTGGGAGCGGGAGTCAGGCGAGTCTCTGGCAGAAGTGAACCCCGGGATCCAGAAACGGCAGAGTATTGGGCAGTGGTCAGAAGCCCCTAGGGGTGGAGTAGGCGAAACTGAAGTCACCAGGTCGGGATAATTTGTAGCGAGCAAGTCAAGGCACGAGGATGAGCCTGACGTGGCCGTGTGAGTTGTAAAATTGACTACTTGGGCGAGTCCGAAGCAGGACAATAAATTTGCTATAGCCTTGTCGGGGGTGTTTGTTGTGTCACTGGCACACCAATCACTGTTGCGTGCGTTGAAGTCACCAGTTAAAACGACCGTTGTAGACGACAAGTTGACTTTGGTCAGGCAATCCTCAATGCATTCACAGAATGACGTGGTGGCTGGGACTGTCTGAGATGGGGGTCTGTAGGTGCAGCAGATTAACAGGGATGCTGCTGTTGGCGAGCCGGGCATCCTCAGTTCTACCCAGGTGGCCTCAAATCCGTCTTGATCAAGGTCTAGGCGATGCTTTACATAGCAGAATCGGTCGTTACGGACGAGGACAGCAACGCCACCATAGCCTCTGCTAGAAGCATTGACAAGTCGATCCCTACGGAAAACGGTGAATCCGGCTAGAGCCAATAGTTGGTGGGGACTGAGCCACGTCTCGCACAGGCAGATGGTGTCCGCAGAGTAAGTTGATGCCTGGAGTGTCAATTCCGCAACCTTGTTGACGATTGATCGGCAGCTGAGGGAAAGAATACACAGGTTTGAGTCGCCTGCTGTGTTGGATTGGGGTTTAGGTGTGTTTGAGGGTGGTGTGTCGGCATTGGGGTGCGTGTTGTTGTTGGGGAAGACGGGGGTGCACGTGGGATAGAAGTGTGGGGCTGTAGGGTTTAAGATATGTATTGCTCTAGAATTTTGATTTAGCGAGAGTGGCTTAGCCGTGTGATTGTGTGGTGCTGCGTGGTACGGAAACGAGGGAGCATCTGGATTCAGGGATGTTGAGGCTGCGTTCGGTGCTCGTGGAGCTGTTGGAGGATTAACATCTAGTAAGAGTGTTGAGGGCATTGTGGTTTACTGTCCTACGCTGTCGGCGGAGAAACGCCAGTTCCTAGCTTGTACGTTTGATGGCCAAAACCCCTCACCGTTAACGGTTGACAGATTATCATCAGGTATGACAACGTGTGCATACGCGAGGCCAAAGTAGCGAGATTCTGCCACGGAACACTTTATCACGGTAACCTTCCAGGCGGCACACCATTTCGCGATTGATTCTGCAGAGCACCCCAGATCAATATTGCTGACGTGAAGTGCAGCGCATTTTACGCGAGCGACACCACGCAGATTCTCCTTTTTTTTTTGAACTGGCTGGTAGTACGATGTAACCGAACTTCGGTACGGGGTTGTAGCGTGGGATGCTGGAGGTCGTTGTACCGGTGGGGCTTGATGTGCTGGTTAGTGTCGGGTCACAGAGCTGTACAGCGGATGTGCGTTGTAAGAGTGGCCGCTTGCTTTGTTGTGGTGTATGGATGTGGATGTGCGTTGGGTGGTGCTGGCTAAAGGTGGCGAGAGAATCCAAACTGCCCTCCTGCAGCGTACTCATTTCACTGCTTGGTGCATCTTTGACTACGGGATTTGCTGTGCCCGTTGGAGCGTACTGTTTCAATTTCTGAACTTCCTCCATCAGCTCAGCTACCTGCTGTTGTAGGCTTGTAATTATTGACAATTGGCCTGCCAGTGCTTTAATTTCCGAAGTAAGACCTTCTAAAGCCCGATTCACAAACTCATCATTCCCACGTGCTGAGGCATCCTGGCCTGAGGCTGCATCATTCTTTAAAACTGAATTATCCTGACCTGAGACTCTGCCGATCCTGTTGTCCCGAAGCATGGTGACCAGCTGCCGACGGGACTTGCCAGAGTAACCACCCAGTTGATGGTCCTTCGCCAGTTGTTTCAGCTCGTCGTTCGAGAGCAAGGCCAAATCCTCTTCTGCTGCACTCATACCTGGTCTAGGCGTCCACGGGTTAGCACAGAACAACAATCACTCGGTGATATGTATATAGAAACTAGATGAGGTGCGGAGTCACGAAACGTGCAACCGCACCCAAAAATTCATGTAATATCAAAGATGATCTTGTCGGCGGTCTTTCCATGTGCAGTTAGCAGCTCACGCTTGGCGTCCGCAAACGTGCTGCATCCGTAACATGCGCTCTCTAACTTGCTGCCAGCAACAGCAACGCGCAATCTGATCAAGTACTCGTCTTCACTAAACTCGCTCTGTGCCGCCACGTCCTCGAATAACTCAAGGTAGGACTCTACCGTTTGCTTACCATCGAACTTAGGCATCTTGATGGCTGGCTTCCTCGCGATGGCACTATTCAGGATGCTGCTGACGTCTCTAGAGGGTCTGGACTGTGTGATTCGCTCCTCTAACTCTGCGACCCTCTGCCGCAGCTCCGCATTGTGTCTACTCTCTTTTCTATCCTCTGCTTGAGCGTCGCGCTCTCTCTGCGTCCGCTCTCTCTCTCCTCGTGTTTCTGGATCCGCTCCTCTACATATTCATGCAGGCTTTCTCCAGTGTAGCCATACGCTTGACCGTTCGCGATCAGATTAGCTTCGATCTGCTCTATGGGTCTAGGATCCTGGCGTGGTCGCCAAAATGATAGTGCCCCCCAGATGGCGATGAGCCTTCGAGCAGTGCGCATACATGTATGCCATCCAGACCACGCTGGGGCGAATAGAGAGAGAACCGGCCACCGGGAGGCGGCTGCGTCGGGCCTAATTGGCATCTGCGAATGCATCATTTCTCTTGTGCCAAGCCACAGATTCCAAAACACTCTAGTTTCAGAAATTTTAGACGCTCAAGATTTTAGGCAGGAGGGCAACAGACCAGGTTAGGTGAACAGAAATGTTAGGTACAAAGAAGCAGTTCCTTATTGGAAGATGTGTATCCGTATACTGGTATGTACAGCTATTGAAATTTTAGGTATGACAGAGATGCACGGAAAGCACTGAAATAAAAATGCATTGGAAACTTGTAAATTTACAGTAACCATGGGTCACAGCATGGGCGGAAAAATCCTCCCGCTTCAAAGCGGGACTAAATCCTGGTTCCTCTTGTTGCTCACTAATGCCAGTAGTAGTGGCCTTAGACTAACCCTTTGTGTACTAGGCTGTCACAGCAGCGGCTTGGCCAAAGGCTAGGCGTGAACTGATTATACCCGGCATGTATTTGAACTGCAGTGCTGGCCAAAGAAATCCAACCTGATGAATAAAGTAGCATTGCGTCGGGCACTACGCATCCCTAGCACTGCACACACTGGTCTGTGCACTCTAACGTGGCGCTACTTTATTCAGGAGGTTGGATTTCTTTGGCCAGAACTGTACTTGTAGCAAACTTGGCTGTAATGATAGTGAAGTTGGTTGCTCGCAAGTTTCGAGCTGGCAGGACAAAGTCTAGCTCGAATGTTGCGAGTGACCAATCATTCAAAGTAGTAATCGATGCAAACCAACAGTTCAATTATTGGAGTATGCGTGCAGCCAAACAAATACTGTAAAAGCCATATATATAACGAAGTGCTAACTCAACGAGTTAACGAGGAGAAATCTGTCGTTAAAATAGAAATCGATACATTTACTGTCCTATTGAGTGTTGAGAATGAGTGAGAATCGTTACCTTTGGTACACGTAAACTATTCAATTTTGGGAAATCGTTATATATGCGCCTCGTTAGAATAATGGCTTTTACAGTAGACCGCTTTGAAATAGTTTAAAAGTGTGGCAGGTCCTTGGTATGCACAACACACAGCAGTAGATGTGATGCTCAGTGTTGTGCACTAATGACACTGAACATGTGATGCTCTTTTTCTTTTCTTTTTCAGGTGTTAGGTTTTGAAGTGGATGCCATCAACTCAGTTCAACTTTGCAATCACACAGGTAACGTTAATGTGAAGCGTATCTGATTTCCAGTACATTGCTGGTGTATTTGAAGAGCTTGCTATTCCATTGCTGTGCTTCCCCTGGCAGATTCTGTCTTGCTACTGGTAAAGTTAGATATCATAATTCCTCTGCCAATGCCACCCTTACCACTGTAATTTAAACACAGAAAGAATGAGGGACGGACAGACGGAATGAGCGGGTGTGTTTTCTTGTGTCTGTTACTAGTACATGGTGTTGTTGTTGTTGTTGTTTTTTATTTGAATTCGCAATACCAAACGGGCAATAAGCCCAATTACATGGAAGCGAATAAAAGAATGCTAAGAATGAGGCATTGGGGTGGATATTATTTCAAGTGGAAATACTGATCCCGGGAGGTACTACAAATAGGTACAATGAAAATCTGAAAAGGCCATGGTTCTGTCGTTTACCATGCTGGAAGCAGCTACATGTAGAAGGAAAAACAACAAGAAAGATGTTTTATCTCATGTATTGGACAAACAGAGCTAACAGGAAAAGACCGTTCGTTATATGCCTATACATACTGTCCGTGTGTGTGGTGACAGATGGTGTGAGGACCTCAGCACAGGACTTCAGGAGGAATCCTGGGACACCGTCGCTGCCCGTTGCTTTCGCAGGGTTGACTTGACTTAGTAGACGGTAGATTACGGAACAAGAGGCTGGCTGGAACGTGTGCAGGCTATCCGATGGAAGTGGGCCGACGGGAGAGGCTAGGCATGATGGGCGCTTTGGATCCGTCACAATGTCATGAAACACGTTGGCTACCTCTTCGATGTTGCAGGTTGGTTCGGTTTTCTGCTTCCCGCGTCCGGTGACGGTATTGATGACTTTCCAAATCTGGCGTGGGTTTCTGGAATGTTCTTGGCATTGACGTGCGAGGTACTCATTCCTACAACGGCGATACATGTTTTTTGCCTGAGTTCGAACCTTCCAGTACTGCTGGTGGAGTTGAACATTTCCTTTGTCGGCCAGCCAAAGGCGATGATACCTTTTCTTCTTCTTGTCCAACTGATAAATGTCGCGGTTTGACCAAGGCACAGGTTCTGCAGATTTCATTGCCCCTTGTACAAGCGGAGCATGTGTGTCCAACACAGTCATAAATCGATCGTGCCAGAGCTCCCAGTAAGTGTCGACCTCGGCATCAGAGGGGAAGTCTTGCGCAAAGCAATATTTAAGGTCCTCGCGAAATAGCGGAATATCGATTTTGTGCAACTTACGTGTTGGTGGAGCACGCACACACTTCTTCGTCTGTACAGCAAAGGTCATAGTAGCACGGACGGTAAAGTGGTCACTTATGGTGGACGGAACGACTGTGCACGTTGACACTGAGTTCTCTGTAGAAAGGACTAATTCTATGGTGTTACCTTGGGGACAGAGAGGTGTAATCCTTGTCGGGGACAGCACGTGGTTTGTGAGGCTGTAAGCAGATGCGACATCTTCAAGGTGATGACGTTGCGCCATTCTCTGGCCTCGGAACATGTCCACATTGAAGTCTCCTACAACGGTCATTGATGTTGTCACCAGAGACGCTCTATGGAAGGCAGAGTCCAGGAGAGTCCAGTACGCGACAGGCTCCTGCGGGGGACGATATACACATCCGAACAGGTGCTTCTGGGACTTCGATCGCAGCAGTATCCAGACGGCTTCCACGCCGTCTAGGCGGAGATTTGGCTGTGGCGTGATGGGAAGTGATGATTTGTTGTAGATACATACACCGCCTCCAGTCCTGTTTTCGCGGTCACATCTGGTAAGGTTATAACCTGGGATTTGTACTTCTCCGTCAGAGATCGCGCTGTTTAGCCATGTTTCGGCTATACACAGGATGTCGTACTTGGGGATCAGTTCGGTTAGAGCATGGACCTTGAAGCGGAGACTGCATACGTTCATGAACCCTAAGGACAAGTGGGATGTGTCGTGGTTGGTACATGATCGCAGATTTCGGTTGCTCATTGGTATGAAAGATGATGCTAGGGGATTTAGTGATGTAGAGAAAAGGAAGAACTAATGTGTGTGAAATTTCCTATCATTTTCAATGTAATATACATGACTATTTTGTTGAATGAGGATACATTATGTAGCAATGGTGTACGTACGTCCGAGGTTGGGGCTTGTTAGCGACTGCAGGTGTCGTTAGCCGCCTGGCTGTGCCTGCGGGCGTTAGCGGCTCCCTGCCTGGCTCCCTGAATAATGTTGTCGGCTAGAACCTCGTAATGTGATCCTGTCCGGTGCAGAACACTACTCAAGGCATCATCCAGGAGCTCACAATTGGCAGCTTGGTTACCTGGTCTCTGGTCGGCCGTTTGTTGACTCTTCTTTTTCGGCCTACGGGCTGGTGTGAAGCCATCACTGTCGTCATCTTCTTGTGCCGTATCATCTGTAGGCGTGTGCTCAGCCCTGGACTTGCCACGCACGGCGGGGGTTGTCTGACCTGCCCTGGGCTTGAGCTCACTGGAGTTCAAGTCTACCGTAGCGTTGTTATCCTCAATAGGTTCAACTGTTGACGTAGCATTGTTATCCTCAACAGGTGCTGTTGATGTTTTGGTCAGTTCTTTTTGTATCACAGTGGTCTCACGGGATGTCTGGCGGCGTGGGCAGCTACGGGATTTGTGACCCGGCTGGTGACATTCCCAGCATGTCGATTCTTGTCCCTCGTGCCAAAGGCGCAACCTTGTTTTCATTTCTGGTACAACTAGCGTACTGGGGATTGACCTCAGGGGCGTACCGAGTATGAACCGTCCCCCGCTCTCAACCATCACATCCACCCCCTCTGCAAGGCGGACTTTCTGCTGTGATGGTCCACGGACAATTTTCATAAATGGTTCTAGCATGGTGACCAAAGTGGCATCCTCGAGGACAAAGGGGCACCCAATTACATGTAGCCGGACAACATCATCACCATAAAAGGGACGTATCTGCACAGCAATGTTCCTGACGGTCAAGCCCTCCGACAGCAGCCTTTGGAGACACTCTTCCTTATCCAGAGTTACTACGCAATGTCCCCGGATACGATCAAAATTTACCTGCTTGATGCAGTCAGGGCTCCTTATTTGGGCTGCCAAAGCGTCAAGGTAGGGCCGAAAAGACTCTCGGCCGTAGCCATCTACCGGAAAGGAACAGTAATGGTACATATCAGCAGCACTGCTCGATCTGACCAAAGATGGATCAGCGCACCAAAATTCCAAACCGACTTCACGTCGAATTTCTTGGTCCCTGTTACATGCTGCAAGACATTCGTGACCGTTGCACTCTGTTGTCCTGCTGGTTCTTGTTGCTCTCTTCTACTGTTCAGGCTATGCACATTTTGCTGGTCAAGTACTGCAGTCATCCGACTTCGATACGCTAGTCAACGGACTAGCCACGAATGGACTGACACATGAATACACACACATTCTCACTGGTGAGTTGCTGTAGCTTTCTGGTCCATGATCATAGTGTCCTGGGAGGTTGGGGACTTAGACTTCCTGATAAATGGTGTGTGCAAGTCCATATATAAGTATTTGTTTCTCTACATCTCTTTCCTGTTCGTATGTAGGGTATGTGGGATCGGAAAGTTTCTTGCAAAGTGTATGCAGGACAGTGAAGGAACTCAAGGAGTCTAATCCAGACCTGACTTTCGGTAAGCTGCTCAGTGATCAATGATCATCTGTTTCTCAATGCAAGGCCGTGCGGCGATGAGAGAATTGGAAAGTAATTACTCGTTCAGTCTGCAAATCTCTTGTGCCTTTGCTGTCTTGTTGCTGCTGTTTTGTGCTCTTTTTATCCAGTTTGTGATCCAGTGATGGGTGATAATGGCAAATTTGTAAGTGTGTCTATCTTGTTTTGTCTGTACAACTTTTCCATACAACACGATTTGCTTTCTTGCATTTTGGCTGCCTACATTGCTACATTGCTTGCAGCCAGTGCCAGATACATACACATCCGTGATGGGCGCAAGTATGGTGTGTGTGTGTGTGTGTGTGTGTGTGTGTGTGTGTGTGGGTGTGGGTGTGTGTGTGTGTGCGTGCGTGTCTGCTTGAACGTACATGCACTACTGTACTTATACAGTCTTGTTGTGCCTGTTCGAGTTTATCAAGCTCGATCCTGAGACACAATGCAGAAGCTGTATCTTCTTATTACCCATATTTCTACTTTCAACCCTCCACCTGCACACGTTGTGACAGTGTGTGGCTTTGCAATGACGTGTGACTGGTTTCTGCAGTACGTACCAGAAACCCTGCTGCCCATCTATCGTGATCAGCTGATCCAGTATGCAGATGTGATCACACCTAACCAATTTGAAGCAGAGTAAGTTGTAGGTGTGAGTGCAGTGTTAATGTTGTTGATGGTAATGGTGGCAGTGGTGTTGGTCAGTGGTGTTATTTTGTTCTACATTGATTCTTTTTGAACTAGTTCTTGTCTCTATTTTTTTTTAATTCAGTGGATTACCAAAACAGGCCTAACCTAGTTACATTGCTCCCACTGCGATGTGTTCCTTCCCCGTACATGACCACTTCATGGCTGCCTTGCCAGAGTGACTGTCCAGTGCTAATTGTTTGCCGTATGTGAACCAACACACACGTGCATGCATGTGTACATCTGTGTGTATGTGTGTGTGTGTGTGTGTGTGTGTGTGTGTGTGTGTGTGTGTGTGTGTATGTTCAGACTCCTGACTGGTGTCACTATCACCACTAAGGATGATGCGCTGAGGGCCATCAGCGTACTGCACAGCCGGGGCTGCAAGGTTGTCATCATCACCAGCTCTAATCTGAGCGGCAAAGATGACTCGCTGCTTTTGCTGGGCAGCACCAAGGGAGGTATGTCACATGCATACAGTCGGGGAGTGCATTGTATTTCCTGCAAGTACATAATAGTAGGCTAATACCTGTATTGAACGGTGTTAACTATTGGAACAGCTGGTGCTCATCATCCTTCAAGACCTGTCTTTCGTGTGTCTTCAGCCTCCACTCCCGTATCTTGAAAATAATGCTGCATGACACCCATCCAGTACAATGCCATCCAACATGTAATTCCGTGCAGCTCACAGTGTGACGCGGAATGTACTTTGCAAAACGTTGTGACCTTTCTCTCTGATCGACCGGTGGTTTCCCCCCATTGTTCTATATGATATATCCTTCCGTGTTCAGGCGATAAAATCGAAATGACCATTCCCCTACTACCAGCTACGTTTGTTGGAACTGGTGATTTGTTCACTGCACTGACAATGGCATGGCTACACCGTGGCGAGGCCTTACCGTCAGCATGCCAGAAGACCCTCAGCACTATGCAGACGATCCTGTCGCGAACACTGGCCCATGCCCGTGGTAAGTCATGATAGGCATGTGTCTGTGTGTGTGGGGGGGGGGGGGGCATGAGTATGGGCTGGGAAGAGGGGGGGGGGGGGGCATTAGTGTGGGCTGGAGATTGGTGCGGGGTGGACCAGTAACCAATCCTACCCGTCGCATAGGAGGAGCACCGGACATGACCACAACAATGTACTGCAGGTAGTACAGGTACTCACCAATTTCTGCATACAGTCTACATTACAGTGTAGGCAGTCTGCTTGGGCGTGGACTTCCCTGATCAGAAGAGCATGTGTTATGCCACTCATATCATGTCAGTGATGTCATATTTGCGCACATTCTGGATCAAGTCAAGAATCTAACGAGAGCAGACTATTGTTCTGCCTACTGTCGATACTAAATTTGCAGTCACCCATGCTGTCATTGTGCTTCAAAACCAACCATCACGTACCAGTTCAACATGCATTTTAGCGATTCACTAACCTTTTTAGCTGCATTGGGCAAGAAGAATGCCTCAGTTCCGGTGTTGCACCGTAGCTTCTGTCTTTTAAACCAAAGAAACCTGTGCCAAACAGAGGCATACATTGTCTATACTAGCCTAGGGATGTTCCTTTCTGATATGTAAACAGCTCTTAGTTCTTTGCTGCTCCTACAGTTGCTCCCAATACTTGCTGTTTTTTTTGCTGATGGTGATCATTTCAATGTTTTTCCTCGCAGAGCAATCACATGGCAGCGAGCCCAGCGCAGCGCAGCTGGAGCTGCGTCTGATCCAAAGCAAGGACGTCATTGAGAGCCCGCCACCAGGCAGCTGTCAGCCAACCGTTCTCTCCTAACACAGCGGAGCAGGTGTCAGCGTGTATTGCTGAAAGGGAAACTAACTTATGGCACGTTACAGCCTGTTGTGAGCTACATGTACACGTACACATAGACCATGCTGTCTTTTCTGTGTCACTCACTGTTATGACTCTACATGGAAGGCTGATGACCTCGATCAGATGAGACCTACTTTTTAAACGCTAGGAGTGGGACGAAGTACTGCTCCTTTATGCCTTTCATCTGGGCCGCAATGCGCTCAGCACAGCATTCTCAGAGACCAATTTGTCTTCAGCCGATGCGTATCCATGTCACATTGTGTTGACGTTTGTCCAAGCTGTGCACAATGTCTCGTTGTCATCCTGCTTTTGCTGATGGGAAACAGTCCACAATGCAGTCGCTGCACAGCATACCGGTATGCGTATCTTATTCTATTTTCAGTATCACATGTGATTTGATCTCCCCCCCCCCCCCCCCCCCCCGGCTTTTCTCTCCCCAGCCAACATCAACAGACCGCGTTGAAACACGCGTTGGTATGTCACTATTTAATACTTAGCACTTGTGCGTGTAAGACCGGACACATGAATGGAATGTCGCTAGATAATACTCCACTACTGCTAGTGTGCTCTACTGGTGTGTGTTCAGTGTGACAGGTTGCTTGTTCTTGTGTGTGTTTAGCTATTGAAACCAGGGAGTACTAACAAAAACAGGTGATGAAACTGCAAACCAAACCCGGGAACGTACACAGAGATTGCCTCGCGGGGAAAACGTGTGTACATGTAGAAAGTTATTTTTTTAAAACTTCAAATACAGTTCACAATTCGTGTTCTGTTACTAGTGTACAATTCCACCACCATGCCCACATATCCGTGTGACCGTCGTGCATTTAGCAGTTCTCGTGCTCTTGCCGTACGTGGACGTGTGGGCGTTTGGTTTAGCTCGCAGGTGAGATGCTCTGGCGAAGTCGGAAACTCGCGGCACAGCGCTGCACTTGCACCAGCGACTGACGCTGCCTACTTAGCGCCCATTAGAAAATCCGTTGACTCACTGCAATTATGAAGGTCTGTGCAACATGTAACAGCCGTTTTTTATGTACATGACATTGTACTTTGTAGTTTTGCGTTTTGCCAGTTTTGGTGCAAGTGCCGCAGTATAGTATTAGTAGTGGTCATGGCGACCATGATGTAACAAAAAATTAATAAAATTAATAATTGAGACTTCCTCCTTCCTGTAGCTGTCGACATGTCGACGTCGTGTGATGACAATCGCGCGCCAGTTTGTATGGCCCAAGGAACAACATTTTCATTTTGTAATCGCTGTCATCTGCATCATGTCGTGTCCCCCTAATTATTTAGGGAGGTAGCAGAAACAACAGTTACTATGAGTAGTTTCCTTTGCCACAGTTAGATTGCGCACACAGACAGGCGGAAGCAGAGAACGCTAGTATGGCTGATGCGCACTTCGGTCGACGTAGCGCGAAGAGTTGTGTGTTCTGTGAAATCGGAGAGCCCGAGGATGGTCGATTTCTGCACTGCCTTCACGTTATTTGCGTGAGTTGCTTGTTAGAGAACCTTACACCGGAGGGGTGCATTGAATGCTCCGTTTGCACGGAATTGACTGAGCAGCGACTTCCAGCGGTGGAACTCCGAAAACAGCTAGTCCCAAGTCAGTTGCTTAGCCAAGCAGAATTACCTGGAGGTGATGAGAGCGGTGCTGCTGGCAGCAGTAGCACTGTGCCGCCGTTCGACAGGTGTAGTAGCGGTGCAGGAGTCGAAGGATGTGACTTCTGTGAGGGTGGTGGCATGAGACAAAACCCTGCTACGCATGCGTGCCTTGATTGCAGTGGTGCTCGCCTCTGCATGGAGCATGCTGCGGAGCACGGCAAGATACGAGTGTTCCGCGATCATGACGTGAAGCCATTGTCCGCCTTGGCCCGCACCACTAGCCAGGACGACGGTGGTGGCACTGCTGCTACGCTGGTAAGAGCTGTGCGACGGTGTCCACTGCACGGCAAGCAAGAGTTATCGCACGCCTGCAGTACGTGCCATGTGCCGGTGTGCAAGCAGTGCCTTGTGAAAGGACACCAGCAGCACTGCGTGGTCTCCCTGTCCGAAATGGCAGACAATCAGAGGCTGGCGCTGCAGAGTGATGTGCCAGCGGGTAGGCGAGACCCAGGACCAGCAGGCAATGGCTCAGCACAGCAGCAGGCAGATATGTCAGCAAGCAGCCACTCTGTCAAGGCTCGTGTAGACACCCTGAAGGCTAACACCTCGGACGAAATACTGAAAGTAAACAATGAAGCCATGGAAGCTTCGCAGCATGTTACGGACACGTTTGGAAAGCTGAAGAAACTAATTAGCAAGATTGAGGCAGGTGTGCTTGATGACGTTGATGCGGCAAGGTGGCGGCAGCAACGGCCATTGGAGGAGAAATCGCGGCATCTGATGCAGATTGAAGAAAAGCAGAGCATGGCGGTGGAGCTTGGGCAATATCTTTGTGGACCCCAGTGCAGCGATGCAGATGTCATGCGCTTAGGTCCAATAGTTCAAAGGAAGTTGGATGCGTGCAAGTCCGACATCGAGAAAGAGACGGAATTGCGCGGAGCTGTGCGTCGCCCCACTGTCAGGGCAGTCATATTGATGGACGTGATGGCAGCCGTAGAGGCTCGTATGGACTGTTTTATGGTAGTCTTCGAAGACCCTGGGGTGGACATGGACCAGATAACTGTAAGCATACCCGACATGATTACTCTAGGTTACAGTCACGATGTGATGTTGACCGTGCCGTGCAAGACCAACGCTGTGCTCGCTGGTGCCTATCAGCGCTGCATGCAAGTAGCGCTTGTGTCAACGGCAGGTGCACGGACCGCTGCTGACCTGTCCACTATTGGCACACCGGCTTCTCATTCCTCGAGCATCATACTGTGTGCGCGTGTGAAGGCCGAGGAGATAGGCGAGCACACGTTGGAGGTGAGACTCGGCGATCGCAGCAGGTCCTTTCCGGTCCTAGTGCAGGCAGCTCTCCGATTTGACCTCAGCCACTGCACTGCGGACATGCACGTATCCGGATGCAACAACTCCATTGTCTCGCGTGAAACCAGTGCCGACGGAAAGGGCTTGGTGTATGGAACGGTCGGATACACGGCAGGCGTGCATACGTGGTCGTTGAAAGTGAGCGGAGAGCAGCTGATCGACGGCGGCATGTGCACCGGGGTTGCTCTCGTTCCCGGCGGACGTCTTATAGATCCGGGCACAGGCTGGCACTGTAGTGGTAGCTCGTTCTGCCAGCGTGGTGGCCGGCGGCGGGACACAGGCACCCAGCCATGGCAGGACGGCGACATTCTCACCTTCACGCTCGATTACGACGCCGGCAGTTTGGAGCTGCATGTGCAGCGAACTGACGAGCGGAGGACTATTTCCGGAATGACCATGAGTGGCAGCACATTCTACATCTTCGTGAGCATGTGGAGTGTATTCCGACAGGTCGAAATCATCTGAGATGTGTTGTGCGAAAGTGGGCTGAAGCCGCCTTTGCACTTCACTGGCGTTAAATCTTCAGACTGAGTTATGCTACCTTGAACATTGCCGTGCTAAGCCGCCTTTGCACTTCACTCGCTTTCAATCTTCAGACTGAGTTATGTGACCTTGAACATTGCCGTGCTTTTCATTATGGTTCAACTGGTACTGCAGTTAATGATGCTAGGCGAGCAGTTGGACTGTAGGTTCAGCCAACATTAGTGTTGAGTTTTTTTTTCTTCTTGCATTGCCGGGCATGCCGCTTGTATTGTGTTTAGCCTTCAAAGATTGCCGACATTTTAGAAAGGGGTCATTTCATTTAAAGTGTGTTGTGTGCAGTAGCAATGGTTATGGTTTCTTACCGTGATGGGTGTGTGTGGGGGGGGGGGGGGGGGGGGGAGGACGCCGCCCCTTTCAAAGTCTTAGCCTTAGGGTATGGTCAAGTGAACTGTGTTGGATTAAAGACTTTTTTTAAAGTGCCACTTTGGATTTAAAGTGAGATCCTCTAAGTAAGCTCTATCATTCTCTTGGGTCCATGATGCTGTCCAGTTCCTCTACAAAGTAACTGTCTGTTGTCACTCACAGTCTGCTGTGATGCATTTGCATGTGGCTCGTGAATGTTCCTGATCGCAGTGCCAGTAGGCTACCCTGTACTACAAAGCTTATCACCACAGCCTAGGCATAGGGACCTGGGTATCGCTATAGCCTACTACTAGTACTGACTAGTAGCGCCGGTATGTGTTTGCTCCACCTGCATGGACATGTGCCCCTGTACTGAGTCTGTACTAGTACCTATATTGACTATGTGTGTCGGACTATGACTCCGATCCGGGCTTTTTATTTAGTTTACGACTCCCTGATTACTCTGTACCGGTGCATTTATTGACTGGTATATGCATGGGTATCGTACATGACTCGCAGTCTGCACTGTAGTACTCACCGAGTCAGTCTGAGTAACTTAGGGCCCGAAACTACTAACTCAGTTACTGTTGTGTATATTATGTAACTGTTACTTTACTTGTGTTACATGACTCAGGCCGAAAGCAGGAGAAGAAGCCAGTCAAAGAAACACTTCTACTGTTCTAGCCAAACTGCAAAAAAGGGGGCTTTCCGGCCCGCTTTATAAGTATGCGCGCGCACGGTCAGTACATGAGTAGTCGTGGGCTTTCACGACTCCCTGCCTACTACTACTACTACTACTACTACTAGTACTAGTACTAGTCATGTATTACTACTGCTGCTTCGTCGAATCATCATCATCTTCGGTGAAGGGGACCCCATGGCCCAGCCGATAAAACCGGAAATAATCGCCAGTCTACCAGTTCGCTGAACTAGATAGTATAAAGATAGGCCCGATCCCGACTAGTACTACTAGTAGATCTACTAGTACTAGTAGATCTACTACATGTAGTAGTCTACACGTACACTACACTATGTACATGTAACATAATCATTACATGTATCAATAACACTACAGACTGCCAGGACAAGGCATACTACTTACTAGTACTTACTACTGACTACGTATGACGGGTACAGCACCACCATGATCACTTGCACTAGTAAATCTACATGCGCATTGCCTGCAGCAGATTATTTTGACATTGTCATGGGCCCAGTCCCAGTACACCGACGTCGGATAGTAAACTCGACGATCTAATCGGAAACAGTGAACGAGTGTGAGCCGGGAGAAGGATACTAGATAGCCGAGCCTTGCTCAGATGACGAGCGATCACGCTCGCTACAACTACAAGCCTGCCTTGCCAGGAGAAAGACCAACCCCGTTTTGTATACCCTTGCATGCATCTTATCTTGCGAAGACGTCTTGTGCAGTTTGGGAGGCTTTCTGGATTTGCGCGTTTGCATTTTGGGTATCAGCACAGCTTTGCCTTTGGGCAGGAAGAAGACGTGGTCTGTTTCACTTCCAGTCCAGTCCCACTTTGAGTTTGAGTCCAGTCGTGTGCGTGGTGTGTGTGCGTGTGTGTGTGTTGCTGCCGTCACGTTTGCAGACATCAGACAAGCAGCACCGAAGTGTGACTTTGCGTCAGAGCGTGCTGCCGATTTGCAAGCCGGTCTGTTTCAAGTGCTTGCGCTCGGCGAGGGGGGCACTTAGTCTTTGCTGCTTCATCAGTATGGCCACTTCCATATTCCGTCCCACTTCGTTCTCCGTGTCCGTCGTATCTGATGGTGGGCAGCGCACGAAAGGTCGGTGAATCTTGCTGCCTGTCGTTATACTTTTATTAGTTCTACCATAGCGTGATTATCGTAGTGAATACTATGCAAGTCTCAGTGCGAGCGTGTGCATGTGTGATCTCTGCAACCAGCCATTCCTGCACCTTGATGTGTTGCATGCTGTAGTACCATAAAATAATTGATTGCTGGCGCTACGGAAAGTGCCGTAACGTTTACCAAACCCAGACGGGACCTGTCTGGAAGGTCTTCTACAGTATGATGCAGGAGTGTAAAATGCACCCCCGCCGAGCAGCCGTTGCTGTTTTGTGCATTCTTGCTCTGGAGAAGATACGGCTATATGCTGGCCCTGCTCTGCGCACACAACAGCTCGCTCGTGTGCCCGTTACATGTAGTAACATTGCCCCATATGGCCCATGGACCATGGTGGACACGGGCAGCAGGCGCTACTACCAGTATGTATCTTCGAGATTTTAGCTGCATCTTCGGCAGGCTCATCGGAGACTTTCTCGAATCCGGTCCGGTCTTGTTTCCTAATCAAGACTTCAAAGGACATAGCGGGTTGTCCAGCGCTAGCGTAGATCTACGCTCGCTTGTTTAGGCGTTTCCCTCTGGGTGGCGAAGCGTGAGCGAAAGAGAAGGAGAACAGGAGCTAAGGCGGCCCCATTAATTATGCCCGTCACACCACACCGATGACGGGGCTGAAAATACCGACGAGTAAGAGCTGCAGGCCGGAGATGGTGTGAATGGAAACCGTGACTCTCTCGCTGTTGGCGATGTCGCCAGATCAGGCTCGTCTGTATGGTCGTCACTTGTATGTTATTTCGGTGATGGCCGTCTACCGTGGGCCGCACAGTACTCGAGTGAAAAGGTCTGTCACTCTCGTGTTTTTTTGAGGCTGGCAAGAATGGAAGTCCATGCCGATTGCGGCTACACTACGATGTTGTGTTGCGCTGTAGCCTGTACAGCGCGGAAGCCCGCTGCTGCTGCCACCTACCACGGAGTACCACACTTGCCAGAACCTTTCCGGGTCTTCTTCGTAGACTCACACTCACAGATGACAGCGGAACTGAAAACTCGGCCACTGACTGAAACTGAGCCATGACATTGACACTGTATGCAAGCAGGCGCGGAGCGGAGGTCTACGCCAGTGAGGCTTATGAGTTTTGTAGTGCGGGGCTGCCATGCCCCCTCATGAGCAGTGACTGCACTGCACCGCCACTGGTTGTAAGAAGAAGACGAAGAGCCACAGAACTGTCTGTTGTTCACGAGTTTGTTACCTAGCAAAAGCAAAGAACAGTAAGTGACACAGTGAGAGAACAGTGGCAGGTGCAGGCATGAAGCTGCTCCAGGATGAGATTGAGTAGCTATGCCTGTGTATTACTATTGGTGAGCCAGCTATGTGAGTCAGCTATGTGCGGCAGTCTTGTGGGGCATACCATGACAGTGTGCAGTTTCAGTATAGCCAAATCTGCATCACTTCGATACTGCAGCCTGCGCTAGTAAGTAGCAGTACTGGTCGCTAGGCTACACTCTTCCTCCTTCCGCTAATTGCGAACCGACTAAGCAGATCAGCAGGAGTTAGAGACGGCTGAACAACTCAACAACTCCGGCTCGCAGTTTAGTGCGGTGCGGCCGCGGGATATTCTCCACTGGCTGGCGGCACCATGGCCAGTTTGTCAGTTGTGTTTACACTGGCTAGTGATCATGGTAATAACAGTATTATGTACTTATCATTATCATCATGATGTGCATGGATAGATCAATGCAGTACTATGTAGATGATAGATCTACTTCAATTGTAGACTGCAGCAGCAGCAGCACATACTAGTACTTCAAAACAGGACTTAGTAGTGTTATATGGTGTCCTACGACTGAGTCACGGTGTGCAGTCTCTCCCCCCCCCCCCCCCCCCCTCCCCCAACCCTACTGCAGTCATTTGAAAATTCAAAGCACAACCTGACGATCAGCTGCTCTCTTGGCCACATCTCACTAAGTTTCACTATACGCTGGCCGACTAATGTTTGGCTGGTGAATGTACCCTGGCAGAAAGGCGTAGCTCCCCTTTATCTTTTTCATAATGTCAACGGACAAACAAAGTGAATGCGCGGTCACATGATGCAACGACCATGAGTTCGAATATCCAAATGTCACGATATGTTGTAGGATCCCTATCCACGATATGTTTCTGGTGCAGAAACAGTGTCACGAGCATTGATAAATGCCAAAACATGTCTACTGGTACAGTTAGACACAACTGTGTACTTTGAATTGTATCTGATACCGCATGCATTCTGCAATTGTTTGTACGGCCGGGAGGAAGTTGTGTAATATTTCTCGGTTGTTGCTGCTTATGATCGCTGCTGCACTTGCAGGTTCAGTGAGAAAGGGCGGTAGTTTGCGGCAAGCACACATTCAAGATGACGGTGTGGACGAGAGAACAGCACTCGAGCTGAAGTTGCTCCGTGCGGAACTGGTCAGTTCTGTAAAAGTTGGCCTAAATCATATGGGAGAGGAGTGAGCTTACAGTTCAGCGGCCAGATGATCAATTGATGGGCTCATGCATGCAGGGCCAGACTGCACTTCACTGAAACACACACATTCAGCAGTGAATCTGTATAAAGTAACTAGAGTAAACAATCTGTCCACACTGGGTGGAGTAGCAACTCAATTCCTGCCGGACTGTGCCGCTGTACCCTGAGGAGTAGTGTGTACCATACTCTAGGGTCTAGGTCTGTTGACAGCAACAACAATAACAACAACAACAACAACAACAACAACAACAACAACAACAACAACAACAACAACAACAACAACAACGGCAACAACAACAACTCTTATTGGCCACAGGCCATCATGAGAATAGAGATTTGAAACAACAGCAACAACAACGACGACGACGACAGCAACAACAACAACAACAACAACAACAACAACAACAACATCAACAACAACAACAACTCTTATTGGCCACTGGCTATCGTGAGAATAAAGATTTGAAACAACAACCCTGCCCGTACACTTAAGTAGTCATTAACCCCTAGGCCCTGCCCACCCAATTCTTCCTCACTCTTTCTCCTTTCTTACACTATTATCTCTTATTGGCCACTGGCTATCGTGAGAATAAAGATTTGAAACAACAACAACATCTCACCACCAGGCGCGGGTCTATTGGTGGTTATCTGTTTCGCAGCCTACCGGTAGCTGAATCAGAAGAACAAGATGAACCACTCCTCAGGCTGCCGGGATGAATTTTGTACCCCAGCCCCTCCTCCTCCTCCTCCTCCTCCTCCGTACATGTATATGATTACTAGTGGTTGGTACAAGGGTACGAAATCATGTCAAGAAGACACTGCCATTGTTACCTGCCCCTTTCTTACTATTGTTGTCATGGGTACCTGTCCCCAATCTTTACTATTGTTAGTTTGTTACCATAGTTATCTCACCCCATTCTTACTTATATTTAGTTATTTTGTCTATTCTTCTCATGCTCTTGTATGATTTCCTTCGTCTGATGCACTGGTCTAGAAAGCAATGCGGGAAGAAGACGAGATATTCCTGAGGAGGCTGAAGAAGATGGACGCGGACTTGAGGGACCTGCGTCAGCTCTGCTTCATGACCACTCCCGGCGGAGCCGAAGCGGTGCCGTTCTTTCCCGAGGATGGAGCCTACACAGACCTGCATGCGGATGTGGACCGTTCAAACATGAACGACAGTCTGTCGGCTTCCACAAGCAGTGGCGGTAGCAACACAGGGGAGGAGAACGACAAGTCAATATGCCTATCTCCACCGGCGATATCCGGCAGTTCTGTCGAAGTAGATTCCGTTTTTGGATCCCCGCCGGTGCGGCTAAATCTTGACCAGGTCAGTCCTATTAAACTAATGCAGGGGGGGGGGGGGGGTCGGGCGATCATCACGAGACAATAGAGGTTATGCGAAAGAAGTCACAATGATGAGTCAGCGGAGTTCCGGAACCGCTTATGGGCACTAATTATACAGCGGAACCGCTTACCGGTATGGGCGCTATAAAGTGAGTCGCTAGTGGATTGCTGTGCGGCGACTTTGCCAAAGAATCTCAACTGATGATGTAATCGTATGACCTCTATAGTCCTAAGGCTGCTGGCGGTGGTGTGCAAGAGAGCATAGCAAACAACAAAGCATCAGCATTGGCGATGCTCTCTGCAAATGCTGAGATGCTGCACAAGCACATGTTCTCGCAGGATGGGGCTCTCTATAAATTCCCGGCTCAACCGGAGAATAGAATGGATTGGGCTACTTTGTAAAACTGTGCTCACTGTGCTCGTGTTGTGCTCGTGTTGATAAGTGTTTCACTGCGGCCAGTGGTGAGACACTGTTGTCCAGCTCGGACACATTTTGATGACCTAACATAAGGGCATACGTTGACTTTGGATTCTTACGTAGATTTTATGTCATGTTTCAGTAGTCAATTATTGTATTGTGTTTGCATGTAATTGTTCTGGTTGTGTGTGTGTGTGTGTGTGTGTGTGTGTGTGTGTGTGTGTGTGTGTGTGTGTGTGTGTGTGTAGTCAGTAGCAGAGTCGGGTGAAGAAGAGGTTGATTCTCCGCCTATGTCACCACCATGCTCCACCACCACTAGTAACCATAGACTGCGGGTTTCTTCTCCAACAACACCCCGTGTGACTGGCGGTAGCCCAGTGCGTACTATTGGTAAGGGGGACCTGACACCGTCGTCATCGGCGTCACTTACTCCTCTTGCGCATAGTGCGGCTGTTTCCAATCTACACAGGCCAATAGAGTACAGCTCTAGCTTTGGTGAGTCAGCCTTCATGAATGACCTACAGTCCAACTCACTGATGGGTGATGACCTGATTGCCATGTTCAACCAGAAGTCCGACGCCGTTAAAGAAGAGTTGGGGCTGAGCCGCACATCGCTGGCGTCGTCGTCCAACTCGCCGCAGACCAGTACCCCCATGGGTGGCAGCAGGAACTCGTCGCCTCTTCCGCCGCGGGCCGCGTCGTGCGTGGAGCTGCGCAGCGCGTCGAGGCCAGAGTCGCCACTGGCCATGGAGCGGCCGTTCGGCGGAGTACAGCGCCGCACGGGCGCGGCTCTCTCCGTGTCCATGTCCGTTGTGTGTAGCCTGGATAGCAGCGGCGGCAGCAGCTTGCGTGGCAATCGGCCTTCCCCCGCCGGCTCACCAATGCCTGGCTATTCACCACTGAACATAAGGGCATTGCTAGGTCAAGGGCAGACTTCGGCGAATGCCTCACCGGGCAGCAGCAGCAGCCGTGATGGACAATACTTGCACTCGCAGCGCCACCACCCTCACCACCGAGGCCTCACCCCGCAGACCAGTGCAGGTATGTTGTGTGTTGCCAACGAGAAATGCTGACAATCACTAAAGAAAGTGAACAGTGTCACAATACATGAATAAAGTCACTGTCACTGTGTGACAAGCAATGTCCACGCATGCTGCAAGCTACATTATTATGCATGCTGCAAGCTACATTATTATGCAACTACAGCTGTACATGTAAGTCCTATGAAATTTCTGAACTCCAAGAGGTGAAGTTGATATTTGCCAAGAATTCAATCTATGCTCTGGTGTGTGTGTGTGTGTGTGTGTGTGTGTGTGTGTGTGTGTGTGTGTGTGTGTGTGTGTGTGTGTGTTTGTGTCCAACTCTGATCAGGTTCCCTACCACTGACTGGTCGCAAGGAAAAGCTGTGCCGCAAGTCGGGAGTGCTTGGGCCGGATGGCCAGCCACGAAGTAACTCCGTAGGTTCGTCTGCCATGGCTCATGGTCGTAGTGGCTCGGACGATGCATCCGGACAGGTATGTAAGTTAGGCTACATCACGGTGGTAGTGTAGTGAGTAAACTTTTACTGATATTGCCATGCCCGTGCCACAACTGGCTTGGATACGATCCAGGCATCCTGCAGGTCCACTGGGGGCATGGCACACTGCATCCTGTGTATACAAATGCAGTACATGGTACTGAATGCAGGCTGACCAAACATCCTAGTTGTGAGTGGTGGAATGCAGCATGGTACATGTACGTATGCATACACTACGGCAGCAATACTGTTTGTTTTTGATCGACTATGCTGACTGTGCACAGGGAGGTACGGGTGAGGAGCTCAGTGATCATTTGTCCCCACTACGCCGTGGCTCCAAGGCATGGAACAACGACGGCAGCATCCAAGAAGAGCAGTTCCTGCGCGGCCGTCTAGTGACCAGCCCTCCGGAGTTGGCCAAACCACCGCAAACTTCGACAACTGGGCCACCAGCAGCTGCGTCACCACCACCCCACCACCAGCAACATCACCAATTACACCCGAATCGCACAAGCACCACCACCACCAGCACCACTGCCGAATTGGGTAGTGCTAACATAGCCAGCACTACACCGACCATGTTCAGCCAGAAGCACCGTCGCCAAATGTCTTACGATCAGGCAGCTGTGAGTGATATGATGCAAGTGCAGTGATCTTGTCATAATACACACAGGAGGAAGTGCTTTGGAGGCTGAACATGAGAACTTGCAAAATATTATGGTACTGGCGAGTGAAGACAGTTCTTTGCAGACATTGTGTAAGCACTCTGCCACATAGCAATCCAACCAGTTTATTGGTGAAGTCACATGCACACCGTTCAACCGTTTTGGATCTTTTCGTGCAGCCTTAAAATGTAGATAACCTGCCCATGCCTTCTGCTGTCCCAGGGATCCCAGTCTGCAGATGATTCCATACCCTGTGTAGGCCGCTGTCATAACTTTGTTGTTTTGCAATGCAAGCAAGTTGACGTTATTCCTTTGACACCATGCTGTTGGTGCCTCCCCTGCCCCTGCTTTCTCTGCCCCTACCCCATGTACAGGGTCTTGACGTGCATACACCCGATACACAGCATAATACACCGCACACATTCAACGCTCTGAAGGCACGGGATCCGGGAGATCGCAGCGGCCCGAAGTGTTCCTATTCCCAGACGACCGTATCGACACCAGTGTCGCCGAGCCGCGACCATCAGCCACCATCCACTAGCGACAGCAACCTAGTTCAGTCGTCGCATCTTTCTCTTTCCAGCTCGTCACTGACCGGTCGCAAATCAGGCAGTGGTGCTTCCCGCTTCTTTGGCAACCTGGTACGCGGCACCAGCAACAGCAAAGGCATGAAGAAGCGCCAGGACAGCAACCAGAGTCTTGTCTGATAACGGAACTCTCGCCTGCATGCATGGTGATGACTGAGTAGTTTGTGCATTATGAGCACATCCTTGGTATGCTCTCTGTTGCAGGACAGTGTTTTCATTCTAAGTTAATGTGGAGTCTGGACATGGCATGTCATCACACACACACACACACACACACACACACACACACACACACACACACACACACACACACACACACACACACACACACACACACACACACACTCGCACATGCACACACAGACACACACACACAGACACAGACACAGACACAGACACACACACACACACACACACACACACACACACACACACACACACACACAGACAGACACACACTCACACCATACACACACGCACACAGACACACTCACACACCATACACACACGCACACAGACTCAGACACACTCACACACTGTACACACACACAGACACAGGCACACTCACACACACGGCAAAACACACGTACACAGACATACACACACACACAAACGTACACCGGAGAACACCAGCACATTGCAACAATGGTAACCCAGCCACACTAAAGTCTTTGCTCTTGGTCTTCATCTAGCACTGGTACAGAATCCGGGAACTTTTGTTATCTTTTAGTCTTTTCTTTTTTTTAGATCTACATGTATATTGCTCTGCCGCAACACAGGTACCGTTCCAGGATGCAGCACAGGCAGCTTTGTACTTCGAATTTGTACTTACAGGTACTACACTACTAGACTACACTGTAGTTCGTTTGTTCTTGCTAGTCATCGGCAAAATAGCTATTTGAAACTGCTAACAAACCAGATAACTTTTCCGACATCCTAATGATTAGATTGAACGAGTATTCATTACTAGCGCACGTGCACTGTAGCAATTATTGCCTGCTGTCTTGACTCTTGAACATGTAAACACGTCATAGTTCCACATACTTGACCTGTTTTGTGCGAAATCGCAGGCACCAACCCGCATGCCTACAACTTTCCATATTTGGAGAGGAAGTTTATTGATTATGTGAGTACACCTGACTCGGGTCAGTGGGCGGGCGCTTGCCGTGATTGGAAGACAAAAGTCGCAAAAAAACACTCAGAATGAGGTCGCTGCATTTGTATTCCGAGGGCAATCTTCAGGCACCCAAGCAACCTGACCCGGATGAGTTGTTTTGTCTTTTCTAGACTTGAAATGTCTGCAAATGCTTACGGCACGTTAGGAGAGGGAGGGAGGGAGTGCACAGCTAACAGCAGAAAATCCACAATGTGCGTTGCAGCTAGGTGTGACCTGGATCGTCCCCTTACTACAGTGTTGCCCTTTGGCAAGTGAAAACCGGCCTCGTGAATAAAGCAGAGTCAAGTCCACTGTACGGTATTGCGGTACTGCTCCGGGGCTGCTGTTGTGATCACGAGGTCGGACTTCACTTTCATCCACCATGTCCACTGTAGAACAGAAAAGCAAAAAAATTGCTTTTCAGTTCTATATGTATACAGTGGACACGGTGGATGAAATGCATGTGAATGCATGCACTCATGCAATAACTACAGTGAAACCTGTCAAAGCCGGCCACTCAAGGGACCTTGAACACGTGGTCTCTGTTACCAGGTGGTCTCCTTACCCAGGGTCATTAGACTGGAAATAGCATCCCTTGGTCCTGGTTTCGGTGGTCTTCCAGGACAGGTGGTCGCCTTATCCGAGTGGTCGCCTTGACAGGTTTTACTGTACATGCATTGACTGTACATGTAGCAGCAAGAGTAGATAAACAAAAGTGTGCAACTCCGGATCTCTCCTGCATAATCTGCAGATACCCCCGCCCATGGCGGAATTTTTTGTTGACGTCACCTTTTTCAGAAGAACGCGCATTTTGCTGCAGAGCAGTGTGAGCGCACGTGCTGGGCACCGACCTTGTAGTGTAAAGCCGGCCAAGAGCACGAGGGAAAACTTTCCGAAACGACTCGCAGCGTGTGCGTCGTCGAAAAGATTACGTCAACGAAAAATTCCGCCGTGGGCCAACCCATCGCGGAGTTGCACACTCTTGTTTATCTACTCTTGGTAGCAGGTATCAACAGTTACTGCACTGTTTATGTGTCATACAGTACTGTCGGTCACCGAAGAACGGGGTGGGGGTCAGCCTGGACCGTTGTTGCTTTCATGTACTACAGTCTATGCACAGTAGAGTCACGGCGTGTATACATTGGTATGCCTGGGCTTGGTGAAACTCTAGGCTGGCCGTTCTTCGGCGCTCGGCAGTACTGCAGTGCTCTGAGTGGGCGCATGCCCGCTAAAGCAGCGCACTTGCCAACTAACAGTTAGGAAGCCAACAACTGGTATGATTGCCATTGCAAACACAATAACTGCAGAACGAATGGAGAGATGAGCATGGGATATGGGCCAGTTACTGGCACTTACATTCAACAAAATCAATGACTAACTTAGAACATGCTTATGCTGGGTACTATGCTGGGTACTGGTACTGGTACTAGTACATTCATGTACATGTACAGACATAAAGGAAATACCATTTTATGCTGGAGAGGTGGCCGTGGTAATGCCTTTACAAACAGTCGTACACTCTCTGCTTGTGCTGTGATAAAGAGTATGAGTGTTAAAGGCACTGATGGAGGCAAGCATGATGAAACTTACTGGTCTTGATTGGATGCACGTATGTGTTTTATGAAAACTCCAAAAGGGACTCAAGAGAAAAAACCCACAGCAACGCATAGCGCGCGCGTGCGCACACACGCACACACAGACACAGACACACACAGACACACACACACACAGACACACACAGACACACACACACGCCAACTGTGATAAGAGCATAGTCACAGGCTACCAACCATCTGCACTCTCTACTTGGTACCATAGCACAGCCGTTGCTAAGTGCGTGGCTTGTGTTTCCGCTTACTGCGGTGCTTACGGTGGTGCTTTGAAGATACCGTCTGCTCATCACCATCCGCTGCTGTCTCTGGCGGCTGGATAGAGGACATCTCTGTCCATACTTCCTCCGCGTTATCATCATCATCACCATCATTATCATCTGATGCGTGCCCTTTACTGGTGTCCGACGAGTGGTCACTGTCAGTGGATGGTGCCCGCCTGCGGTGCTTCTTCTTGTGCTTTTTGCGCTTGTGATGATGACGATGTGTCTACAGCAACAACAGCAGCAGCAACAACAAAAACGTTGGACAATATTACGGCACAAGCAACAGGGTGCATGAACTCTAAAGCAGCTGGAAGTGACTCGACCGAACTGAGTGTCCCCGATCACCCACAAGCCCAGCGCCTATAAGCTCTCTTTCCTAGCTCACAAACAAGGTCAGGTGTAGTACATACAATGCACATGATGCATGTCACAGCAGCACAAGGTCCAGCCTGGGTCACATGCAGGAGAGCGTACCTCTGAGTCTGAGTCGTCTGATGCCTCCGAGTCAGAGGCTCTTGATCGATGGCGGTGCTTGCGCTTGCGCTTTGCATGCTTGTGCTGCAAACAGTATGGAGAGAGAGAGAGAGAGAGAGAGAGAGAGAGAGAGAGAGAGAGAGAGAGAGAGAGAGAGAGAGAGAGAGAGAGAGAGAGAGAGAGAGAGAGGGAGACAGAGAGAGAGAGAGAGAGAGAGAGAGAGAGAGAGAGAGAGAGAGAGAGAGAGAGAGAGAGAGAGAGAGAGAGAGAGAGAGAGAGAGAGAGAGAGGGAGGGAGAGAGATAGATAGAGAGAGAGAGAGATTGGTAGACACAAATGTTTCAAAGAAAGTCCACACAAAGGTACAAACGCCAAGCATACATGTCCCAGCATCTGGTGAGAGTTTCACCAGGAGATACATTGTAGTGCTAGCATAGCCCTACCAGAAGCACTACACACTACACAGCCACATGATGTTTGCAGCTGGTGGTCAATAGTCTGAATAGAACCAATGAACACAATGTGTATACCACATGGAACACATTATAAGTTTATAACTCACTTTGTGCCGATCATCTGGTGATTCTGAATCGTCACTGCTGTCTGCGTCAGAATCAGGGCTATGGGAACGGTGGCGGCGTTTCCTCTTCCGCCGACCGCGACGACCAGACTGTGACAGCAGAAATTAGGGACACGAAAAGAAAAGAAAAGAAGGCCGTCAGATGAAGAAAAGAGCACAAACAGGGATTACGTCTGGCAAAGGGAAAAAAATAGTGTGTGTGCATGCATTGCAAAGGATTAATGTACAAGTAATCATGGGATGTTCTGCAGCAAACACACAGACCGGGCCAGGAAACTAGGACTCTTCACTAATGTAGTATCCAATATCACAAAGAGCATTTTAAAATGATAGAACAACCAGGTAATATGTATATACATGTAACCGATTGGAAAGCTGTCTAAATCGATCAGTCGTGCGAGATTTTTGAAAATCTGCATGTCACGGATCTTCTCGATCTCCAGTGGGCAACTTTCATCGTAAACCATAACTAATCACTTGCTATGGTGCAATATTAAAGGATTCAAAGAATGGTTTCCACGACAATTGGCAGCAAGCCGTCTAAATGCACTGCGATGGCGCACCAGCAATCGACATTCATAACCACTAGAGGTAAGGGTGGTCTCGCACTTGAGCTTGTCTGGGCCACACACACACACACACACACACACACACACACACACACACACACACACACACACACACACACACACACACACACACACACACACACATGCTGGCACCGGGTACTGTAATTTCACAAATTTTCGGTACTTTCGGTGCATCTGTTTCATACCTAAAATCTAAATACACCGAACAAACACTAACACACATAATCCAATAGGGAACTGCTTCCCTGTACCTAAAATTTCTGTCCACCTTACCTGGCCTTTTGCCCTCATACCGAAAATACTGAGCACCGAAAATTTCTGAAATTAGAGTGCTCGCTACCATGCTAGGAATAGTGAATATGAATTCCTCCCTATCTATAGAAAAGAAAAGGGACCAAGGAACTACAAGCTACGCTATAATGTCCACTTACACCACCAGTTACTAAACAATCAGCTCATAGTGGACATTATAGCGTAACTTGTAGTTCCTTGGTCCCTTTTCTTTTCCATAAATTTATCCTTGGCTCTCCATCCTCCCTATCTCTGTACCATTTCAGGGCATCATCCAGCGACATGCCTCACAGAGAGCTGGTTGGGCAGCTAGCCAAGCTGCTGATCAACAGTAAGTACCAGGTGGATGGGGCTGCAATACATTGGGCGCCACCAGCCCGCAGATGGACCCGACGAGGTCGTAGAACCGGTTGAAGGTGTGTCCAGTAGCGAGACCCATCACCCATCATGTAGCATTATTGCCTGCTCTGAAGTATGCCAACCACGCTGCAAATGCACGCAGATTGCTCATCCCAGAATCCAGATGCTGGTGGAGCCCTGATCCTTAATGCCATGGCAGACCTGAGATCCATGAAGGTTACTGATCTTCCGTCAACTTTTGGTTAGTTTACTGCTGTCGTTCCCAGCCATCTCGCCTCCACAGCATGCACCCTTGACGGATGCACATTTTAAAGCTATGAAGTATGCCTTTATTTGAGTATTGTTACCCGAACCAAAGTTACAAATACGGAACAGTAACCCCAAATCAAGCCTTTAGAGTGCCGTGCTTTGACCTCTCCCTGGATTCTGACGTCGACTCGACAGGAAACTGCGAACATTCTGCTGGCAGAATGGCGCATCCACAAGAGGACGACATCAACGAATCGCCAACAAGGAAGAGTTGCTTGAGTTTCTCTTCAAGCAGTGGCAAACGGCTGACCTGATGAAGAAGATACCAAGCCACAGAGAGCTAGTCATCACCTCCGGCAGCTTGTGTATCAGGATCATGTCTGATGCTGCCACTACAGCTACCCTCCCTATCAATGATCTGGCTTGCAATCACGAGGAAGCAGACGCCCGACTCTTTCTTCATGCTCACCACACAGCGTTAATTAACAGGATCACATACTATCACAATCAAGTCACCCGATACTGATGCCAGGCGAAGTTGGCATTCTTCTTCTGCCGTGACTGCTAATCGACCACAAACAACTCGTTCTTTGCCCATTCTGGTCCGAAGTCGACGTGGTACTACATGTTACTTGTGGCATCTTCACAATAGTATTGGTGAGTGATGACTTGCAATGCTCGTTGGCATGTGTGCTCTCACTGCCCAGGTACAACTCTCTCTGTTGTAGAAATCTTTTTCAGCACCTGTAACAGTCTCATGGCACAAGTGTGCCTATTAGAGAGGTTAAGATGCACGTTATTTCCGACGTGGTGCGAAAGTTCAGCTCGCGCGTCGAAAACAACGCGAGTGACCTGCAGCTCACGTCGAAATTTGGAGTTAACGCCAAATTTGACGTGAAATTGCACGTCACATCGGAAACAACGTGCATCTTCCTCTCTATTAATTCAGTGAAGGGATGCACAACTTATTTCATTAAAAAGTTATACCTGTAAATTGTACTGTGTTCAATGAGTGCACAGATTCTGTATAAAGCTACGAATTTATCTAGACTGCCAATGACATCTACAATGTATCATCAACACTTATTGTACATTTCGGTTTGTTCACACTTACTAGAAGATGTGAATGCGTCCGCACAGGTTCTATCAAGCCCACAAAATAATATATCCCAATCTATTTTTCTGCATTGACTGTCAAGTCACAACGTCTTGGAATGTTGATTTTGCACTTCCCATCAACATAGCATGGTCATTCTGCAAAATAGAAAGCTGTTGCGGTGATGGTTAAACCCATAAAAATAGGGGGTTAAACCGGTTTAGCTTTTTCCTGGTCGTTCTATCATTAAAGTTCAGAAAACCAGCTGTGTGAGCGTTCTAAACCAGCATCAGGTGCATGCAAGTTGAGCACAAGAACAAGAAGCAGATTGGTGTTGATACTAACGTCACTGCCGCTGTCGTTGCTGCCGCTGGTGTCACTGTCCGCCTCTTCATTCTCTTCCTCACTATCGGTGTCGACAGAAGACGACGACGAGGAGGCAGACTTGACCGGGAATAAGACAGGTCAGTGTACACCGGACCACATATACACACAACACAAGACCAACAGCAGACAAAAAGAAACGGGAAACTTGTCAACATCTGAATAGAAGAGAAACTGTAAAGGGGTTCGGAAGGCCGGGGAGTACAATTTGTTATATACGAAGTACACTTTGAAGTACAATTGCACGGCTAGCTACACACACACACATGATAGTAGCGGAGATGGAACACACTCTTCAAACGGGGTACGTTTGTAACCTGGGGTTTACCTCCTTGTTGAAGATGGCCCGACCTCGGCACGACTCAACATTACATGTTCTACCAAGCTCGTGTCCGTTTCTATCCTCTGTATAATCATGATTGTGCTTTGTAGCATGCATTCCCGTATTCTACCACATACCCCAGTGGCCTGGGTAGATGCATATGCAGCGCTTCTTTACAGTAGTCTCAGCTACCCTGGCACTTTATCCTGACCCTACTCTCGGCTACTCGAGGCTGTAAACAACACATGCATGTGCATGTACATGTACTCACCCCAGGGGAACTGTGCTTGCGCTTGGAGGACTTCTTTTTGTGTCTCCGCTGCACAGGCAGAGAATAGAGGAAAAGAAGACATGAGTTCCATGAGCAGGTGAAGTGTATGTATGTATGTATGTATGTATGTATGTATGTATATGTGTGTGTGTGTGTGTGTGTGTGTGTGTGTGTGTGTGTGTGTGTGTGTGTGTGTGTGTGTGTGTGCATGCGCGTTTCATGAGCAGATGGCTTACTGAAAACTTGACCATTGCAGCCTACATCAATACAGACATCATTGCATAAAATATCAGCTCTGTTACATTGGCTGTCCAGGATGCTGGAGTAAGATTGTGATACGTTGTCAGCATAGTGCACCATAAGACAAGGCTACAGGAGTTTTACTCACAGCTTTCCTCTTTTCCTTCCGCCGCCTCTTCAGCTCTTTCTCGAATGACGCCAAAGCATCAGCTGTAGAAGAATTGGTCGGACCAGCAGATGTCACTGCTGAGGTGGCCTTCTTCAAAGCCTTCTTGAGGGTACGCTCTGGAAAGTACCACATGGGAGAAATGGGGTTAGCCAACATAGACACTGTAGATTGGATCTGAACTGAGTGTATTTCGAAACGCTCCGCCACAACCAACACTACACCAAAGAAGATAACTACACAGCACCCTTGAGCAATGCAACTGAACATTGAACGGTGTACATGCACCATGAGTGTCTGCAGAGCGGGAGTTGTTTTGACGTGTCAAAAGTTACCGTACTGCCCGACAGCTTTTCCTTGCTTTAGCGCACGCATGTACCTATGACTGAGGCTGCAGTGAGGTACACCGCCTGCTGTTCTTCGTAGTTATTGTGAAGGCTGGTCATGAGGGAGAGGCGGCATGCACAGCTGAAAACAACGGATAGTTCCTACAGTACAGGCTACTAATGCTAGCTAACAAGACAGCGCCGGATGAGAACCTTACTGTCCAGATTGGCAAGACTAGTGCCGGACGAAGCAGGCTTGGCGGACGGTTTCACAGCCTGCACAATGGTCGTGGTGGGCAGCTTGCCCTTGGACATCATTTCAATTACAGGAGCGACTGGCACCGTGGGCTTGGTGGACTTGACTGTCTTGATGATTGTCGTAGCGGGCACCTGCACAGGACACAATATACAGCCAGGCCGGGATGGGCTTTAGCACACAGTCACCGTGCAAGTGCACAAGGCAGCCTCCAATGGCCGTAGTACCCCGCTAACTAACTACGGCCTTACTACCATGCTGACAACACCTTGCATATATTTTATGGACCGGGTACACAATGATGAAGTGTGTACAAAGTGTGTACAAACCGGTAGAACGAAATGGGTGGCTGCACTGTTTCTAAGTAGATCGGCAAAGCACCAAAAAAATACTACGGCAAACGTCTCTTGAAAGCACCCAATTCATCCAGGACCAGAGATTAGGTATGCAATGCAAACTACAAGTAATTGCAATATTCAAATTCAAAAACTTGTTGTTTAGATGTCATTGTGACCGGTTGGGCCAGTAACTCTGAGCTCTGCTGACGAGACCTAACTAAAGGAACAACGTGGAACAGCTAGCTGTCCGGAGACGATGTAATACAAATAAAGATCACTGACCGACCAAGCAGCCCCAGTTGATCTAATTACCTTATCCTTGCCAAGGGTTTTCTCTTTGGTCATGTCGGTAGGAACCTTGCCACCGTCGCCGTGCCTCAGCATGCCCATGGCCTTCTCCAGCACGTCAGCCTTGGCGCGTGCCGCTGCCTTCTGCGACGCCTTGGCTTGAGAGTCAGCCAAGCGCTTACCACGGTCTTTCTCCAGTGACTTGCGGAACCCCTGTGCATCCGCAGCGGAACAAAAGAGCGGCAGAATGTTTATACTCGCACAAGCAATGTCGGCGTTGAGCTGATTACACTATAGGGTGCACTCACACAGTGACCAACACACGTCGCAAAATGCTTTTTAAAAGCGCTTGACCAGGTATTTTGGTGACGCACGCCGTTGCCATGCAACTCGCCCACTACACTGTGATATGCCAGGTTACGTGTCCATGAGCTTACCTCGTTCATCTTCTCCTCCCACTGGGCCAACGTGTTCTTGTCCGACCTGATCTTGTCCATGGCATCGTCCCTGTACCAACAAGCAAATGATAAACACAAAACCCATAGCAGGGTTCTAGCCAAAGGGGGGTAGGGGGCGCAGCGCCCCCCTGTGAAAAAGTGCTGCCCCCCTACTCATTTTCCGATTTTTGTGTTTTTTCACGCCATTCAACGAAAATATAGTCGATAGTCACTACTAGAGGGTTCATAAAGGCACATTTGTGAGGATGTTACATTTTGCATGGCAAGACAATTTTGGACAATGGAAAAAATGGGTCATGGGGTAACTTTTTCCCATGCCCGCCCCCCTACTATATTGACCTGGCTAGAACCCTGCATAGGGCTTCAAAGTGATGATGTCACATGCGCGCGTGCACACACACACACACACACACCATGTATGTACCATGCATATGCCCGTCGCAAGAGAAGCACGCAAATCTGCCAATGCACTGGATGTGCATCCACAGATTTTTTCTTATAGCAACGATAGCGGGCAAGATCTGAATGAGACAGACAGACTGAGACAGACAGACACACACACACATACACACATGCACACACACACACACATGACAACCCATGCCATCGGAAGTTCTGGGTACAAACAAATGTTAGTGTCCCTTTGCATTGGAATTTGCTACATCAAACAGTAGTGAATGCGGTGACAGTGGAAAGCTAGAAGACCGCTAATTCAATTCTTAGTCCAAAGTATATCTCATTGAAGTCACAGATCTGGGCAATTTATGAGTTTATGACACATCACCTTGTCAAACGATTTAGTCAAAATTAGCACAGTTGCTCCGATCAATCTGGGACTTTCACCACTGGAATCAGTAAATCTTCACTGCAAGTTGTGACTTTTTCACGTTTGGGTGTACTGCCTGCTGAATTGGAGGGACACAAATGGAACTCGCTGGGTCTGGCAATCTCCTGCTGGGATTCACGTATGGGAGTCCACGCCAATATTTAAAACATTGGCAACCAGCACATGCTTGAACTCACAATGAGATTCTAGGCCGCTTGAAGTAATCCTCCGTTGAGGTTTTTGTGGACGGCGCTGGCACCTTGGAGCGAGCTGCAGCCAGGGGATTAATAAATCCCTGCACAATGGCATAATGATCAGAAAATAGAGATTATCAGGGACAGAAAAACTACAAATCTCAAGCCATTCAGGATCATCATCATCAATAGTGAATCCGAAACTCATCAACCAGTTTTCGGGCAGTCATACACTACTGTAAAACCGGAATACTCTTATTTCAGAAATTTTCGGTGCTCAATATTTTCGGTATGAGGGCAACAGGCTAGGTTAGGTGAACAGAAATTTTCGGTACAGAGAAGCAGTTCCCTATTGGATTATGTGTGTTAGTGTTTGTTGGGTGTATTGAAATTTTAGGTATGAAACAGACGCACCGAAAGTACCGAAAATAAAAGTACACCGAAAATTTGTGAAATTACAGTATTTCGACGGAAATTTATTTTCGGTAACCTCGGTACATTTATACTTTTATAGTAAAGAAGAAAGGACTCCATCCGAGTCCAACCTCGGTACAAGTAATTTTCACCTAAAATAAAACGCGACCTTAATAAACTCGACCATGCTATGCCACATAGCGTGCAAAACGCATTTCGGGATCTGGAAAACTGATTTACCGAAATTTTCGCGCTACAGAACCGTTGATTTTGGGGAAATACCGAAAATAATACACCACCGAAAATTCCCGGTTTTACAGTATTCCGTCAGCAATCAGCTCACAGCAATACATGGCGTGTTGCTGTCGCCGGCACCAGTGTGCTAATACTCAACGCACTGCATCACTCAGTCATGGGAATAGCACACGAGGGACACCCTGGCCAAGAAGCATCCCAAGGCACTTCCCGGGAAAATGCCTGGTGACCAGGGCTCACCAAGGCCCTAATCCTGAACGTTGGCCGTTGCTCCGAGTGTTCATATTCAATTGTTTCTTCTTTTCCTTCTCTTCTTCGGATTCGCTTTTCTTCTCATTGAAGGGGGTGGGGTGTAGTGATGTACACATGCATGCCTATACCCATGCGTGTAGCCTGCAATGGCTATAGCGCTATCTGAATGTACTTGGTAGTAGTGTGTTGCTCAGCTGTCGAGTAGTGGTGTCGTCTACAATTTCAATACAACGAGAATAGCCAACACGAACAGCAGTTTTACTGTTTCGTCAGTAAACTATCTTGTACAGTAGAGTGTAGCAGACAAGGTTGGATTTACAGACATACATTGCCGAGTACAGCATGCTTAGTCGTTACAATCTTTACTTACAACTCGACTATCGCGTTTCCCCATCCTAGCAGTGCAGGTTTGTCATGGAACGCCACGTGTGAATCATTGCATTGCGGAACACTGGGCTCATAAGCCGTGGTGGCCACCACGTAAAGCAATAACAAGCGAACGCAATGCCTCAGCCAAAGCTAAAGGCGAATGAAAGGTATCTCTCCCAGGATCCACAGTGACAGTCTACACAACACACAACAAACGATGATTCTTTTCATAATAATTTTGACACAAAGCGAAAAAGGGGAAAATGCATTCGTACGATCGTTGCCAGTTCATGACTCGTAATACAGTGTAATGGTGAACGAAGCGGGCGGAAGTGAGGAGCGCCTTGCATGATTGGTTGTTCAAATCTCACTGATATACTCACTGCATGGACTGGTTCAAATCAAAGAATCAAATCGTTCAAGCAATTTTGAGATTGAGAAAGACGTCGGTACAGTTGTTTGCACTTACGTCTACGTTTGGCTTTTGTCTTTGGTTACCCAAGTCTCCTCTACATATCTAATGTGATCGATACAGTGACGACCGGTTTCTTTTGTTCTCATTGGAAACGGTTCGCCGGTTGCCAGTCATTTATCTTTTGCAAGTACAAATTTTGGAAATTGTTTTGCGTATTGCAAAGTCAATGTAGCAATCCATAGAGATTCAGCAACAGTGGGATTCTCATCCTCTCGGCAGTCTCGCTTGTCTAGAATGCAGAAGTGCGCATTATGACGATGATCAGCTGGTTTTGTCAAGAGTTCATGTACAAATAGCTGGACATAACTCTAATCAAGAAGGCGATGAGTATTATTCGTGGTATTCGTCGCAAAGGACTGTTCAAGTACATCTTTGGGCTGCCGCAGGGCCCAGTATGGATTATTTGTGATCCTCTCGGCTTATTCTTTGCCGGTGTGACGCATTTCCTCATCGGCTATGGCGTATTCGCTGTTATGACAATCACTATTCTGCCAAACCCCACTCTAGTAAGATGGATAGAGTTTGCAGTATTTGTAGTGTTTGCGTACCTGGCAGTTACCTCCCATCTCAAAGCAATGCTGACAAACCCGGTAAGTATGGCACGTGCGTCACATGACTACTCTCTTTTCACACCAGTGTGGTAACCATAGTGATAGTCGTGAATTTCTATCGCACAAATGGCGCCTGAATGTAAAGTGACCAGGGCAGGGGTTAGGATCAGGGAGTAATACAATACCGGCATTGTACTACTGTAAATATGCAAATTTTCGGCAGCTATTTAATTTCGGCTATATTCGGCACCGACACAAAACGCCTAAATTAAAACGCCGATGAAATTTTTCACAGCATCTGCCGCACTATAGTCTATACCATGCCCTCTACCCCACGCCGAAAATAAATCGCCACCGAAATGTCAGAAATCGTGAAGTGCCGAAATTTTGCAGCGCCGAAATTTTGTATATTTACAGTACTCCCTGGTTAGGATTCTGAAAGTCTTAGGTGGTTTCAAGCCGGTAAATCACAGTACCGCTGGGGATATAATTATGATGCCCGTGTTGTGCAGAGTGCGTGCGCATGCTGCACTGCACACGAGTCCTTTCAAAGTTTGGGGAGGTTTGTACATTCCAATGCTGACTTGGCTTAGAAGTACAGTGTAGAAGTCCGTACAGAACGCCCATGCACGTTCTCACGTCTGTTTTGGACACACATGCACTGTGCTGCTACCAGGCTGAACTACCCCCTCTCATTGGGGGGGGGGGGGGGGCTCGGCATGGTATGCAAGCAATGAAATTCGAACGGAATACTTTTACTAACCCAAAGTGTGCAACTCCTCACACGCACTAACACGCGAAGCACAGAAGCCACTGGAAATTTCCACGATGCCTTTCGTACCATTGCTCTTCAAAATCGTTGCCATGGTGATATGAGCAGCAGCAGCAAACACATGCGACACATCCCTATCTAACTTTTGGGCAGTCAGAGCAGTGACAAAACTGGCACCCAAAAGAGCTCGAGTGGCGCCAGCTACATAGTGAAACCATCAAAACAGAGCATATTGTCAAACAACTGTGGGGACTACGGTAGTCTACAATGTCAAAACATCCACTCCCATTTCACTATCCAAGTGCGTGCGCGCAACGAATCTCACCTGGCTGTCTTGGAGGCGGTGTATGTTGCCAAGCTAAAGCCTGAACTTTGTGTACAGAATAAGTATGTGTGAAAGGTGTCACTGTTTTGACATTGCAGTATAGTAGTCTCTTGTTTGACAGTATGCTCTGTATTGATTGTTCCACTAACTTATGAAAACAAATTGTTTCACTATGTGGTAGATGCTACTGACGCTCTGGTAGGTGCTATTCTTTGTCACTGCTCTGGTAGGTGCTATTCTTGTCACTGCTCTGGTAGGTGCTATTCTTGTCACTGCTCTGACCCCTAGATAGCTAGATATAAGGACTTGTTTGCTGCTGCTTGTATCATCATGGCAACGACGTTGAAGAGTAATGGTGCGAAAGGCCTTGTCGACATTTCCGGTGGCTTCTGTGCTTCATGTGTTAGTTCGTTTCCTCCAGGAAAAAATCTACTCATTAACCAGTCTAGTTGTGACGGTGCAGCACTTTCCTCCATCTCCACTTTCTCCACCAACTACTCTTCTTTCTTCCCTGTACTGTTGATTACAATCGTGACTTTATGTGTGTAACAAGAGTGTAAAGCTTCCTCTTGATTCGGACGTCAAATGCGTTGATCCTTGCGCTACCTTTGCATGTGTGTGTGTGTGTGTGTGTGTGTGTGTGTGTGTGCGTGTGTGTATGCGTGTGTGTATGCATGTGCAATACACAGGGCACTGTACCGCTCGGAGAAGACGATGACGTCCTGAGGGAGTACTGTGAAATGTACGAAACAGACGACGAGGTGGCGGATGGCGAGGAGAATCGACGCTACTGCCAGCGCTGCGAGGCGCCTAAGCCAAACCGGGCACACCACTGTCGGTAGGATATGTGTGCATTCAGATACTCACTCATGCGTGCCATAGTTGTATTGTCTTTCCATGTGTAAGCTGCACGTGTATGTATGAAAAATCGGCTAGAAAATTTCCTTACAGCATATACAAATATGTGTGCCAGTACGATCAATATTCAACTTGCATGACTGTTTTGTGTACGGGGGGGGGGGGGGGGTTGTGTACGGGGGGGGGGGGGGGGGGGCGCATGGCTTATACATGTACACCAGTGCAACTGATTCCCAGAAACATGGCACTTGCTTCTCTAGGGAGACGTATCTCCTACCAGTAAGTACTCATTGCAAATTTTAAGGGGAGCCATAAATTCTACTTGAACTTCTTGAAGTAGCTGGCAGTGCTTGTACAGTCGTCCCTCTCTAATCCGGCACCTTTTGCTACGGCGTTTTCTGCTGGATTAACGAGGGTTCTGGATTAAGAAATCCTGCCCTCTGACCCGGCCCTACCCAATTGCATGCATGTATCATATGTACGTCAAAACGCAGGGTTCTTCCGTGTCGACCCAAGTATTTGGTGCACGACTTTATATTCTCAATTGTTCTCCGGGAATATACACAGTGATAAAGTGATAAAGTAAAACAGAGAACATGTTCACATGTACTCTTGCACACACACGCACACACACACACACCTGAACATTGGCAGGACACTACTCCTTGCTAAAATAAGAAAGTATGGTTGACTGCCGTTGTCTCCTGGACAAGCCTAGCCTGGCCTGGCAAGGAGTGCACCTGTACGGCACGCGATTTACGACTGCCGGATTATGAAATCAAACTACGTGCAGTTTGAGCGATTCGTTTAAAAAAGTCACTGCCGGAGGCGGAATTCAAGTGCCGGATTAAGATGTAGGAATTGAACGATAAAAATCGGTTTCGTCAGAAAGTGCGCCGGTTGGCAAGGGTTCCGGATAAACAAGTGCCGGATTAGAGAGGGACGACTGTACTAGTTGCAGACACATGCACATGGATTTCTGTAAGCAATTTGATGCACTTCAATGCGCTTCATATCGCTCCACAGCTGGGATTGGAGAGCAGCTACGAGTAGATGGTCGTGAACTCAGAAATAGGAGCCTGTTCTCCAAGGTCGCCGAGTGCACAAGCAGCTACAACTCCACCATTTTACCCATCTCGGAGCTATCAGTCAAACTCCTGCAAAATGTCTCTACTACTGTGAAGCGGACACTGTCTGCTACACGTTGAAGCCATTACGCCCTGCACCAGTGCAATGCCTTGATTCATGCGATTGTATTTCATTGAACAACACTGTACAGTAAAGCCTGTAACTAAAGACCACCGTGACTAGCGACCAGCCTCGTACTACAGACCACTTTGCCAGGCTTGGGTCGTCTCACATTCAAAATGCACTGTGACTAGCGACCCTGCTGAACGCGACCAGCGACCGCCTATTCTTGTCCCGATTTTCTTGTCCCAATGTCGATTTTTGACCCGTAACTAGCAACCGCGATGCAGGAAATCAAAGGTTGTTCGAAGCTTCTTCTTCGAAGTTTTGATGATTTCCCATGGTCCTGAATGGACTCTTCCGATACTACAGCTGAACAAATGAACTTGAACGCAGGCTCATTTTGACTGTGGGCTGCACTGCACCTGTCATAGCTTCAAGTGCTGTCATGAGCAAACACGATAGGAAACGTCTTGCAGAGCGCATCGAACCTGCTCTATGGTGGATGTTACTTCTCAAAGGAGAAATGGCATTGCGCAAGTGGTGGGGAATTGTATTAGCTGCATTTTGACATACGTATCAGAGATGGGATCCATATAGGGTCGCGCTATGCAAACCTCTAACTAAAGACTACCTGCCACTATTAATACAGAAGAAGTGTTATTTTGCGTTTTTCGTACTTTCAAGTGGCCATAAGTACAACAAAATGCATAAGTATCCCCCATAGGAATATCATTTCTGCAGTCCATGCATGCTAGAGAACAACTTAGAACAGAGAAAACAGCACTTCTTCTGTAAAAGTTTTTTCATGGCCAAAGTGGTTCGAGCTACCTTAAAAGGCCGTTTTTTCTGGCCCCAAGGCCGGGAAAGGGTGGGAAGGGCCGGGAAGGGCCGGGAAGGGGTGGTCGTTGGTTACAGGTTTTACTGTAGTTGTCTTTTAACAGTATGTGCCACAATGTACTGACACTGCTTACCGTGGGTTGCGTTATGGCACGTGTGTGTTTGTGTGTGTGTGTGTGTGTGTGTGTGTGTGTGTGTGTGTGTGTGTGTGTGTGTGTGTGTGTGTGTGTGTGTGTGTGTGTGTATGTGCTTCTCTCCTGTCCCCTGTATATGGATGTGACAATACAGGACTTGTAGGCGCTGTATCCGGTAAGTAGTTTGTGCACTGTTTTTGCATGGCTTGCTGGATACTGAACAATTGCACTGGATCATGGAAGACTGTCATGCAAGGAAAAAAAAGCTGTAATGGGAGTCACATGGGGTGTTTCTGGTGGGCCCTGAGTCCTGTATACCTATCATGGCATGAAGCCATGGAGTGTGATTTTGTCTGACTTGGGAAGTACCCGCCACGTACCCAGCCGATAAGCTATCATTTGGGCTGGAATGTCATCAGTTGGTTTTGAACTCGGGCTTGCTGTGATTGCCATCTGTGTAGATCTGTGTAGAACAGTGCAGCTTGTGCCTTTCAGTCTGTGCTTCAGTCTTGCTTGATGATCAGTTAGGTAAACAAATCCCGGGTCTACTACTCTCTTGTCCATGGCTGGATATCAGTGGCAAGGCTGCAGCCTTGCCTACTGTTGCCCTGATCTTTCTGGCCCCAACTATGAAATAATTATGGTGGTGGTGTGTGTGTGTGGGGGGGGGGGGGGGCAGCATACTAGTAGTGTGTAGATGTACATGGCATTGTGTGTTCATGGTGTGGTCTGTGTTGTGAACATTGTGTGTGTGTGGTATCGTGTGTGTTCTGTGTTCTCTTTTCTGTGTTCTGGACATTGTGTGCATGCTTGCAGGAAAGCAGATCACCATTGTATATGGTAAGCCCCTGCCTCGCTGGTGTCATTGTGTTCTAATGACCTGCCTCACTGGTATCATTGTGTTCTAAACTTCTAATGGCCTGCCTCACTGGTATCATTGTGCACGCATGCTGATATCGAGTCCAGCGGCTCTGTCAAGGTTCAGTACCGTCTCCATGAGGACATGCTGTCCTCTACCTTGGTTGACAGATGAGCTGACAAACAGGACGAGAGATCCGGTTGCCTAGGTAGAAGTGCAGTAGTGGAAAGGGAAAGTCCCCCGCTGCGATTCAGTGCAGGTGCAGACTTGCTGGCAAGGGAAAGTCCCCCGCTGCGATTCTGTGCAGGTGCAGACTTGCTGGCAAGGGAAAGTCCCCGCTGCGATTCTGTGCAGGTGCAGACTTGCTGGCAAGGGAAAGTCCCCGCTGCGATTCTGTGCAGGTGCAGACTTGCTTGCTCTATTCTTATTAATTTTTCCATGATAGCATAATTCCCGAGAATACCCCATTACACGTCTCCAATTTCCAGGAATACCCATACACGTCTTTACTGTGCTCAAAGTGTGTCTGCATGTGTGTCAGACACAGACGTGTGGGTCTACTTGGTGCTGTAATGTGGGATGTCCATCACCAACAGGCCACTGACACTGCATGTGTATGTGCTTTTTCATCTCGATACAGGGTAAACAACTGTGTTGGCGAGAACAACATGAAATTCTTTGTCTTGTTCAACGTGAGTATGAACAGAGCATTGTGCACGGCAGCTCGTAACAAAAAATAGTCACTCAAGCATGCAACACCACAGGACATGTACTGTCGAGCGCCAAAGAACGGAGCGTCGAAGAACGGCCGGGCTAGAATTTTACTACGCGCAGCATTCCAATGTATACGCGGTGACTCAACTGTGCATAGACTGTAGTACACACATAAGAACGGTCTAGGCTAGGAGGCTGACCCCCCCCCCCCCACCAGTTTTTCGGCGACCGACAGTGTTACATGGGCCATTGTCTTTGCACCCTATCACCCTATGGAACGCAAAGCTGCTGTGGAAGAGTGGATCCGGAATTTTGTTTTCTATGTTCATTTATTTGTCCTGCTCGGCCTTGGAGTGGTCAATTTCAAATCCTCTCATTCACCCGTGTGTACCTGTTTGTAGGAATGCAGGCATTGATGATTTCAACATTGATTTGTGGTGTTTTTGTTGATACCTGTACTAGACTACTAGTTGATAATAATTATTATGAATTTATGATCATGGTGATTTGGCATTCTTTTTGTGGTTCTGTGTTTGCTGGTGCAGTTCTATATATTTGTCATTTCCGTCCTGGCCCTGGTGTACGTTGTGTGGCATATAATAGACTGTGCAAAGACAGACTGGGGTGAAAGTAAGTGCATAATAATTACACTCCAGTAGTTGTGTATTAGGACTGTAGAGCTGGCAGGAGGAAATGCTAAATGACAATGTATTGCAGAACCATGATTGAGTTATCAAGTTCAAGAACTTTTTTTAGTGTGAAACCTGGTCAAGAGACCGCCTGATTTCAGCAGCTACTGGGTTTTAAGACCCCTAGTTTGGTGCAAGATGTGTTGAATGTGTAAGGGTCAACTTGGTTTCAGAGACCGCCTGTGTTCAAAGACCACGGTAAGCATGTTGCATGAATGTTCACTGAGGCCGCTTGTCACCCGTATATTCCCCTTTTTTTGGAAGCTGTTTGTATGATGGCCAGTCGGTCTATATGCTGTGCGCAACACATTGACAACTAGACTTGGTGCTGAACTCTGTGTGTGTTTGTGTGTGTGTGTGTGTGTGTGTGTGTGTGTGTCTCTCTCTCTCTCTCTCTCTCTCTCTCTCTCTCTCTCTCTCTCTCTCTCTCTCGCTCTCTCGCTCTCTCTCTCTCTCTCTCTCTCTCTCTCTCTCTCTCTCTCTCTCTCTCTCCCTCTCTCTCTCTCTCTCTCTCTCTCTTTCTCTCTTTCTCTCTTTGTGTTCTCTGTATGCTGGCAGATTGTAGGTATTTCTCGGAAGTTGGAACATTCCTGATCATGCTGTTCCTGTTCATGGAGGCTGTTCTTTTCTCAATGTTCTGCTGCACAATGGGACTAAGCATCATTAGTGCCATACAGTGGGATGAGACCGCCATTGATCGCTACAAGAAGCGAATGGCTGGCGGTGATGCGACGAGCATCAGGAAAACAGAAAAGAAGTGAGTTGTGTCAGTTGAAAAACAAATACCGTATTTTCCCCATTAAACGCACACGTCTCCAATACTAGTACGTCTCCAATTGTAGTACATATTGAGTGTAGATTAGAAATATAAAAGGACACATCTCTAATAATAGGACATGCCGGAATGATGTGATGGGCATTACGGGGGTACAGGGTACCAGGATCCACCTTACTTTGTTTTTCTTACCCGCTTACCATCTTTGTGTGTTTCTACCCTGACTTATTACCAAGACTGGATGTATTTTCAGCCTTGCAGTACCATTATCACGAGTTGTTTGTCACCCAACCCAGGCAATCAATCTTTCCAGAAACAAGAAAAGTACACGCCTCCAATACTAGTACAGTCTCCTGTAGTAGTACAGGTCTGACCACCTTTGAAAAAAAATGAAGTACTGTACATTTATTGGGGAAAATACGGTAGTAGATCTACACTGAAGCAATAGCTGTTATTTTAATTTTATGCCAGTATAGTTATTCTGATTGTGAGACAGTGCACAGATGTGCATTTGGTGCTACAGTCTGGTCAGCAACTTGACCTGATTTTATTTATTTATTTTTTTGAATGGGGATTGGACACCAATACTCCTTATATATGTGTACCATATTTGTGAACTTGACCTGATCTGGACCATCTTTAGAACTAGTATGTCTGGAATTGGTTAGTCATGGAGCCTGGGAGGGCATTGTCAAAATTAATGATCGACTTTGTTTTTGGAGTTGTGTATAAACATTGCTATTGTTTCTACTTGCATTCATCCATCAGCTGAGGGAGTTGACTTATTGCATTCATGTACGCGATTGTGTGCTGTGGCCTTCTCCCTGTGCAGGATGACAAACTTTGAGGCAGTGTTTGGCAGGCCGAGGTCTTTAGCATGGCTATCCCCGTTGACTGTATCTCGAGTGGGTTTGTATTTGCAGCGCAAAGCAACCCTACATACTGTGTAGCCGCTATATAGACAGACAGTTGACTTACTGTACTTTTTTTTAATTCTTTAGAGAAATACCTCTGTATTTTCTAGCATCCTCTTTTTTTACTCTTTCTTTTAAGTTTTTATGACTCTATGCAGCGAGACAATTTGACCTTTGTGTGGGTAGTGTTCTACTTCCGAAGAAAATATTCCTATTTCCATGATGTAATGGCAAACGATCGGATCGAAAAAGAGCAGTATTTATTTGGACGGTGGTATGACAACAGCATACTTAGTACTACAACAGTAGTAGACATTGGCTGAAGTAGACAATGCATGTGTTTAGGTGGGCCCGGTGTAACATTATTTTATGGCGCAATTGTGTCAGAGCCTGGACTCTCTGAGCCTCTCCAGCAGCGCTGAAGGCCTTGTTTATCATGTTTTGCTGTACACAGATTGCTGTTCCATGAAAAGGAATAGGATTAAGATTTGACGTTTGCTGGGTGCACACGTGGGTGGTTTGAGTATCAAAGTACAGTATGGTGAATTGCATGAGTCGGGTGTGACGTGTGAACATACACATAATGGAGATAAAAAAAATCACAGTGATAAAGTATGGACTCAGCTGGAGAGCCAAGGATAAATTTATAGTAAAGAAAAAATGAGTGATGAAGTATTAGAATAATTATTTGTATTAAAGAAAAGAAAAAAAATGAGTGATGAAGTGTTAAAATATTTGTTCACAGAAATGTCTTCTGCGTCTATTGGAAGTGTGCTGGGATAGGTCTGATAGCAACAGCGTAGCGTGATGAAGGCAAGCATAGCCAGTACTTCAAAGTATGTAATGTAGATAGTTTGCATAGCATGTCGACAAGTGTGCCACTCCGTACAGAACAGCCATGATATGAGGAGAATAGGAGACGAAGGCCGCTGCTCCAGCACTGACGTGGAGAATGTGCACTGACATTGAACACAAGTGGTGTGCGGTTGTAGAGATTGTGTCCCGGACAGCTGAAGCAGCGTAACGACCCTGGGTAGACATGTGTAGCCACTAAGCGCAGTGAATCCGTGATGCTCTTGCTCACACTGGAGGGGGTAACATCATGTTCCAGCAGATCCACTAGATTGTAGATGCACTACGTAGTACTAGCTGTCAGTGCCACTGCTCTGCCTGGCAATTAGACTGCACACACGCACACACACGCACACACACGCACACACATACACACACACATACACACACACGCGCCCTGCCAGAAACAGGTCCTAACACGATGACCTGTGAACACCGTGTCGGCCAATATAGCTGACGACTCAAGCATGGCCAGAATCATCACTTCAGTATGGTAGCTAGTGGGCGCTCTGAACAATTCCATTCAGATTTCCAACAGGGAGCACTGCAACATTGGTCTTCATTTACGTTTCCTGTAGGGATTACACAAGCAGATGAACAGTGGATGCATAACAACCTTTCTAGTTTTATTTTCGTTGTGTATGGTGCATCCAATCCGGTGCTAACAATCAGGGTTTTAGTCCCCTACTCTGATCAAGCCCCCCCCCCCCCCCCCCGTGAAAAGTGGCGCCCTACCCATTATTTTGTTGATTTTTTTGTGTTTTTCAGGCCATTCAACGAAAAATGCAGTCATAGTCACTAACGGCACACTTGTCTGGGGAAAGCTCCGTACGTACATTTTGCATGGCAAGACATCCCGCATATTTGCTCTCGCCGGTTCCGACTAGTCTCGCATCTGGAGCGCCATCAGGTGGCGTTCTCCTTCTCTCTCTCTCTGCTGTCCCTCCGGGGCCCACATGACCCTAGTGGTAGTGGCTCTACAGGATGGGACAGATGTGTGTGTGTGTGTGAGTGTGTACGTGTGTGTGTGTATGTGTGTGTATAAGCGTGCCACTGTGTATAGGCACATGCACGCGCAAACACACGTGCACACACCCTGTGTGTGTGTGTGTGTGTGTGTGTGTGTGTGTGTGTGTGTGTGTGTGTGTGTGTGTGTGTGTGTGTGTATTTCACAGACTTACTTAGCAGGTGGTTTCTGTGCTTGTGTTGGCGGTGCCCTCTTCTCAGCCACCGGCTCCTTTTTCAGTATCACCACTGGCTCCACCGACGACAAACTAGGCGGCACCAGACTCAGCACGGTGCCCGTTGTTGCTGCTGTTGCTGCATTGAGAGGCATCACAGTGGTGAGACAGTCGTGTTGGCTAGCACCGCTGGCAGCGATGTCCTGGGACGCCACCAAGCTGGGCGAGTGTTTAGCCGGACTGCCGACCATGAGCGAGGGTGGTGGCGGGGTCACTGACAGCAGCGTGGTGCCAGAAAGGTCTGTACTGGGACTGCCAGTGCGCAGCGGTGATGGAAGGAAGAACGTGGTGGACGACGACAGGCCGTAAGGCGAGGGAGTTCCAGTATCGAGCTCGCTCTTCACTATCAGGCCATCAAACGCAGCGGTAGTCCCGGCCGGGCTAGTGGACCTTGCTGCACCGCTTACCACCTACATACACACACACAGGACAGGTACTTAGATAGGTCACTCTACCACCTACTATTATACTGTACATGCACACACACGCATGCACACACCATGTACCATGTACCATGTATAAGCCCGTCGCAAGAGAAGTACGCAAATCTGCAAATGCACTGGATGTGCACCCACAGATTTTCTCTTATAGCAACGATAGCGAACAAGATCTGAATGAGACAGATCAAGACTTGCGCCAGATAACTGTCTAATCCACACAACTGGCGAAGCCATGTGAATCGACCACCAATGTACACCTGGTCTACACCACACGGAGTACATCGGCATAAAACGGCCAAGACAGTTACCTATGCACACCCTACACTTGCTGGGTAACCAGTATAGACAGCACGCTGCTTTGATAGAAGCAGACACTAGATGCACTGGTACCTTGAAGTGAAATTGGAGTTACTTTACCTACCAGCCTCGGCTACTGAGTACTGGGAACCCAGAGCCAACAGACATACCAACAACCTCAGCCATGAAAGCTATTATAGTAACGACACACTGGATTGTGGAGCCGAAACTAGTCCAAACTTCCAAATGCTTTGGCAAGATGGTAGCCTCCCAACAGGTTGACACACACACACACACACACACACACACACACACACACACACACACACACACACACACACACACACACACACACACACACACACACCGCGGGAGCGATGATAGCGAACAGCTATGTTTTAGACATAGCAACTTGTGCTGGGATTACACCATTCAACAGCTTGCAAGGCTGATGAATTGACCGCCACTATTTTTAGCCTGGTATCCACCACACAGCTGTTTGAAGTGACTTTTTCTGGCCAGTGAATCCCTATTTTTCATTTTTCCATTTTTTTCTTTTTTCTTTCTTTTTCTACACACACACCACACCACATACTCCGGCATACACTGGCTGTTGGTAACCACCCAGGAGAATGAAAGAAAAGTCAGGAAGAGTCTGAGAAAGAGAAGAAAGACGTGTGTGACCATAATCGTCGGGAATCGAACCCGCAACCTATCGATTGGAAATCGCTGCACATACCACTGCACCATATGGGACACACACACACACACACACACACACACACACACAGGGCAGATAGTCCACTCTACCACCTGCATACACAGGACACACACAGGGATAGGCAGGCCTCTCTACTTCTACATCTACACCTCTCCATTTTACACAAAAAGGCAGAGAGAGGTTTCAGCTGCACTCTCTGATTTTAACTCCGAAAGTATCATGTACATGTATTAGGAACTACATTAGGAAACCGCGTACTGCTCTTTCTATCTTCAACCTGCGTACTGCTCTTTCTATCTTCAACCTGCGTACTGCTCTTTCTATCTTCAACCTGCGTACTGCTCTTTCTATCTTCAACCTGCGTACTGCTCTTTCTATTTTCAACCTGCGTACTGCTCTTTCTATCTTCAACCTGCGTACTGCTCTTTCTATCTTCAACCTGCGTACTGCTCTTTCTATCTTCAACCTGCGTACTGCTCTTTCTATCTTCAACCTGCGTACTGCTCTTTCTATCTTCAACCTGCGTACTGCTCTTTCTATCTTCAACCTGCGTACTGCTCTTTCTATCTTCGACACTCTACACTTGCAAGCCAGGTACGGAGAAGAAAAGAAATCAGCAGTAGGCAGGTGGCCCTACTATTTTATTTTATTTTTCCTACTATTTTGAAATTCTCTGTGAAGTCCAAACTTGAAAAAGAAAGCAGCATGCTCCTGCAATCAGTTCATACATGGTGCTGTACAACAGTGACATACGAGACGCTGAGAAGCGCCAAACACTGTGGCAGATTGCCGCAACATGTCCCTCTCTTCCTCCTTCCATCTCCCTCGCACCCTAAGTCGCCCACTAACCACTGCTCACCTTCAGCTTAAGCGGCATGCCATCCGTTGCTATCAAATGGCCGGCAAAACAAGATACAAGCAGAACAGACAATACTTAGTCTGAATACTCACAGAAACGACAGGAGAGAAAACAGTGCAATTGAAGAAGTCAATAAACTGTAAGCAACCAACAATCAGCAATCAATTTTCATCACACGGAAAACACAGTTGTTACATTCAGTTTCACACACTGTCGCTCATTCAAGACTAGCCTACGGTGCACATACCATTCGATAACACATAATGTCCTTGGCAGAATGTACGGAATCCAGTTCCGCGGATTCTGAAGCGAATGAAGGCAGAGTTTCTAAATTTCCCCGCCAGAATTTTAAAAGCACCTGATGTACGCTCTCTCGACCCCACGCGTGTCTGCTGTGTGTATGCAACACATTTGCACAGAGAGTTGTATCAAGAGTGCATAACCAAGAGTATGCAACTGTGGTTATGGGTCAGTACGCGGCGCACTGCCTTCATTACGTAACTTGCCATCATCACGCTCTGAAAGCATGCATTCAAACTCACAATTTCTCGTAGGAGCCCATCCGTTTTTGCTCGATTCGTTCCAGTACCTACGCGATCTCTAAATGTTGGTGCGTGAACTCCAGTTCCGTACGAAAGTTCATTTCAAATCAGAGGGAAAGTGCGGTGTTTGATTTTCCGCAGTGCGCGGACTGCAGCTCAATGATGTAATGAAGGCAGCGCGCCGCGCATCTGGCCCATAGAAAATAGATCACAGTTGCATACTCTTGTTTATGGGCTCTTGGTTGTATGCATAGTCTCTTTCCAAATGTATCTCGAGTGGATCATGACTAACATTACACGATGAATTCCACTTGTTTGCACACACGGCCGTATTTCAATTTCGCTCATTCTGGACATTTGAGAATGTTCAAATCCGGAACCAGAATGTGTAACTGACACTACTAATTGAATTTGCTCAATGTATGGTGGATAGGCAGCTGCACACAGGGCTCAATGTATGGTGGATAGGCAGCTGCACACAGGGCTCAATGTTTGGTGGATAGGCAGCTGCACACAGGGCTCAATGTATGGTGGATAGGCAGCTGCACACAGGGCTCAATGTATGGTGGATAGGCAGCTGCACACAGGGCTCAATGTATGGTGGATAGGCAGCTGCACACAGGGCTCAATGTTTGGTGGATAGGCAGCTGCACACAGGGCTCAATGTATGGTGGATAGGCAGCTGCACACAGGGCTCAATGTATGGTGGATAGGCAGCTGCACACAGGGCTCAATGTATGGTGGATAGGCAGCTGCACACAGGGCTCAATGTATGGTGGATAGGCAGCTGCACACAGGGCTCAATGTATGGTGGATAGGCAGCTGCACACAGGGCTCAATGTATGGTGGATAGGCAGCTGCACACAGGGCTCAATGTATGGTGGATAGGCAGCTGCACACAGGGCTCAATGTATGGTGGATAGGCAGCTGCACACAGGGCTCAATGTATGGTGGATAGGCAGCTGCACACAGGGCTCAATGTATGGTGGATAGGCAGCTGCACACAGGGCTCAATGTATGGTGGATAGGCAGCTGCACACAGGGCTCAATGTATGGTGGATAGGCAGCTGCACACAGGGCTCAATGTATGGTGGATAGGCAGCTGCACACAGGGCTCAATGTATGGTGGATAGGCAGCTGCACACAGGGCTCAATGTATGGTGGATAGGCAGCTGCACACAGGGCTCAATGTATGGTGGATAGGCAGCTGCACACAGGGCTCAATGTATGGTGGATAGGCAGCTGCACACAGGGCGAGACAAAGCAGCAGTAGCAACAGCAGCAGGACATGCTGCAGGCACCTTACCTTGCGCTGTCATCGGCAGTAATGCTTTCTGTGGAACCGGCGGACTTGGGCTTGGTTTGCGCTTCACGTTGCCCACGCTTATCACGTTGAGACCCGGTGGTCTGCACAAGCAACAACAGCAGAGAGCGCAGCACAACAGGCAGGCAGGTAAAGTATCCGAGAAGGGGAGGGGGTACATGTAATTTCAAGTTGTCAGTTTGCACCAATACCCAAGCCTGCATGCCTTTTCTGTGAACTCTGGAGTATGGTCCACATTGTACATGTAGCCCACTGTTTACATGCATGGACAGAAAGAACATGACGTGCAGCGGAGAAAGGTTTGAAGCTTGAAAGCATGCAATCAAAAGATACAGTGCACAACTGAAACCCCATACTTTCCCGAGGAAATACAGTATGTGGGATGTCCAATTAGATAGTGTCAAGTGGTTAGTGATATGCAAAAAAATCGAACACATCTTGGTAAGAAGCACAGATGGAGCAGAGTACAATGGACAGATTCAAGCAATGCCCTGGTATTGGTAAACTCAACCCTCAAATTGAATTTCTTTTCCTTCTCTTGCCATGGCTGGCTAACGCCCCCCCCCCCCCCCTTTGCATTGGCTTTTGCCAGTGGACGGTGAAATAAAAAAAATAAAAAATGCATGTGTAAATACAACAGTTGAAAGCCCAAACCACACAGAACTGGTGTGTGATATTCACAAAGCAGCAGCAACTTAGCGGTTGTCGCAAAAGTGATCAGTTGTCCCCGGAACAAACACCGTTCATTTTGTACTCGGACCCTCCCCCCCCCCCCCTCCCCGAAATGAATACAGCTTACTATGCTGAACGATGAAAATCGCATGCATGTCCATTTCTTAATTGTGCATGTACTAATATTATCATGTAAAAAGGGGTGTGAACCCCATTCGGCATTGACATCACTAGATTTTCGTCGTTGAGCAAACTGATTCCAGTTACCGCATGGGAAAGTCGTTTCGTCGCAAAATGCCGCAAGCAAGAGAGATGCCACAGCACACCCTGGCTCTCTTCTGAAGAGCTCCGCAGAGCTCACGTGACGTGGTTGAAGTTTGATCAACACCAGCAGCACGCTCAGACTTGCTCGGATCTAAAAGATGGAAAATCAAATCAACTCATTGCCTCTCTCCGTCTCTACACTCATGAATGATTCATCAGATCTGCTGGGCGCCTACAGTTTGCAGACGTTCCCGAGTCGGCACGTTCGCCTATCCTTCTGTCCAGCAGTTCTCACCTGACCACACTAATAATCAGTGAGACTCGCCACAGCCTTATGCATGTTGGTTGTACCGACACATTATCCTTTTAAAAGAAACCAGTACTGGATTCCTCAAGGCCGACGCTCCATCAAGTCTGTCCTGAAGAAGTGTGTGATCGGTAGACGTTTGCAAGGTGGACCTTATCATCAGCCACAGATTCCCCAGTTACCATCATAGCGAGTAGCTGACGCGTTAACTTTCACCGGACTCGACTATTTCGGGCCGATCTATGTGCGCAACCCAGATAACGAGGTATCCAAGACATGGGTATGCTTATTCACGTATCTAGTGACGAGGGCAGTACACTTGGAGTTACTTCAGTAGTAGAAAGCATGAGTGCAGAGCACTTTATCCTCTGCCTCCGGCGCTTCACTGCAAGACGTGGGGTTCCTCAATTCATTGTCTCTGATAATGCCGCACAATTCAAGCTGACAAAGTCCGCTATCGACAAAGCCTGGTCGCAACTCGTCAATGATGCTGATGTAGTACATCACACTACATTGTACTTCGAAAGGCATCGCGTGGTAGTTAAATTTATTGTGGAATCTGCACCATGGATGGGAGGCGCTTATGAACGCATGGTGGGCGTTGTCAAAGTCAGCGTTGTGCAAGGCCATCGGCAGTCGACGCCTGTTACCAACTCAACTCCTGATGGTGCTCACTGAAGCAGAAGCGGTCGTCGATAGTCGGCCTCTGGTGTAGTAGCGGGTGACTCGAGTGACTGTGGGGTGATCACATCCTCTCACTTCCTATCTCTAAAACCTAGCTTAGGGCCCCCCTGTCCCCTACTCATGATACATTTGATGCTCGGTTTGTTCCCGATTTGCCTTCTGCTGTTCCTTTGCTCCAGACGTGGAAGAGAGGTCAAGCACTACTGGATGCCTTGCTTCTGGAGCCACTGGAGGAAACACTATCACCTTGCATTGCGTGATCGAGCAGATGCCCACAGCAGGAAACGTGGTGAATACTCAATGCAGCCTCAGGTTGGTGACGTGGTAATAATTGCTGAGCAACACATGCCCAGAGCCTCATGGAAACTTGGTTGAGTGGTGGAGGTACACAGCAGCTCAGATCAAGAGATCAGATCAGCCACAGTCAGAGTAACTGGAACAGACCGCCGGATCACAAGACCTGTTACCTTACTCTACTCACTCGAGACCATGCCAGAACCAACAACACCAACTGCAAAGCCTGCAAGACTACAGAATGCACCACCACCAACTTGCTGATGTCACAAACGCTTTTAACAGCCTCAACAGGGAAGTGTGTCTGCGCAATGTCCAACACCTGTGCCCAGCGCTTGCTCCGATCGCCATAAACTGCTACCGTCACCCGGCCAGTCTGTTTGTCGGTGGGGAAACCATCCTATCCAGCGAAGGCACCACTCAGGGCGACCCAATCGCAATGCCCCTCTACGCGATTGCCACGCTTCCACTAATGCAAGCGGTCTCGTGTGACGATGCCACACAAGCGTGGTATGCTGACGACTCTGCGGCTGGTGGGAAGACGACGGGAGTCTGTAAGTGGTGGGACAGTCTGGTGGAGAAAGGGCCTTCATTCGGCTACTTATTGAACGCAGCCAAGTCCATCCTTCTCGTCAAGCCTGAGTACGTGGACGAGGCTAACAGAGTGTTTCAAGGCACTGAAATCCAGATTCGGTCGGATGGTGTCCGCTACCTGGGGTCGCCAATCGGATCCACGGAGTATGTCTCGGCGTACATTGAGCAAGCCGTCCGCTCTTGGTGTGACCAGCTGGTCAAGCTGTCAGATGTGTCCCTGTCCCTGTCCCAGCCACAGGCAGCATATTCTGGCTTTGTGCATGGCTTTAAAGCAAGTGGGCCTTCCTCTGCCGCACAACACCCTGTATGGATACAGCTCTGGGAGACGTAGACCACCTAGTCACCACTAAGTTCATCCCAGCCCTGCTCAGTCGCCCAGTTAGTGATGATGAACGCACGATTCTGGCTCTGCCCTGTCGCCATGGCGGTCTTGGTCTAATTGTCCCTAGTTCACTGGTCTCACAGCCCCAGTCTTCAGTGCGCATTACCTGCTCCCTGGTTCAGAAGATTCTCAGCCAGGGCTCTTTCCTGGGTGATGCGACTGACTCTATCCGAACGCAGAAGCGGATAGCTATCTCTGCAGCCAGGAACGCACTCCGAGCAGATGCCACACTCATCTCAGCCACCCTCGACACCGACCAGCAACGTGTCATCGAGCTTGCCTCCGAGAAGGGTGCATCGAGCTGGCTGACGTGCAGGCCTCTGGCGCGCCATGGCTTCTCCCTCAGCAAGGGTGAATTTCGGGACGGTGTATACCTCCGCTACAACTGGCTGCCAGCCCGCCTGCCATCGGATTGCCCTTGTGGTGCCAAGTTCACCACCTGTCATGCCCTTTCATGCCCCACAGGTGGGTTCCCTTCCATCCGCCACAATGAGGTGCGCGACATCACCGCAAATTTGCTGAAGAAGGTGGCGTACAATGTGGCAGTGGAGCCTCACCTCCAGCCGGTAACCGGAGAGCAATTTCACTTTCGCTCCGCCAATGTTCAGGAACAGGCCCGCCTGGATGTAGCTGCCAGTGGCCTTTGGGTGGCCGGTTTGAGCGCACGTTTATTGATGTCAGGGTGTTTAACCCGTGTGCGTCCTCAAATCGAGCCACTTCACTGGCCTCCACCTACACTCGGCAGGAGAAGGAGAAGCGCAGGGCTCATGAGCAACGTGTGCCTGATATCGAACATGCATCGTTTGTTCCAGCAGTCTTTGCCACAACGGGTGGGATGAGTCGGCATTGCAATGCACTCTACAAGAGGATTGCCTGCCTGCTTGCTGATAAAACCAGCGAGCCTTACAGCACCGTCATGGCATGGGTCCGCTGTAGACTCAGCTTTGCCCTCCTCCGTGCTAGTGTGATGTGCCTCCGTGGATCCCGCACTCTGCACGCCCCTGTTGGCTCCAACTCCCCTGCCTCGCTTGTTGCAGCTGAGGCAGTGATCCCAGGACAGTGAGGACACTAATCATTTACTTTTGTTATTATTATCAGGCTGTTTTCGGTTTGTTATGATTTCTTGGTTTTCCATATTAGACTGTTTTCACTGCCATTTTAGCTCTCTCGACTGTGTTCACAGCCCTTTTTAGCTCGTTTTCTTCTGGTTGAGGTTGCGCTTGTACTTGTGTTTGTTTTGCCCGTACAAGAGGCTTGGTTGTTAAAAAAAACAACAACAAAAAACACCACCAACAGAACCTGCAGCTCCTCAGACTAGCAACTAGTTACTTGCTAGTAACCCACAGCCTGTCGCCAGACCTACGCGCCATGCTGCTGACCGTTGTCGCCAAGGTATCAAGGACATGAAAGATAAGGAACTTGTCTGATTCGTCAGACTAACATTCTAGCATTTTTTCTCGCTCTTTCTGTCTTTGCGCCTTCGCTGACACGCTTCTGAGTGCGTGTTGTTTATTTGATCGTGCGTACAAGCACAACTCATCGCTATTCTCTCTTTTTGTCTTTGTGTCTTCGTTGACACACTTCCGATTGCGATGTACACGGTTCATTGTTCCCTCTCCCTCTTTCTTATTCTCTTGCCTGTGGGAGTGTCGCGAATCTCACGACAGAGATTCCGAAATATCTATTGTACGTATTTTCGTGTATTTTTTACGCATGAGATTTTTCTTGCGTACAGCCGCCATGTTTATTTTCTATGGCAACGAGGTCAGCACACGAGGAAAGAAAACTCGGAGCTCATTTGTCCACGTAGCAAAATTATATTTCCTTCCACTCGCTTCAGAGTTACAAATGTATGCTTCTCTCTCAGATCAGTATTTTATCCAGAGAAGTAATTATACGAACCCAAGTATTTCTACTATCAGTCTTTCAGTCTTTAGGAATGGGTCATCGCCGAAATCGCAACCACTATTTCGTAGTCTTTCAGTCTAATCAATAAATCTCCCAGCCAAGCACAGTGAAACATGTCTAAGACGACCCAGATCAGTATTTTATCCAGAGAAGTAATTATACGAACCCAAGTATTTCTACTATCAGTCTTTCAGTCTTTAGGAATGGGTCATCGCCGAAATCGCAACCACTATTTCGTAGTCTTTCAGTCTAATCAATAAATCTCCCAGCCAAGCACAGTGAAACATGTCTAAGACGACCGCTCAAGGGACCTTCAAAATGTGTTCTCTGTTACCAGGTGATCTCCTTTTCCAGGATCATTTGACTGGAATTAGCATCCCTTGATCCTGGTTTCAGTGGTCTTCTTGGACAGGCGGTCGCCGTGACAGGTTTTACTGTATACCCGTCAGAGTCTAAATATTAAATGATCTTGTCTGTCGGTCTATGTAACGATCACGACGCGACACGTCTTGAGATTTTGGCTCACACCCCTCACCTTCCTCCCACCCCCCCCCCCCCCCACATGAACGATGTTCGTTTCAGTGACGATAAAAACTTTTGCGACGACCCCTTATTGCTTCATTTTTGTTCTTGCCTAGTCACTTACTTGTTTCCATGACTACCCAGGGACCTTCCCGCGCTGTTGCCATTGGCCAGTAATCTGTGCAGGTCCTGTGCGACGCGCTGTCGCCGTACGGTCACGTTCCAAACGCTCTGTATCCAGTAACGCTCCACCGCCAGCGGGTCACTGTCATGGTCTGCTTCATGCCGCTGCTGCAGAACGCCAAGTAGTATTGTCTACAAGGGGGCAGACAGGTCATGCAGTGTGATTAGGGGGGTTGTGCTATGTGCCATGACGAACGGTAAGAAGACAAGCTTACTACCGGGGGTTATAGGGGAGGCATTGGCAGACTGGCTACTGGCAGTACTTGTAGATAATTACGTTTTCAAGCCCAGGCTGTTCTACAATCAACATCTGGTACTCCCAGTTTAGTGGCAATACACAACGGGAAGATGGGTTTCTCCAAACACGCCCGAACGCACGCACACACACACACACACACACACACACACACACACACACACACACACACACACACACTCATGCACACACGCATGCACACACACACGCACGCACGCACACACAAAAGTAACATACTAGGTCAGATTCTCGCAACGCCAAGCGCCGATCAGCAAGTGCCCTCATCTCTCGAGCCAGCGAGCGGATGAAGTGACCCAGCACATCAGCGAGTACACCTAATGGTGACCTACACACACCTGCAAAGAAAAACAACGCCGAAACAAGGAGATGACATTTGAATAATCATGTAACATACATTCGATTATTCGAACGTATAAAAAAAGTATTTTTTTCAACTCTACGGTTTGAAATATCACAAGACCTGGTGCCTAAACCTGCTTACTGAAAGTCTACAAAGTTTCGGCCCGTTCAAATTTCGGCCTCCCAGGGCTAAAACCTATTTCGGCCGCATTAAATTTTCGGCCTGTACTGCTGCTGCGTTGCCTGCATATACGGTCACACTGAACCTTGCAAAACAAAATTTCAGCCGCAACAAATTTTCGGCCAAATTTGACCAGGCTGAAAATAGCCGAAAATAAATATGCGCCGAACATTTGTTGACTTGCAGTAGATATACTTTGAGCTGTGTTCACAACTGGCGCGTGTATGCATGAAACCACGCGTTCGTACGCATTTTTGTTGGCTTTTTGGGGCGTCCTGCACATGGAAACGCACCGAAATGGAAATTTCAATATGCCTTTTTCAGCGCGTATCAGGTGCGTTCCGGCGTACACACCAGTCATTTTGACTGGCGCGGTCAAAAAATGAGTACTCGAAGGTGTCGCACGTTCTAAATACGACTTGGATTGCTGGTTTTTTTGTAAAAGCCTGAACACACGTTTGGGTACGCATGAACCGCCAGCATACCGCGCCTATGCGCCGGTTGTAAACAATGTGTGTATGTGTGTGTGTGTGTGTATGTGTGTGTGTGTGTATGTGTGTGTCTGTGAATGTGTGTGTGTGTGTCTGTGAATGTGTGTGTGTGTGTGTGTGTGTGTGTGTGTGTGTGTGTCTGTGTGTGCGTGTGTGTATGTGCGCGCATGTGTGTGTGTGTGTGTGTGTGTGTGTGTGTGTGTGTGTGTGTGTGTGTGTGTGTGTGTGTGTGTGTGAGAGAGAGAGAGAGAGAGAGAGAGAGAGAGAGAGAGAGAGAGAGAGAGAGAGAGAGAGAGAGAGAGAGAGAGAGAGATGAGATGAGATGAGCATCACCCTCACTATGTTGAGACCATTGAAGCAACATATCCCGAACACCTGCTGCTAAAAAACACATCCCGAACACCTGCTGCTAAGGCCTAAGAATTCACTATGGAGAATTCACTATGGATCACGTTTGCCTCTTTTTACTTGAATCATCTGGGAAATGGGTCCTCTTGATGGTTGTGATAACCATACTTCAGAGTACATTGTACATAACTAGCAAGGCATGTATATCAACATGTTAGGTACAGTAACATCCATAGAAATACACAAGATACAAACTTACTGTCAAAACCAGCATGATCTGCTAGGTGCAGAATCGTTTGCTTGGCGGCAGCCAGTACACGAGCAGTGTCAAACTCCTCCACTGGCTTCCATGTAGACCTTACAGCAATAGGAGAGCGAGAGAGAGAGAGAGAGAGAGAGAGAGAGAGAGAGAGAGAGAGAGAGAGAGAGAGAGAGAGAGAGAGAGAGAGAGAGAGACACACACACACACACACACACACACACACACACACAGGCAGACAGACAGACAGACAGACACAAACACACAAAAATACACACAAGATCATCTTCACCGGTATGTACACCAGACGATACTCGTACCAGTGACACTCACACACCACAAGCTGCACTGGAAGGAGCCAATCTGCTAGTCAGTACAATGTCATGCAATTACACAGCACACTGCAAGTCTGACATACCAGTATGGGTACAGGTACAGGCGGACCTCGCTAATCGCACACAGCCGTTTTCCACAAAAGATATCCGAATAGACGAGGGAACCGGATAATTGAACACATGTATGCATGACATATGCTGTAAATCGGTAACCAACGATTTTCTTCCGGATGGCGAGGGACCCGGATAAAAGAGGACCGGATAAGCGAGGTCTGGCAGTACAGGTACTGTAGCAAGAAGGACCCATGAGTGTGTGTGTGTGATCCCCGGTGGCCTAATTGGTAGGGCACTGTCCCAGAAAGACAGGGGTGCTGGGTTCGAATCCCGCTCGTGGATCCTTCTTTTGCAACAGTACTGCAACAACAAAACGCGTAACCAAGGTACTGGGGTAACTTGCACATACATGCACAACGGTACACTGCCTACATAAGCTTATAACACCACTACTAGCAGTATCAGCAGCAACGAAGCAGCCACATCAAAAGGCCAATGTCAAAAAAGTTGACTGTGCTTAGCAAACATACCAGGACTCCCCTTGGTCACTTGCAGACCTGTTACTGTCATATGTCCAGTGCCGCCGAGGAAGTGATCCGTGGCTGGCAGGAAGCAGTATGTCGCTACTTGTCTCCAGCTAGAACCATGACAAAATTCAATACAACACAAGGAGGGTGAACATAGACATAATATAGACACACAAACAAACACACACCCGTTAAGCTGGCTTTGGAAACCTTGATTTGGGCCAACTTAGGCACAAGAATCTGCCTCTTGTTGTACTCTTGTACTTCCCGATAAGTTTTGCCATGGTGACCTATCCAAATTTCAGTAAAACCTGGATGTCAAACTCCATGTTCTTTGACTTCCAATCTCAATTGTGTGGCAAGGAAGAGTTGCCCGTGCAACACTATGAAACAACTGAGGTTGTATATTATACAACCTCAGTTGTTTCGACTGTATCCACCAACATGATCCGTTCTTACGGATGCGGAAAACTCGATCTAACCGAATCTCGAGCGAACAGTGTCTTCAAGACGCCAAAACGTTGGGGTGCCAATTTTTTTGGGCCAATGCACCGTAAATTACAGTAATGCCTTTTTTACAGCAAATGGTCAACATCATCACATCCTATGACATTACATCCGACATCTTCAGTGGGACATTCCCTAATGTGTGTGCACACACACACACACCATACCATACACACACACACACACACACACACACACACACACACACACACACACACACACACACACACACACACACACACACATATGTATACTGCAAGCGGGAGCAGTGAAGGCCGCAGTGTAGCAGCCATAACTTAATTAAATTTGCACATCAAACGTCACAGCAGCGAGTACTGCCTGGTTCACAGTAACACCATAATGACACACAGCTAGCAGCACTGCATCAGTATCAGCAGCAGCATCAGCATCATCAGCAGCAGCAGCAGCACACGCATCTTTCTACCGTTCCTCTCACCTGCTGCCGCTGGCCATTCAAGTGTGCTACGTGATGACGTAGGTCACACGAATGCAGCAGTAGGCAACGGCCATGTCGATCACGAGGTGACTCCAGCTGCTCTGTACTAGATCTGCAAAACAGTATACAAGCCACCACACTAATCAGTACATGATAATTATCATGGAAGTACAGGTTCCTGCACGAGTACGAGGGCAGTACCGTGGAATCTATACTGCGCCGCGATAGGGCCAAGGGCTGGATGAACAGCGGTACTGACCGAGTATGAGTGACTGGAACGTGTTTCCCATGTGCACCCAAGCCAAGGAGATAATTCACAATTTCCTGATCAACCTCGCTTATGGCTGTGAGTTACATGAACCATTTTCAATGCAAACTACAAGTACAAGCGCTGTCTGTGGGTCGAGAGTGATTTTCACAACCATTTACTAATACATTATTACAATGGTGGAGGTGACTCAACATGTGCTAATGCGGGTGCATATACACTGGTACATGTGCATGTACAGTGCGTATCGGTTATACCGTGGTCGTGTAAAAGAATATACTGCCTACAAGAATGAACTCTCATGTTTTCATAATCATAACATGGATTTACAAGCAATTTTATCGTACAGTAGAATATATCGGTCCTAAGAATGAACGTTGTGTAGCAAAACATACCAGATTAGTACAAAGTATATCGCCTGTAGTAATAACATCCGTCCAATGCAGTTCCGATCTGACTCGCGTTGGGTCGTAGTGCTGCAGGTTCAACTGTTGTGGTCATGTAACTCATGTTGCATAGCCACATGGTAAGCCTATGTGACTATGACCAGCCGCATGCACAGTAACACTACATTGCATGTACGATGATCTTCCTGCCTCTGCGCACATGCACATGATTTGTCACACTTGATTTATCGTGTGTAAGAAATATCGGAAATAAGAATAGAAAGTCGTTTTTCAAACACCCACGCTATAACCGATACCTACTGTACTTTCAGACCACAAATGACCTAATCAAGCTTGCCAGTGAACTAGTAGACTTGGTAGACTTGGTTCAGCTCTCAGGCTACTGCCCGACGTCAAGTGACAACAGGCAGTGGAATCCGTTCCATCGACATTGAGCAGGCAGGGTCGTGCTTTCCAGCCCGCTCAGTTTGATCTGTCATTCGTCGACTCCAAGGTGACAATCACGTGACATACGAGAAGCATGCACACGATTGGCTGAGGCTCAAGTAACTATTGTGAACCCGTGTCCAAACGCAGTGTGATTGACCTAATTATAGTGGCTGACCGAGTGACTGGGCTACTCATGAGCCATTTTTATTTGAGAAAGGAATCAATCCCGATGAAATTTGGGATGAGAACTGAATCAGAGAATAGGCAGCATGGCCACAATCAGGGAGTATGATCGTAGTATACTGCATTGTACTACTCCGGTAAGAGCCTGAGGAGTGAGGGATGTTATATTCCATCTCACAAGTGGATGAAACCATTCGCAAACAGGAATGGTGTAGATGTTTGCCATGTGCATGCAGTGATGTGCTGTTATGGAATCAAAGTTGCCTTCTGCCTGTTTCCTTCCACGAACGGAATACGGTACTGAAGGCGAAGGCAACATGCCGCATGCGTGTGTGGATGTGTGTGCGCGCACATGGACACGTACGTGTGTTGTGCTCTAGATGGTACCGTGAGCCTGTGACTCAACCCAATATGCTTCAAATTCACATCTTTTTTGACCAGTTTGAAGGTTTGTTTGCAAACCTGTCCATGTACTCTACAGTTTATCTCTTTGTCATTCCAGAAAACAATTTTTAAATGATTAATTCCATTTCAATTCCTTTTTTTGAAATAGATCCACGGAGCTGCTCTAACGATTCTGAAGAATGAATTGATCTCTTCTAGATAAACGCCATTTTTGAAAGGGACATCAGTCATCAAGCACACCCCAGACCCACGCAAATTCATGCTCAAGTTCAAGTTCAATTAGTCGACTGACCTGTCGATCAAGTCACCTTGCCCATCAGATTCCGTTTTCACTTCCACTCGAGGATGCATCTCGAACTACTCCCACTTCTTGCTCCTTCTCTAACCTACTTGTGATAGCAAGAGTCCATAAGTCTAGTAGTAGTAGTCAATACAATGCATCATGTAGTTGTAACACTATCCATGCACTAAAGTTTAAGTAATGGGTAGTTACTGGTTACGATTTTCGAACATTCATTAGTACAACAGTATGCAGTGCTCACTGCACTTTCTGTCTTTCAAACACAGCCGTCGCCATCACATCAGGGGAAGTCCCAAGCATGCACGCGACATAAGCACGATCCTGCATTCATCAAGTGCAGTAGCTGCAATGGTGTTGTTGACACTGGTTGAATGAAGACATGGCCGCAACTTGCGCAAGACCCAACCGGATTATGGTTTTAGCAGGGAGTCGGATGGTATTTTACGACTCCCTGGGTTTTAGTTAGGAGCACTGTGCGTCCTCGGGCCTCGCCTTGTAAGTAAAAATGTAACATGCTGTCGAAATTGAAAATACGTCTAGCACTACTTTTACTAGACTCCGTATTCAAAAGTTTATTACATGTACAAAATTTACAGTATCACAGTCACCAAGAGTTCATGAACTCTTGCAGTCACTGATCTAGCCGGTGTGTAAGTCCAGCAGCTTGTACTTGTATTGAGATGCAATGCCTAGAGATCTGATATACAACTGTGACCATGGTGACACTGGCACTGGGTGCAGGACAGCTACGGTGTCACCACTCGACTCAGCGTCACAATAGGGTAGGGGTGATGAGCCTGCCGCCGGTGACGCAGTGCCAAACATTGCCATTGCGGGCTCAAGTGGAGGAACTAAGGTTGGAAATTCAAGCACAGCCCCACCATGATTGTATATATACAGCAGCTGCAGCGACAGCACCACACCGAGGCTGCCAGAGTGCATACAAACTGTCCTCAGCACCATGGCATAGACAATAAAGACAAACCAAGCTCAAAAGACACCAAATTCACAATGCCAGCGGCAATATGGTATAAACCAGTAAAATGATCACCCCATGTTACAGCTACAGCAGCAAAATATATGAAGATTATTAGATGGCGCAGGCCATGAGATGTGGGTTAAAATTAACCGATTAATTTTTGCACATCTTTGGGCTAAAATGTTTTGAACAACTGTCTGATCACCAGGTCACATACACACACACACACACACACACACACACACACACACACACACACACACACACCACACACACACCGTGACACACACACACACACCACACACACACCGTGACACACACACACACACACAGATGTGGAAGTGAGCAACGCCGACACAACACTCCCAGTGTGTGTGCATGTCAGCTCTGGTACTTCAACACTGAGGAACACCTGACAAAGGTTCACAGCCGCGACACGAGGCAGGAAAGCTGTTCATAAGGCTAAACTACAACAGGGCACCAATCAAATGAAAAAATACAGTTAAGAAAACGGTTTTCACATTTCAATGCACTAGTAAATTTGTTTGGTGATGAGAGCTAGACGGATGCACTGCCAAGTTAGGGCCTGCAGCTTATCCGTGGTGCAGTGTTAGCCGGAAGACATCATTGGCGATAAACAGAGACCCGTCAACCTCAGCCAAGTGAAACGTCTGCGTAAAACCTAGGACTTGGTCACTGTCGGCCTGCATGCACCAAAAGACGAAAAGAACAGACACACAGAGAGACATGCAGCAGTGCGGGTGTGAGTCTGTGATCGAGAAGATGTTGGCTCACACCCCTTGGTACGGTATGGGACATGTACGGGATAGCGCCAGGCATGCCCAACGCCAGACAGAAGCAACTATCGTATTACCGAATGAATACGGTGGACAGCTGTCTTTGATGGTACGGTACGGGATATGTAGGGGATAGCACCACGCATGCCAACGCCAGACAGAAACTAACAATTACCGAATAATTCCCAAAGCGGCGTGGACCCTGGTTAGCGTCAGGCATTACTAAAGTAACGTCTTTTGCACATTCGGTCTACCGGGCACACCTTGGGCGAGTTTCAGTGGAAATATTACTACTCTTTTGTCACTTTTTTGTGGAAATAGTGACGTCATAATTATGCCATATCTATGGCCTTTCTCCATCAACATGTATGTGATTCGGAGTTAGGGATATTTCAATTTTCAAAGGTACGGGCAATGCCCCGTCTCGGACCGCCCGGATAAACGAGGAACGAGTAGTATTAGCACACTCTTGGTGTAATGAGCAGTGAGTAGTTAGTTAGAGTGCGGCGACTCAGTTGACTGAGATGTCATGTGACATACCACATGCAGCTCGGTCACAGTCTTCGCAGACTGAAAGCAAGCGGACATATTGTAAGGCAAGGTCACAGTAGCGGCCTTCTGTAGGATCTAGCCGCCAAAATTAAAAAGGAAGTTAAGGCAAAAATCAAAATTTCACCAGTTGTAGTCTTCGGGGTGCTGAGTCGAATGGTCTTGGTCCGAGAAAGCTGAGACGCTCCCTTCCTACTTGAATCCCAATCGAACTCGCACACTTCCACCGAAACTGGGTGACTGCGCCCTACTAGATGGGGATTTGTATTCAAAATGTCACTAAAAGCGCCATTTCGTTCTTATAAAAGCACGGATGACCGCGATTGGCCCATATGTTGTAGTCTTTTGGACGCTGAGTCGACTGGTTTTGGTCCGAAAAGGCTGTGATGCAGCATTCCTCCTTTATTCCCAATCGAACATGGTTGAACAAGCGGTCACGTGCTCCTGGGTGCCCAAATCACCTGGTCACCACGCCAGCAGGCGACAACTTTCACACCAAGGTTCAACTCGAGTTCAACTCGAGTGACAGGACTGCACCCAAAAAAGGTCAAACAGGCTAGTAAGTTGTACCCTGCAGGCACGGTGACCAGGTGACTGGCGTACGCAGGAGCATGTGACCGCTTGTTCAATCATGTTCGATTGGGAATAAAGGAGGAACGCTGCATCGCAGCCTTTTCGGACCAAAACCAGTCGACTCAGCGTCCAAAAGACTACAACATATGGGCCAATCGCGGTCATCCGTGCTTTTATAAGAACGAAATGGCGCTTTTAGTGACATTTTGCATACAAATCCCCATCTAGTAGTAGGGCGCAGTCACCCAGTTTCGGTGGAAGTGTGCGAGTTCGATTGGGATTCAAGTAGGAAGGGAGCGTCTCAGCTTTCTCGGACCAAGACCATTCGACTCAGCACCCCGAAGACTACAACTGGTGAAATTTTGATTTTTGCCTCGAAGCATGCCAAAGTGACTCAGCATGTCAGGAGAGGGGAAAATCCCCGCTCAAGGTCAGTCACTCGGAAAGAAATTCGACTTTTGCCGTAGCTGAAATGTCGAGCGAAATATCTTTGGAATGCGACATCGCAGCTCTTTACCAATTGATGCAATGGAAAGCTGGGCTCTTCGGCTTCTTCCTAGATACTTAGTTCTTTAAATTCCGCCAAGAATCGATCGAGTTACGAATGTTTTAGTGTATGCATGACCATCGATCTCTAGAGATCGATTCAAGTACGCACGGATGGTAAAGGGTTAACTTCCCCTTCAATCTTGCTACATGTAGCAAACCAGCTGCACATTTCGAGAGCATTTGAATGATTTACAAGGTGCCGATTGACTGCCACGGTAGCTGTGTCACATGATGCAGTCCCGTCTTACCTTTAGTTGACCGACCACGACAACAAGTAAACCAGCACTGGTTAGCTGAGCATCCATTGTTGTCACGCAGTGCTGAACTTGCTGGAAGGTTAATGTACTCTGCACAGCACACACACACACGCACACGCACACACACACACACACACACGCACACAGTCATGTACATGTACACACGCCGCACATGTCAACACGTTACCATAGATTACAGACTAAAGGCTGATAGTAGCCATGATGATATCATACGAGTGTGTCACTGCGGCTGCCACCCGAGTGTCAGGTCATGATACGCATGCCACAGATATGGGCCAATCAAGCCAGCTCTTCCCGGACATAGCTGAATCCCTGGATGCAGACCGCGACCAGCATTGCCAACAGGGTGTTGAGCTCTTGTCAAGTAGATACGGGTAGCTGTGAGACTCTAGGCTCCTGTAACCAACTGCAGTGCTGACAAGTGAAATCCAACCCCTGGACCTGAGTCACGTCATGCGCAGCTTGTAAAGCTAAGTGTCGGGAGGTGGATCTTAGGGACAATCGCAAAAGTTGGCAGAGGCTCACAGAACAAACAAAATTCATTTGCGGTGGGGAGGGTGTCTAGCTGAAAATCGCAAAGCAGGCTTGACGAATCTGTATACGTATAATATCAGGGTTCTAGCCAGGAAAAATTGTATTGGGGAGCGGTAGGGGAAGCGAACAGTTCACCCTTTTCCATGTTCCACTAGCAACTTAACGCAAAAAATGAAACGTATGTGCACAGAGAACTCGGAACGATTGATTCGTGGCCCCATTTTCGCTGCGTGAACTGAAAAAACACAAAAATCGAAAAAGAAAAAACTTTCAAAAAAGGAGTAGAGGGAGGGCGTTGCCCCCCCCCCCCCCCCCTCCTTCCCCTGATACAGTCAGACCTCGCTTAACTGCACACATTTGTTTTCAACAAAAATCCGGATAGGCGAGGGACCCGGATAATCGAACAGACATACTGCATGTAAGCATGCCATATGCTGTAAGTCGGTAACCAACGATTTTCTTCCGGATGGCGAGGGATCCGGATAAAAGAGGACCGGATATTAAAACGAGGTCAGACTGTAATATGCATGCATGATGCAAAGCCTGTATGATCGTTTTAGGTGGGTTAAACGAATCCTATTTGTTTCGTGGGGAACTTGGCTCAATACCCCAGAAGCAGCAAATGCATGTATGAGCTAGCCGCACCTACTCCTCACATCTCCGGTCATTCATTTTGTGTACCGGTATTCCAGACTGAGGATTTTGCATACAGTCATCCTGCACGTGTTGATATCTAGGCTCATGGGGAGCTGACCACCAAAGCCTTTACTGGCTCTAATTTCATTGCTTCCAAATCCCCAAATCTTGCCCATAGAACAACTCAAAACCACACACAATGATCATCAAATTGACATGATCAATGTACCGCCATGCTGTGGCAGCCTGTGCTTTCAATATACTTTTGAACTAGCTGTTTCACTCAAAACAGCCACAGATCATCGTGGACTTCAATCCTGAATGCGGCGAGGGGTACACACGATCACTACTGGGGCAGACGTTCGGTAAGGCCAAGCAGTTCCAACCGAGTACAGTTGAGCTACCATTGACTGCGTGCGGCATGTCTCTAGAACATGGTGCCGGGAGAGACAGAACACATGCAATGCTGATAGAGATGGTCAGCACTTTGAAGAATGGGTTACTCACCAACTTTGCGACGATGGCCTCCGGGCCGGTAACTGCTACTCCTTCAAACGTCAGTACTGCAGTGGGAGCCTGGGAGTAACAGTACATAATGTGTACATGTTGCATAAAGAAGGATATTAAACAAACAAAACATTCAAACAGCATAGCACACTCGTCTTACCGGGACAGTGCCCTAACGATTACGCTGCCGGGATCACAAATACCCGTGGTCCTTCTTGCTACACACATACAGGTATACCGAGTCAATACCAAATATGATCAGAGGGGGGGGGGGGGGCTAGGAGAGTGGGGTAAGGGCTGGAGAAAACGTGCACAGAGTTCTACATCGTTATGAACGAGTTCACCCGTGATGCGATCTCTTTTCTGTTCAGTCATATTTTCGTATTGCGTAGGACATAGCATATGAATGTGGTCATGTACTTCAGTACTGTCAAGTCCCCACTTGTGGCAAGAGAGCGCTCCCTTTTTTGCAGCTTACCAGAATGGTTATCACGGAAGGTGTTATCCCAGACATAAACTCTGCCATGCATCATGTCTGCAACTCCACTGGCTATACGCTCGTTGATTTTGATCGGACTGATGTTTCACCCATGTTCTCTGCGTGTTCCGACTTGGCTGAATGTGGCTATTGTAGTTACATGTATGTTCAAGTAATCAACAACCAAATTCAAACCTGCATGCTTCTGTCAGACCTGTTCTGCACCCACATACCTGTATCAGCAGGGTGGCATTCGAAAACTACATCAGTTTTGCTCGGACTAAACCATGTGAATGGCTTTTTCGCATCAAGGTCTGGCAAGACAGGCTCCTATAGGGCTTGAAAGTGCTACGTCACAGCATAGCAACAATTTCAAAAATTCAAAAACTGGATCCACCTGGATCCAGTTTTTGTATGGATTCCAAGCACATTTCAAGCCGTCTTACTCACAGCAAGGTGATGTAGCCAGTGAAACTGACTGATTTGGCTACTGGGGGCGGGGTTACAACTGGTGGCGAAGTAAAAGTCACCCCTGCATACGACATGCGTGGGTTGCTATGCACCCACATACTGAGGCAATAGCAAAGTCACACCTAAGTGGGTCCAAAATAGAAATCTGATGTCAACTTACTACTCCCTGGCCGTTTTTGACGTCATCACTTTCAAGCCCTATTGTCCTGAGAAAGTATACTCAGTTACGAAACCACAGGTTCTCAAGTGTGAAAGGCCTTCTTGTTTGTGACATTGTGTTCGTTTCAATGCAGTTGTATCTCGACTCCGCCGTACCACTGATGTTTATGGCATGGTATACGCTACACGCGCTATGTGCGATTTTGCTGTGTGCGCTGTAGTTGTATGTTGTATGTGTATGTTTTTCTGATATACGCTGTCATTTTCACGCTATAGCCGGTGGTATTAGTGTTAGTTTCTTATATTCGATCGGAGTCAATATACTGTTAAAGAGTCAATAGTTGTCCTCGTGCTGTGTGGTCGTTCGTTCCTGACACTTTAGAGGATCTGAGGGTTCATAACAATACTCATTATCAAAATTCTGCAGGTCTGTAGTATGCACTGAATGAGCTGGCCAGCAGATGCAATGCCAACTAATACTTGCTGGACCCCAATGCAAGGCAACAACAGTACACGCAATTGGACGATGTGACGCACCGTGTCTGGTTGCATTCTAAACGGCGATTACACTGATTCTCGGAATTCTGTCAGCGGTCAGCCGCGGGTGGTGCAGTACACCTGTGCTTCAACAGAATCCGAAGAGGCTGAACGAAAAAGCCGCTGAATACCTCCAAGCACCTTGAAAAGTGCTGGCTACTTGTACATCGTGCTCAGCGGCTATCATGAAGAATGCCATGAGAAATATTATAGCATGATCGCCAAGTTAGTTACGTACTGCACTGGATAAACACTACGTACAGTGCACTAGTGGTGGATGACCGTGACATTTGTAATTCAATGAAAGTGAGTAACACGCTCACTTGCGTTGGCCTGTGAAAATGCAGCCTCACCGGCCCAATGATATTGATAGGGCCAAATCAAAATACAGCTACTTACATAGAAGGAGCCAACGGCGACGCGATTCGTGTCGAAGGTAGTGTAGTATTGGTTACAGAAGGTCTGTGCTATCTGCTCGTGTGCCGCCATCTCATCAACCCACCGCGTTTCGCCAGGCAAACACGAATATAAACAATTATTTTGGCTCAGGCCAGGGCCCTTCGCAGTCGCTGTTCAGGTGGTCGCAACGGACGTATTTCACAGCGACGTTAGTCTAGCTTGCACCTGCAGTCCTCGTACAGTGGGAAGTGGAAACTGTAACAGTGCAGTCACAAGAAGACGTCCGCAGTTTCGCTAACTCGAGCTGATCGAATGGGTAAAGAACTAAAAGATTCAAGGCAACAAACCCCACACAGACAGTAGTAGTAGTTACTTGTGCAAACCGCTAATAAACAGTAAACTACAGATCACCAGTTACTGACTGTACTGCACTGACTGTCAACTACACTGTCATGCTTGTACGACCACATAATAATAATCATGACCTAAAAAAAAAGAGGCGCATAATAATAATTATAGCGCAGCGCTAGCGCCGCGATGCAACGAGGAAATATTTTCAAAATCTGCCTGCACATACGACACGGTGACTTCATGTGCACCAACTAACGACATGGCGTCCTTTCATGCGGTTTACCGCACGGATTTATGAAGTCGGACATATTCCGATTTATTTGCATCAATCGCACAAAATTAGGTACATTTCTCTTGTAAACCCTGTCAGTTTGAGAATTTAGACAAACACCGAACAAATTTTAGCCGCGACGAGGATCGGGAGAAATCCATCATAATTATTTTTACATAGCTACTACCATCACGTCGACCGAGCGAAGATCGAAATGATAATGGAGTGGAGAGAAGAAGACCTGAACTAGAGTGCTTGAGAGACTATGTAGTGTCACATGAGAATTGCTTCGTTAGGAAGGCTCTCCTTTTGAATGGAGAAGCCCAACGTCGCTGATCTGCATCGCCGTTTTCAAGTGCTGATCTGCAGTAGGAATGTTTTTGTAAATTATTCGTAGTTGTGGACGTGGATGGATTCAGCGCTCTGTTCTCTCAGCAAGCCTACTCAGTCCAACACGAAGGACTTCCATGAGCGAAACAACGTGCTCCTCGAGCAAGTGCAGCTCGGGGTAATATGGCCAATGCCACGGGAGACCACCTCGTGCCTGCATAAGGCCAAGAATTGATGGCAAGAAATCTTTGATGAGCGCCTTCGACTTCAAGGACGCAATATTATCTCCTCAGCAGTAACTGCAGCGCTCTTGCTGAAAATATCACTGCCAGCAGGCACTAGGCATGATTTAGTGAAGAGCTACTTGTACTAGCGGTTGGAGATTCGGTGTTGGCATATCTGCTCCATCATGGTAACTGGTGCGTTTGTCAAGGCAGTGCAGTTTCTGCTGCTGTTTCACAAGCCATATGCGCATATGCGCAGTGAGTAGGAATTTGTTGTATGATAGCTGAGGGTCACCAGCCTTCATGGACAAACCTATGTTGGGACTGGTTGCTGAACAGTGCACACCTAAATCTCTCAGCAAGCTCTCTTGCTCAGCTGGTGACGAACACTATATACCCGCTGCTTTGGGCTTGCAGCCCCGTCTCCCGACCGTAGACCGATCGAAAGGCTGTCACGGTCCTGTGACCATCGGCGTACAGTTGACACTGATGGGGCATCGGATAAAGTGCTGGCGTCAGTAATTCTCTTGTATACCTGGAATCTACATCTACAGCTGGTTTCGACTTCCAGCCATCCTCCGTTAGTTATGCTTGTGACTATCATGCCAGCAAGTCGATCAGCAGCATCACCTCGCATCTTTGATGGTGAGGCCTGCAAAACGTCACCGACCAGTGACGATGCTCAAATAGGGCACCCTACCAGAGCTGGCGCAGTGTATGGTGCAGTCTTTCATGAATCCATAAACTATGCTGTTCGGCTGCTGTAGCTCTGACGCTTGCGTGTGTGCCTTACATTAAGGGCAGCGGGCCGTCTGCTCTAGCCATTTGCCAATGCATGCACGGCTGAACGTCTACCAGCAAGCTGCAAACACTTCTCTCTCTACCTGTGACATAGTGGACATTGTGCGTGTGTTATTGCATTCCTATATGAACTGTTCTGGATGCAGAGATTTACCCACTAAGCCCTAGAGAAATATGAATAAATACTATACTACTATTACTAAACTTGGTATGCGGGTGTGACGTGCTGCTGCTCATCAGATTCGGTCCATGCGACGCTCGTGTTTTTAGTTTTGTTATTTTGTCTTCCTTTTTTGAATTCGTAAACCAAACAGACTAAACTATCCAGTGATCAGGTACTGGTGTGGTGGGGCAAGGTTTTGTTGGTGATGCTGCTGTCAGTGGTGGCGGCGTGCATGTGCTCGTGCTTGCGGGCGATGGCCCGCGTTTTCTCCCATGCCGCAAGTTTGTCTTGCGTTTGTGTTTTGCATTTGGACTTCCTGCCAGGCTTGGAAGACTTGCATTTCAAACAGTTTGTCCCACTGTGTGGCTCCCAGTCTTTGAACGGTGTACATCCACCTCTGGAGCTCCAGAGAATGTTGGGCCCCTGGCAGTAGCAGTGCATTCCATGGCCAATTTGCAAGTCTGGCAAAAAAGTTCAGGGTGTACATGTATTAATTTTGGTTTCATCCACATTGAGATGAAACACTGCCAAAATGGATTGAGTATGATCTGCCACACGATACTTCGTCCGTCCACTCCTTGACGCGAATTTCTCCCCTCCAATACGACAACACGACGACAGGAAGCTAACATGAGCCTCCATTTCTGAACAAAATAACGTCTCTAACATGGCCACGAAAAGCTACAGTTATGCACGTCAAGCTTAGGAATACACGAAATCGAAAGGCTAGGACATCGAGGTATACTAGAAAATTGTCTGCGAGGCGGAGAAAATTCGCTGACGAGGTTGGTGAGCCCTTGAAATCGAGCGACGATCCAAAAATAATTGCACCCACGTCGAGAAAGAAACCATGCGTAGCGCGTGGGTAACCCAAAAAGATCGCTCGAGCGGCGGCACAGTCGAAGGCAAGGCCAGTCCAAGCTCTAAACTCTATCGAATGACCTGGCAAACACCCGTGGTTTCGGTTGACCTTGCCCGTTTGAGATGGAAGTCGAGCGAAATTGCAAACATACAACTAGGCCAGGTCGCGTAAAAAATGAAAAATATTAAAATTTGGCCGCCATATTTAATGAACGCCCGTCGCATGCATGGGACAGCCGTGACGAAGACATAAAAAGACAGTGAACAAATCCCGCGCTAGAAAATATGCTGAGTGCTGTCATGTACAGACTCAGTGCTGGCAACTGAAATCCGACCACCTGGGCGGCGCGTTCACTTTCTAGCGGCCTCTATTTCGGGTCTTCGCGATGTGAGCGCACGGCTGAGGGGGTCGGATTTCAGTTGCCAGCTCTGTAGTACAATCATGTAGTTTATTTTTTTTTATTTTTACAAAGACCACTTGCCAAACATGAGATGCAGCTAGGGGAAGCACGCACAACCTGAATCGTGGCAGTGGTGA